TCACGGCAGAAGTCTACGATGCCAAGGTTGATCAATGGAGTTTGATTGCTCCCATGCGAAGCAGGCGCAGCGGGATCGGCGTGATTGCGTATGGAGAACACGTCTATGCAGTAAGGCTGGGGTCCTCTTAGGCTGGTAATGGCAGGCGAGCCTGCAGCTGGTTGATGGTTGCTAGAACCGTGCCTTCACTTGGTCCAGGGCAGCTTTCTCCAGGACTAGGGACTAGCTGTGACATTTTGGATTTTCTCCATCCACCCGTCATCAGCCACGGGGCCAAGGCTTGGTTTGACTTTTTTGTTGCCTTCTGCAGGTCGGCGGTTTTGATGGCGCCAACCGCCTCCGGAGCGCCGAGGCGTACAACCCCATTGCCAACACCTGGCGCACGATCCCGACCATGTTCAACCCTCGGAGCAATTTTGGCATCGAAGTGGTGGACGACTTGCTCTTTGTGGTGGGCGGCTTCAATGGCTTCACGACCACGTTCAACGTCGAGTGTTACGATGAGAAGACAGATGAGTGGTATGATGCCCATGACATGAGCATCTACCGCAGTGCACTGAGCTGCTGCGTGGTCCCGGGCCTGCCCAATGTCGGGGAGTACGCTGCCAGGAGGGACAACTACGTGGGGTCATCCCAGAGAGACGAGGTCAAATATTCGTCCTCCACTAGCACACTCCCGGTGTGAAAAAATCACTCCTTGACTAATAAAGCCCTCTAAGCAAGAACTAGATATACAAGTGAAATCTCCTCTTTTCTTCCTTCCTAGATAAACCAAGAGGCTAGTCCTCATTAGATGTGTGAAAGCGGCGTTTCTCATGGTTGGATAATTTAGAGAGCCAGTTTGGTCTACTGGTTAAGCTACCGGGTTAGAAACCAGGAAACTGTGAGTTCTAGTCCCACTTTAGGTATTAAACCTGCCTGGGTAACTTTTGGCCGATCACCAGGAGACTGTGAGTGCTAGTCCTGCCTTATGCATGAAACCATTTGAGTGACTTTGGGCCAATCACCAGAAGTTGGTGAGTTCTGGTCCTGCCTTAGCTAAGAAAGCTGACTGGGTGACTGGGTGACTTTGGGCCAATCACCAGGAGTTGGTGAGTTCTAGTCCTGCCTTAGCTATGAAAGCTGGCTGGGTGACTTTGGGCCAATCCCCAGGAGACTGTGAGTTCTAGTCCCGCCTTACGCATGAAAACCACTTGGGTGACTTTGGGCCAACCACCAGGAGTTGGTGAATTCTAGTCCTGCCTTAGCTAGGAAAGCTGACTGGGTGACTTTGGGCCAATCATCAGGAGACTGTGAGTTCTAGTGCTGCTTAGTTGTGATAGCTGGCCGGGTGACTTTGGGCCAGTCACTCACTCTCTCTCTCTATGCCCAACGCACCTCACAGGGTTCTTATGTTGGATATGTTCACCGCCTTGAATTATTTGTAATAATAACAACGGCAAGAAAGGAAACATTCTGGAGTATATAAAAAGCAAGTTCTGGAGAGATGGACAGAGAAAAAGAGCAATGCTGGGCAAGTACAGTAGGTCAGCATAAAGCCTAGATTGTTATGGCTGTTAAAGGGGGGAAATTGATCGGTGGTCAGCTTTGGTTTGTGTGCACCTAAAACTCAGGAGGCAGAACCTGGTCTGTGTTACCTTGGGCAACACAGACCCAGTCTGTGTTACCTTGGGCAACACAGACCCAGGTAAGGGCGACCTGGTTTCTGGTTTTCCAGCTGCAGTGAGGGCTCCCACCAATGAGTCGATAAGCACGCATCTAACTGCGAGGATGCGAAAACTCCGCTGCACGTCTGAATAAGGAACTGCTACGGCAGATCTCTGATGCAGATCCAAACGCAGGAATTGCTTCATCTCTGGCGTACGTCTGAATAAGGAATTGCTACATCTCCGCTGCAGGTCGGAATGCGGGGATTGCTAAATCTCCGCTGAACGTCGGAATGTGCAACTACTCAACTCGATGCACATATTAAATGCCAGGACTGCCCAATCTTGGGGCGCGCGTCCGAAGGCGGGGATCCCCCCCCCGAGCCTTTGTTTGTCAAGACACCGAAGAGACAACCCCCCCCCCAAGCAGTCAAGGCGCTCAGTTTCGGCCGCGACGCCTTGTGGGTAACGTAGTTTCCACGCCAATCTCGCTCCATGCGATGCTGCGCGCTCGGTGCCTTCTGGGTGTTGTAGTCCAGCCATCTCCCCTGGGCTGCCGGCACTGGCAGCAAAAAATCACCCCAAAACGCATTTTTTAAAAAAAAAAATAAAGGAAGAAGGCAAAACATCCAGAGACATTAAAAAAAAATAAAATAAAAACTGGAAAGCTGACTCGCGCTTCCCACGGAGCGCATTTGCAACGCCTGGACTACAAAGTCCAGGATCCAAAGGGGCGGCAGAAGACAGGGCTGGCTCCTCCAGGGACTTCGGATGTCTTGGGGATCCGACGCCTTGCATCGATGCCGGAGAGGTAAAGACGAGGGGTGCCCCAAAAAAAGGGGGGGAGCGGGGCTTGGCTTTGGCTGCAAATACCCCCGCGGAAAGCAGCGAGGGATCGCGGGGGGGGGCTCTGGATCTCTTTCCATCCCGGAATCCGATCCGAATTTAAGATCAAATGATATTCTAGGGTCTCCTGCTTGAGCGCGGGGTTGGGGGAGGGGGGGGGGCTGGACTAGATGACCTCCAAGGTCCCTTCCGGCTCGATTCGGATTCTGATCTAAACCGCGCAGCGGTCGAGCCGCGGAGAATCCTTCGGCTTGCGGGCGCTGGATAGGAAGAGTAATAAGAGTCGGAAGGGACCTTGGAGGTCATCTAGTCCAACCCACCTGCTCTCGCAGGAAACCTACGCTGTGTCGGACAGATGGCTGTCCGGTCGCTTCTTAACACACACACACACACACACACACACACACACACGCAGAGTTGGGGCACCCCAGTGTTTGAGGTGTTGAGATGTTATTCTCCCTCTGGGTTCAACGTGCGGAAGGACGGACTCGCTGTCCGAACCATCTCTCAACCCAAAGTTAGAAACCGCTACGGATAAAACCAAAGAGAACAAAACAAAACGAAACAAAACAAAAACACCCCACGAGCCCTCCGTTGTTGAGAAGGTCTCCTTTTCCCAACCCTAACGAGCCTTTTTTTTTTTTGCACGTGAGAATGGAAGGTTTGTGCAGGGAGACTTTGCTTGGGGAAACCGGCTCAAAGGCGCGTTCCTTGCTTCGGTTCCGAGAAAGGGGAAGAAAGAGGTTAATTTCCTGAAAGGATGACGGCATTTCTCGCTTTTTTTTGCAAAGCGCGACCTCTTTCCTCTCTTGGGTGAATTCAGCCCCAAAAACTAGGATGCTTCGGTTGAGCTGAAGCGGGCGGGCGGGCGGGCGAGGGAATCGGATGCCTGACTGAGGTTTTGGACCGGCTCTCCTTCCTTGGTTAGCAAGAGCCGGTGATGAAGAGGAGGAAACCTGCAAGAAAACTCCTTGATTGCGTTCATCCAAAACGCTTTAGTGCAGTGGTTCTCAACCTTTTTAATGCCGCGACCCCCAACCGGTCGTAAGTCGAGGACTACTCAACCGGTCGTAAGTGGAGGACTACTCAACTGGTGCAGCACTATTTGCAGAATGGGACTTTTGGCGGGCTCAGCAGGGCAGAGACAGCCTGGACAATTCCTATTGGCTTTTGAAAGCCAATAGAATTAGACTCTATTCAAGAGAGTCTATTCTATTGGCTTTCAAAAGCCAATAGAATAAAAGGGACTAGCACAGCTAAGGAAAAGGGGGAAAAAATGGCGGACTGCGTTGTTTGGTGACCCCCGTGAAATGGTCGTTCGACTCCAAATGGGGTCCTGACCCACAGGTTGGGGACCACTGCTTTAGTGCCCGGTTGGTTACGAGGTCCTTTGTGCTCGCTAAGCTTGGTGATTTTCCTGCAAAACATTTCCTTACTTAAGTAGGGTACACCGTCCGTGCTAGAAGTGAGCACTGATTGGTGGGGTTGCAGAGGTGATGGTGGTGGTGGTGGAGGAGGATGACAATGACTGTGGGGTCCTTGATGCTCTTTGAGCTTGATGGCTTTCTTGCAGACGTTTCATGACCTAACTAGGGAACATCATCAGTGCTAGAAGCAGTGCTTTTTTTATCATGGACTCACCGGAACAGAGTTCCTGCACCCCCCCCCCCTTTTTTTTTTTTGACAGATTTTCCAAGTTTTAAAAGTAACTTTTGAAAATTTGATGTTTGGTCCACATGGACTTGAATCGCCCTGTTGAGCTTAACTGGTCGGTGGCAAAATCATTAAAATGGTGCATGCGGGCTGCTTGTGTGTCGAGTCCAATGCATGCGTACTTCGTTCGGCGGCTCGGCTTGTGGCACTGCTCAGCTTGTGATTGGTTGTGTGGTCGCGTGCTGAGTGCTTACTGCGGGCGACGACCGTTATGTTTCGTTACACAACTGAACTGTGAGGGTGTGTGTACAGTGATTGATTATGTGCGAAAGGTTTTAACAAGATGTGAGTTCCAGTACCTTTTTTCTTACAAAAAAAGCACTGGCTAGAAGGGAGTGGGTGTATGGAGTAGAACAGAAGGGAGGAGGAGGAGGAGGAGGAGGAGGAGGAGGAGGAGGAGGAGGAGGAGGACGAGGACTGTGGGGTCTTTGGTACTCTCTGAGCTTGGTCATTTTCTTTCAGACATTTCATTACCTAACTGGGGAACACCATCAGTGCTGGAAGCTAGAAGGTTGTGGGTTTATGGAGTAGAACAGAAGGGAGGAGGAAGAGGAAGAGGAAGGGGAAGTTGAAGGGGAAGGGGAAAGGGAAGGAGAAGGAGAAGGAGAAGGAGAAGGAGAAGAAGAAGAAGAAGAAGAAGAAGAAGAAGAAGAAGAAGAAGAAGAAGAAGAAGAAGAAGAAGAAGAAGAAGAAGAAGAAGAAGAAGAAGAAGAAGAAGAAGAAGAAGAAGAAGAAGAAGAATAATAATAATAATAATAATACTGGGGAGGTCCTTGGTTCTTTCTGAATTTGGTTGTTTTCTTGCAGACGTTTCATTACCCAACTAGGTAACATCATCCATTTTTTTCTACTGTACAGTTTTAATTGATCCTACAAAGAGTTCTATGGCCTTATAGTCCATTTGAGGTGATCCTCAATCAGCAGTGAGCGAGTCATTTTTAGAGGCCTTTCCTTTCCCCTTTCACAGTGTCCGTGGGTCAAAATGGAGATTGTGGGTCCTTGGTGACTGAGCTTGGTTTACTTTTTGCAGACATTTCGTGACCAAACTAGGTAACATCATCAGTCAGACAGGGTTTCTTAATTCAGCAACTTTTAAGATGTGTGGACTTCAGTTCCAGGAATTCTCCGGCCAGCCAGTTGTTGAAGCCCACACATCTTAAAAGTTGCTGAGGCTGAGAAACACTGCACTAAAAGATTTCCATATCTTGTCATCCCTCGTCTTCTGCTTCCTTTAATATTCTTCTTTCCTTTACCTCTTTTCAGAAGATTTGGTCTTCCACGCTGGACCATCTTCTAACATTCTCCCTCTCTCAAAATAACAGGCCATTTTGCTGAGAATCACCCAGAGGGAGGATTTTTTACTGTAGAATCTTGCAACCAATGGAGATCAAGCCCCAGATCCTGCTCTTTCTGCCCTTACCCATGTTCTTTTGGTTCCCGGGCAGTTTCACGCTGCTAGAAACAGACGGAGGCTGGTGAGTAGGCATCCAGCAAGGAAAAAGCAAAAAAAAAAAACTTTTTAGGGGAGATGAGTAGCGTAAAAATTGATTGATTGAATGAATGAATGAATGAATGCATTGAATGAATGAATGAATGAATGAAGTGTATGGGTTTTTCTAAAGCAGTCTGTTTCAAACTTGGCAACTTTAAGAAGGGTGAACTTCAACTCCCAGAATTCCCCAAAACATCAGGGAATTCTGGGAATTGAAGTCTTGTTGTTAGTTGCAAAGTCGTCTCCAACCCATTGCGGCCCCATGGACAACGTTCTTCCAGGCCCTTCCTGTCCTCTACCATCTTCTGGAATCCATTTAAGCTCACGCCTCCCTCTTCAGTGACTCCATCCAGCCACCTCCTTCTCTGTCGTCCCCTTCTTCTCTTGCCCTCCATCTTTCCCAGCATTAGGCCTTTTTCCAGTGAGTCCTTCCTTCTCATTAGGTGGCCAAAATATTGGAGTTTCAACTTCAGGATTTGGCCTTCTAGTCAGGGTTGATTTCCTCCAGGACTGACTGGTTTGATCGCCTTGCAGTCCAGGGGACTCGCAGGTGTCTTCTCCAGCACCAGAGTTCAAAGGCCTCCATTCTTTGGCGCTCAGCCTTTCTTATGGTCCAGCTTTCACATCCATACATTGCAACTGGGAAAACCATGGCCTTGACTATACGCACTTTTGTTGGCAGGGTGATGTCTCTGCTTTTTAGTATGCTGTCTAGATTTGCCATAGCTTTCCTCCCCAGGAGCAAGTGTCTTTTAATTTCTTGGCTGCAGTACCCATCTGTGGTGATCTTGGAGCCCAGGAAGATAAAATCTGTCACTAATTGAAGTCTACCCATCTTAAAGTTGCCATGTTTGAAAAAGACTGACCCAACACAACATAAATTATGATATCTCACCATAACGAGGTGTTTAATGGAAGCCGTCTCTTACCCAGAATTCCTGTCTGTCATGTTTGATAAATTCCTCCCATTTTGCAACAACACCCCCCCACAAAAAAAAAAACAGCCCTCTCTCTCTTCCCTTGTCCCAAATCTAGTGGATTTGGTTTTGCACATAGATTTTTGGCTTTGTTGACAGATTTCAAAAAGAAATCTTCTTTCTACGACTCCTATGAAAATTGCTGCCCTTAAAGTCCTTTGTTTGTGTGCTTGTGTATATGCAAATGTATGTACATACAGCATTAAGGGCAACCATTAATATATGGCCCTGTTCACAGAAAGGTAGATGTTATGGCCAAAGGGGTTTTGCATTTCTCTGGAGGATGCTAGATTTCTACATGCAAGGCACTTCCAGTGTTGGAGGGTTCCCCCCCCCCATATTTTTATATTCTGTTCTGGGAGCTTCTTCCCAGAATCAGAAACCATACAGTTAATTGTGCTGTGAACAAAACCTAGACAGGAAGCCTTTTCCTACTTGTGAAACTTTCATTTTTTTAGAAAAAAAAAATCTTTATATCCTTCTGATGAAACACCAGCCTATCTTTTGTCTCTGCAGGCTGACAAGCAGGCACGCCGCATTGTCAGAAGACGGCAGCTGTACCGTGGAGAGACGAGACTCGTCCCTAACCTTTGCCCAGTTTATTCAACAGTTAAGTGATGACCCATCTTGCCCGTGTTTTCCACCACGCGGGGGCAGCATGTGCAGCTCCCAGATTTTTTGCAAGAAGCGATTAAAAAAAACACAAAAAACAAGGCAGCTCCATCTTTTGCTAGACCAGGCACAATCTCCCAGTTATTTAGTTCTGGAGTTATTTAAACTTGTTTCTGGGCTCCTTATAAGATCCTCCATCTCCGTGAACACCGGCACTTTTAAAATAAGAGTCAGGCATAAATAGCCATCTGAAATTCTCCCCTGCCTTTTCTATCAGCCCTTCGTGGTAGACCGGAAGACTTGAAAGTAAGTGTTCTTGGGCAGTAAGGTTAATAATAATAATAAAAATAATAATAATAATAATAATAATAATAATAATAATAATGATGATGATGATGATGATGATGATGATGTTGGAAGGAACCTTGGAGGTCATCTAGTCCAACCCCCTGCTCAGGCAGGAAACCCTACACCATTTCAAACAAATGGCTGTCCGGTCTCTTCTTAAAAACTTCCAGCGTTGGAGCATTCACCGCTTCTGGAGGCAGGTTGTTCCACTGGTTAATAATAATAACAATGATAAAGTTGGAAGGGACCTTGGAGGTCATCTAGTCCAACCCCCTGCTCAGGCAGGAAACCCTACACCATTTCAGACAAATGGCTGTCCGGTCTCTTCTTAAAAACGTCCAGCGTTGGAGCATTCACAGCTTCTGGAGGCAAGTTGTTGCACTGATTAATTGTTCTAACGGTCAGGAAGTTTCTCCTTAGTTCCAGGCTGCTTCTCTCCTGGATTAGTTTCCATCCGTTAAATTAAATACATGCTTTAAAAAAAAATTAAAGGAAGAGCATATTCTACAAAAGGCGGTGCCACAAATAACAGGTCTGCTTCTTGGTAGGTGCAGAGTGATTATCCCCAGGGTGCAGCCCCATGTCAGAGAGCACAGCAGATCCGGGTGGGAAGAACCGTTCTTCCTGGAAACCGCCTTTCCTCACCTTGAAAAGATTTCAAAGCCTTTGTCCTATTGTTGTTTTATAATCCATGTTGCTATTACAATGATCTTCTCTTTCTCCTTGTCTCTTTCCTCCTCCTCCTCCTTCTTCCTCCCTCCTTCCTCTTCCTCTTCTCCTCTTCCTCCTCCTCCCTTCCTCCTCCTCCTTCTCTTCTTCTCTTCCTCCTCCCCTTCCCCCTTCTCCTCTTTCCAGGTATGCCTTCTCTCGGCCAGTAATTCTTCAGGGATTAACGGACAATACCGTGAGTACCCCTGCATTATAAATTTGGATGAAATATCATAGATTCAAAGAGCTTAAAGGGACCTCAGAGGTCATCTCGTCCAACCCCCTGCTCAGACAGGAAATTGTTAATCATAGAATAACAGAGTTGGAAGCCACCCTGGAGGTCATCTAGTCCAACGCCTTGCTCAAGCAGGAAACCCTATACCATTCCAGACAAATGGTTATCCAGTCTCTTCTTAAAAATCTCCAGTGATGGAGCGCCCATGATTTGTGGAGGCAAGCTGTTCCACTGGTTAATTGTCCTCCCTGTCAGGAAGTTTGTCCTTAGTTCCGGGTTAGAATCTGTGCTACCCTAATCTCTATAGGCCACTATCCTTTGGAGACCCCTTCGGACTGGGCATAAATTAATAAAGTCCAGCCATCAGTTCGGGACTGTGAAGCCACTTCGCCAAGACTGTGTGGGGTCCCAGGCTCTCTTCGTAAATATTCCCGAGTGTGACCCAAGAGGGAAATTATTTCACAGGTAGAAACAGCAGTGGTTGTGTTTGCACGGTGTTCAATCTTGTGGTTTACTGAACAGCGACTTCCTAAATCCACCTAATTGTCTGAGGAAATCACTCAGCCACAAACACACAGACACACACAGACACACACTCCCGTGTGCTCCAAAGAAAAAATACAGATAATCCTTGACTTAACAGCCACAATTGGGACCAGAAGCCAAACGGTTGTTAGTGGGACTTCCGCCCAGCATCCTGAGGTTAACAGAACGTAACTCATATTTTTGGGTGGAAGCCTGCAAAAAAAGAAAAAAAAAAGCCCATTGCAAGCAATGGATTTGCTTAACGACTGCCATGCTCACTTAACAATCAGCCCCCCCCTTCAAATTGCAAAATCGAGTCCATCCTACGATGACCCACTTAATGCCTGGCATCGTTTATGACCTAATTCCAGGCTCTGTTTGTAAATCAGGAACTTCCTCTAATTCCCAGAGATTAACTACCCCGTAGTTGTATTGCAGGTGGACTCTGACCAACACAATCTTGTTTTTGCAGCCGGGACAAAATAATTGGGGGGGGGGAAGCGAGGGCCGTAAAATTGGAGTCTCTGATTCTCTTCTGTGGCCACAGGAATTCCAGGCTCAATGCACCAAAGACCAGCTGCTGGCCAGATTCGGAGAACATCTGGTTCGTCTCAGTACCGCCAACACCTACTCGTACCACAAAGGTGAGGAGGGAAAAGACGCTTCTCCCCCAACTGTGCCCCAAGAGTGAGCTGAGGCACAGAGGTGCAATTTTGCACACCTGTCCGATGCAAGAAGTCAGGGGCCTAGGGTAGGGTTCACAAGCACAGGCAGTCCTTGATTTACAACAATTCCTTTCGTGACCGTCCAATGTTCCAGCGGTGCTGAAAAAAAAGGGACTTATGACCACTTTTCACACTCACAACCGCGGTCACCTGGTCAAAATTCAGAAGCTTGGCCACTGACTCATATTTATGACGGTCGGGGCCTCCCGGGGTCCCACGATTACCCTTTTGCAACCTATTGACAAGCAAAGTTGAAGGGGAAGCCGGATTCTCTTAACACCCGTGTTACAACATGATCGCCAACGTCTGATAATGGATATGGCACAAGAAGAAGAAGAAGTGATTCATTTAAACGCTGCAATGAGAAAGGTCGTAAAATGGGGCAAATGGACTTGCCAACTGTCTGGCTTAGCAACAGACATTCGTGGCTTGGTTGTGCTCGTAAGCCGAGGATTATCAGTACTACGAGTTTATTTCATGCTACGTACACACAAGAATCTGAACGACTAATGGTCAAGGTGAATTTGTGCCAAATAAGAATCAGTGGACTTCAAGGGGGGGAGGGCTGGAATTAGGTCTCTTGTGGGAATGTAACGATTCCAAACTGATGGTGCGTTTGGCTCCACCCTCAGGCTCAGCCTGGTAATCTCCTACTTTCATACCTTCATTAAAAATAGTCCTTAAGTGATTTACGTCTAAAAAAAAAATCAATAAAATATATTACAAAGGAAAACAAATAGTCCTTGTTCTGCTGAGCATTGTACAAAAAGTTGGGTTGCGAGATTGCACAGCTTTAGCAGAAAATGCATTGAGTTCTTAACTGGCTGTTTCTTTGCTGCAGTGGATCTACCCTTCCAAGAGTACGTGGATCATTTGCTGGAACCACAGGATCCGTCTTCCCTTGGAAGTGGTGAGTAGGATGTAACTTGGCACTATCAGATCTTCATGCTTCCTTGATCCGTGGCAGCGGTCTTCAAACTTGGCCCTTTGATGACTTGTGGACTTCAACTCCCAGAATTCCTGGGAGTTGAAGTCCACAAGTCATCAAAAACCCAAGTTTGAAGACCCCTGATCTATGGCAATCCAAACTCAGCCTGGATTCTACAGACCAGAATCAGCTCTTCCAGGTAGAATAGAGATAGTCCTTGACACAACAGTTTATTTGGTGACCATTCAAAGTTACAATGACACTGAAAAAAGGGACATGACCATTTTTCATACTTATGGCCACTGTAGCATCCCCATGATCGCGTGATTAAAATTCAACTGACTCGCATTTATGATGGTTGCAGTTTCCCAGAGTCACGTGATCTCCTTTTGCGATCTTCTGACCAGCTAAGTCAACGGGGAAGATTCACTTAATAGCCATAATGCTAAGTTAAGAACTGCAGCGATTCACTCAATAACAATGGCAAGAAAAGCCATCAAATGGGGTAAAAATTCGCTTAACAAATGCCTCGCTTAGCAACAGAAATTTTGGGCTCAATTGTGGTTGTAAATCGAGGACTCCCTGTAGCCTAGACCTGAATACCCAAATTACAAATTCGAAAACCGCTTTTATGATAGGATCTTGCAACTCTGGACGCGCTTTTCTCTTCCTTTCCTTTAATTTCGCAAGGACAAGAGTCAGTTTTGGTATAGCGGTGAAGGTGCTGAAACTTCAGGAACTAGAAGACACGAGTTCTAGTCCTGCCTTAGGCATGAAAGCTGACTTTGGATCGGTTACTTTCTCTTAGCCCAACCTAAGAGAAAGAGGGAAAATAGGCGGAAGAAGGAGTAGAAGGTTTGAGTGACTTACAAAGTAATAAAGTAGGGATAGAAATCTAATCAATAAACTACGTCTGAGACACTTTCTCAAAGTACATTTCTGCTCCGGACTCAGATTCCCCTTATCTTTGTTTTGACTGCAGTTATTTTCCTGGCTCATTATGAATAAAGTATCTGCCTTGCAAATTATCTTCTCTCCAGGATTTTTTTTTTTTTCCCCTTGAAGATGTTGAAACAAGAAGGTGGTAGGTGCAAAGGGACCAAAACCAGTTTAGTCCCTGGTTGTGGCCTGCAGCACTCAAGAAAACCAAAGGACCTGCTGGGAAAAACGATTTAATTTCTCTTTTCCCTTTTCCCCCCGCAGAAACGCTCTACTTCTTCGGAGACAATAATTTCACTGAATGGGGGTCTCTCTTCAAGAAGTACAACCCACCACCTTTCGGGATTCCAGGCACCACGGGAGCATACAGTTTTGGGATTGCGGGTCAGTAGCTGGCACCTTCAGGAGATGGACAGTTTTAATACCTCCACAGGGCAACGATTTTGTAGCTTCATCTGCTTTGGTGGGACCACGTATGTCTCCTTAGTTTTCAAAGACGCAAGGCTATCACCAAAAAGCATCGCCTGTGGGTTCTCCTCCCAAAAAACTCAAAACAGCTTTGAGTCCCCCAAGGCCCATCTTTGTCCAGGCCTAATCAGATGCTAGCTGGAGACATCTCCTCTCCTCCTGTCGTTGTTCATGTCAAGCGCAGAAAATCAGGGACCCAGCCAGTTCAAAATAATAAGTTTATTCTATGCTAAAACTCACTACAAGAACCTGAACTGCAAACAGACCAAGCAAGTGGGCGGTAGAGTCAACGGAATTCAAGATGGGCTGGGCTTAGGTCTCTGGTGGGCACCATGAGATTCAAGGCTAATGACGTATTTGACTCCTCCCTCGGGCTCAGCTTGGTCATCTCCTATAGCTCGCTTGCATCAGATCTTGAAAGGCACAGTATCTCCAGCATAGGAGAAACATGGAATCCCCGAGACCAAGAGTCCTCAAGAGCAGAGGTCCCCAACCTTTTTGGCACCAGCGACCGGTTCCATGGAGAGAGATTTTCCCGCGGACCGGAAGGGGCGTGGTTTGATGTGCTGCCTGCATCCTGGGGATGGGGTTTTGCTTGTTTATGTGGGCCAGTTGCTGGCTGGTACCGGTCCACGGACCGGGGGTTGGGGACCCCTGCTCAAGAGGGTCAGCCATCTATGAATCCAGTCACCCATGTCAGTACGTGTCATGTGGCAATTTCAAGAGTTATCACAGGTCCATGATGCTGATGGGATAGCTCTGGCCAGCAGGTCTAACATACTGGATTTGGGTTGGTTCCTAAGAAGCTGATTCCAGAGGTCAATGTCCTATGCCCGTGACCTTTCGGCTGAGCCCAGGAACCACCATTCGTAGAGAAGGTCCATCGTGTGATCGGAGAGCTTTGCTTTCTCAAGCATCCTTGTGTCCTACTCGAGAATTCTGGACTGTACTCCAGGTCATTAGATGTTAAGGAGCCGTCCGATTCCCGGTCTGGATTTAATTTCTCCTCCTTTTTCTCTCTTTTCCAATCTCTTTCAGGCTCCGGTTCGGGGGTGCCATTTCATTGGCACGGGCCTGGCTTTTCGGAGGTCGTCTTTGGGAGGAAGGTGAGCGCACCGACAAGGCGTTGCCCTACAAACGATGTTCCCACCTGTTACGGGGTGGGAGATTAACCTTGGGAAACTGGAGGAAGAACTGCAGCCTGGATAGCTATGGTTGATAGGAGAAATCCCAGCCCGCAGAAGGAATGGGAGTAGAAAAAGCATCTCAGCAGAACAGAATGACAAGAGTTGAAAGGGACCTTGGAGGTCCTCTAGTCCACCCCCCTGCTCAAGCAGGAGAACCTGTACCATTTCAGACAAATGGCTGTCCAGTCTTTTCTTGAAAGCCTCCAGTGATGGAGGAGGGAGGAAGGGGGGAAGGAAGGAAGAAAAAATAGAATAACAGTTGAAAGGGACCTTGGAGGTCCTCTAGTCCAACCCCCAGCTCAAGCAGGAGAACCTATACCGTTATAGACAAATGGCTGTCCAATCTCTTCTTGAAAGCCTCCATTGATGGAGGAGAAAGGGAGGGAGGGAGGAAGGAAGGAAGGAAAGAAGGAAGGATGGATAGGAAAATAACAGTTGGAAAGGACCTTGGAGGGCCTCTAGTCCAACCCCCTGCTCAAGCAGGAGACCCCATACCAGACCTTCCCTAGTTCTCATGGCTAGCAGGGGAATTCTGGGAGTTGAAGTCCACACATCTGAAAGTTGCTAAGCCTGAGAAACACAGTCCTAGACTATGCTAAATCTCCAAATGACTTTTAAAAACGTAGCATTGGGGCGGCAGGAGAGTCTAGAGTTAGATTTCTGAGCAGCTCTTGGTGTTGATGATCCTCCTGTACTTGGTGCCATGGATATTTCAAGCCTTTTATTCATCTCCATGCCACCTTATTGAGGTAGGAGACGTTCTGAAATATCACGCGGTGGTACAAAGCTTATTCCTTACAGCTTGATCTCTCTCTCTCCCCAGCACTGGTTCCTGTATCCTCCGGAGAAAACGCCAGCATTCCACCCCAATAAGACGACCCTGTCCTGGTTCCTGGATACGTACCCTTCCTTGCCGCCGTGGGAGAAGCCGGTGGAGTGCACCATCCACCCAGGAGAGGCAGGTTGCTGCAGGGCATGTACAGACTGGGCTTCCAGGCAGAATGCGCCAACCACGCCGAGGGAGGAAGGAAAGGTCTTCTAAAAAGCCGTTGCATCCGGAGTCATTCTCGCTTTCCTTCCAGGTTCTTTATTTTCCGGACCGCTGGTGGCACGCGACCCTCAACCTGGACACCAGCGTTTTCATCTCGACCTTCCTGGGTTAGCAGCTCCACCTGACACCTCCTCTATGATGGGACTCTCGCCCATCATTCCTTGTGCAAAGTGATTGGATCTCTTGGCCACTTCAAAGCTCCAGGCTGGTCTACCCATTGAAAGTTGCCCCAATCTCCCCTTAAGGCAGCAGTTCTCAACCTTTCTAATGCCGCGACCCCATAATACAGTTCCCCATATTGTGGTGACCCCCAACCACTTATACATCACCGGGTGCCAGGGGCGTGGCCAAAGGGGGAAAAAATGGCGGACAGCCTTGTTTGGCGACCCCCGTGAAATGGTCGTTCGACTCCAAATGGGGTCCCGACCCACAGGTTGAGAACCACTGCCTTAAGGGGAAACTGCACAAGCATTCATTCTGGCACAATGGTTCAGGGCCATGGAATATAATTTCCACTGCCTGGAAATATTTCAGTTGGCTGGCTCCAATGGCGTTGATGAAATTCAACAGCCAAAGGGCCTCATGAAAGTGGTGGCCATCAGCTATGGTTGACCACAGTAACCCCACCTCGATGGTCAACGAGACCAGCAGAGGTGACGTGGTCCCAACTCACCAATCCTAGATCATCTTCCTCAGGGATCTCCTCCTAGATCTTTTCAGCCAGTATCTCAGGACCAACGGCTCTACCCAACTTTTTTAGAAATGGTGCAGGCTAAGACTGATGCTTCTTCAGGTATATTTTGCTACCCAGCATCCTTCGCCCTGCCCGTGCACTTGCCACACGGCGGGAGGTGGTGAAGCCGGGGGTCTTGCGTCATCCATTACAGATAGTCCTCGACTTACGGCCACAATTGAGCCCCACATTTCTGTTCCTAAGTGAGACATTTGCGAAGTGAGATTCGGCCCAGTTTACCACCTTTGTTGGCACGGTTGTGAAGTGAATCACTTTAGTTACTAAGTTAGTCACATGGTGGTTAAGGGAATCTGGCTTCTCCGTTGACTTGGCCTGTCAGAAGGTCGCAAAAGGAGATCGTATGATCCCCGGGGACACCGCGACCGTCGTAAGTTTGAGTCGGTTGCCAAGCGTCCGGATTTTAATCACAGGACCATGGGGATGCTGCAATGGTTTGTAAGTGTGAAAAGCGGTCATGAGTCCCTTTTTTCAGTTCTTTTGCAGCTTGGAAGGGTCACTAAAAGAATGGTTGTTAAGTTGAGGACTATTTGTATGATGTTTGGGCTCTCTCTCTCTGTGTCTGTCTCTCTCTGTCTGTCTCTGTCTTTCTGTGTGTGTCTCTCTGTGTCTGCCTCTGTGTTTCTGTCTGTGTGTATGTCTCTGTCTCTCTGTGTGTGTCTTTGTCTCTGTGTGTCTGTCTTTCTGTGTCTCTGTCTTTCTGTGTGTCTCTGTGTGTGTGTCTTTCTCTGTGTCTGTCTCTCTGTGTCTTTCTGTGTGTGTGTGTCTGTCTCTGTGTGTCTTTCTGTGTCTCTTTCTATGTGTCTGTCTCTGTGTGTCTGTCTTTCTGTGTGTCTGTGTCTGTGTCTTTCTCTGTGTGTCTCTGTCTCTCTGTGTCTGTCTTTCTGTGTGTGTGTCTGTCTCTGTGTGTCTGTCTTTCTGTGTCTCTTTCTGTGTGTGTCTGTCTTTCTGTGTGTCTCTGTGTGTGTGTCTTTCTCTGTGTGTCTGTCTCTCTGTGTCTGTCTTTCTGTGTGTGTGTGTCTGTCTCTGTGTGTCTGTCTTTCTGTGTCTCTTTCTGTGTGTGTCTCTGTCTCTGTGTGTCTGTCTTTCTGTGTCTCTGTCTTTCTGTGTGTGTGTCTCTGTGTGTCTCTTTCTGTGTGTGTGTCTCTCTCTCTGTCTCTCTGTCTCTGTGTGTGTCTGTCTCTCTCTGTGTGTCTCTGTCTGTCTGTCTGTCTGTCTCTCTCTGTGTTAACAGAATGTTCCAACAGGTGTAACTGTTATTATTTCCCGTGTGTCTCATCCAGCTCTTTCAACTCCCCAGGGAATATTTACACCACCAGCTGGCTAAAAATAATTTGGGTTGCTCAAAATTACAGCCTTGCACGGCAGGTAGGAAATCTTGTGACTTGTATGGAGGCTGGTCAGCAACCCGAGGACGGAAAACCTTGTTTCACCTGGAAATAACCTGTTTGTTCATCCTCCCCCATTTTTCCGGGCAGGATATGCCTACATTCCTTTTTTTCTTTCTTCCTTTCTTCTCCTTCAAAATGATTTTCCTGTCAACTTGAGATGTACAGAAACGTGACCAGCAGATTCCACGCTGGTCCTGTTTCTATCAGATATGTCCCTGGCTGATGTGAAATACCAGATCTTAGCATAAACATTTTTTTTTTATGAATGCAACTTGTATTTCAGTCAAGAGTTAATTTCGTTTTCGCTTTTCCTCTGGAGATTTTGCTGATTTATTCATATCTCCACCTGTATTTCTTTTTTTATAAGGAACTTGATGGCAACTATATCTAATGCTATTTCTTTCTATTTTCTCCACATCAAAAACCCTGTGAGACGAATTGGGCTGAGAGTAAGGGACTGGACCAAGATCCCCCCAGCTGGCTTTCATGCCTAAAATGGGACTAGAACTCACCATCTCCTGGTTAATGGAGCAAAGTCACCCCGTTAGTTTTCATATCTAAGATGGGACTAGAACTCACCATCCCCTGGTTAACGGAGCAATGTCACCCAGTTAGTTTTCATATCTAAGGTGGGACTAGAACTCACCATCTCCTGATGATTGGCTCAAAGACACCCAGGTAGCTTTCATGCTTAGGGCAGGATTAGAACTCCTAGTTTCCTGGTGATTGGCTCAGTCATCTAGCTGGCTTGTCATGCCTAACGCAGGACTAGAAATCACTGTCTCCCAGTTTCTAACCTGGTGCCTTAACCATGAGATCAAATTGGCTTTTTAGATTTCTTGCTTTGGTTTAGGCAACTTGATGTGCAGTTCCCAAATGCTATTTGCAAGGATAACTGGTCATAATCCGGTTCAGCTGGACATTCTAGAAGTTCACTGCAGATACACAAGACGTTAGAAAAGCCGTCACAGTTGTGATGAAAATATTGTTTTGGTTTTGAAAGTTCCAAAGATTTCCCGCCAAGCTGGAATGTGCCAAGCCAATGTGCCTTTTTCCTCCACTGTATGTCTTGATGGCCATCTGTACAAAAGAGCCAGCTTCTGAACAATGGTCCTCCAGATGTTGCCAAACTACACCTCCATCTGCTCTTGACTTTGTTTTGGGTTTCTGGAAGAGGTGGTGGACCACCATCTTCCTGTCCCCCGTTCCCCAAATAGCTTTACTCAAAGCATTTGGGCATTGTCTAGAATGGAGCTGACGGCCAACATTTGTCCATTACTGGTGAAAAACAGCTACAGAATCCTTGTTAACATTAAGAAACTTGAGAATGTTTGTCCTACAGTTAGGACATCATAAAGCAGGGGTCCCCAAACCCCTGGTCTGCAGCTCACTATCGGGCCTTGAGCAGTTTGGAACCGGGCTGCGGAAGTGGTGGGTGAATATGGCTGCACATCCCCAATTGCACGAGCAGTGGGCGAGCACATGCACTTCATTTACACGCAGGATGGAGACGCGTGCCCGCTGCTCGTGCAAATGGAGCTATGTGCGTGCCCGCCACTCGCATGGACCCATCCTCTCTACTGCCCCTGCCGGCCCGTTAAGGCGGAAGGATTGAGGAATTCTGTCATAAAGGATCCGTTTCTAAAAGTGGATTTCAAGCACAAGAGGCTGGGCCTCTCCACGCTTAGTTTTTCATCTGGATTCTCTATATTTGGCTTTAAGGATAGCCTTTGTCTGTTTGTGGAATACGTACAGGTCAAAAAGGTGAATTCTTCAGCCAGGATAGATATCTCTAGGTACCAGGGAAGGTGAAGGAGAAAAGAGGTAAACAGGGTAGAAATAGAATTTGTTAGCGTAAGCATTGGACTCAACCTGCACAGCATCTTCTAATGGCTTCCCTCCAGAAGTTGTGGGCGCTCCATCACTGGAGGTTTTTAAGAAGAGACTGGACAGCCATTTGTCCAGAATGGTATAGGACAGTGATGGCGAACCTTTTAGAGACCGAGTGCCCAAACTGCAACCCAAAACCCACTTATGCGTAGTCGGGTGTCGGGTGGGTGTGGACCATTGGCTGGGTGTGGCCCATTGGGTGAGCGTGGCGGCAGTGGTAATGGCACTAAAAAGTTCAATCAATCAATCAATTCCAACTTTGCAAGATCTCTTTTTCCCCGTGAGAAGTTGAAATTGACTGATTGATTGAATCTTTTTTTTTTTTGCACATGGCGGTGGAGGCCTAAAGCGAAAAGGTTTTATAAAACCCAGCTGAAGGCCTAGGACTGGGGCGACGGTGCGCCCGCCCACAGAAAGGGCTCTGAGTGCCGCCTCTGGCACCCGTGCCATAGCTTCGCCACCACTGGTATAGGGTCTCCTGTTTGAGCAGGGGGATGGACTAGAAAACCTCCAAGGTCCCTTTCAATGCTGATATTCTGTATTCTATATTAAATTATCTTTAATTAGTCTTTTACTGACAAAGAAATGGCATTTTGGATATGCCTAGAGATAGATTCACCAGGAAAAGGAAAACAAGATCTACAACAGTGGTTCTCAACCTGTGGGTTGGGACCCCATTTGGGATCGAACGACCATTTCACGGGGGTCGCCAGACAACACAGTCCACCATTTTTCCCCCCCTTTTCCTTAGCTGTGCTACTCCCTTTTATTCTATTGGCTTTTGAAAGCCAATAGAATAGACTCTCTTGAATAGAGTCTAATTCTATTGGCTTTCAAAAGCCAATAGGAATTGTCCAGGCTGTCTCTGCCCTGCTGAGCCCGCCAAAAGTCCCATTCTGCAAACGGTGCTGTACCAGTTGAGTAGTCCTCGACTTACGACCGGTTGAGTAGTCCTCGACTTACGACCGGTTGGGGGTCGCGGCATTAAAAAGGTTGAGAACCACTGATCTATAAAGAAGACAGGAAGATGCCCAGATGCCACTAGGAACCTTTTTGCTTTCAATCAGGCACCTGGGCATCTTCCCTTCTTGCTTACTTAGCTGCAATTCGAATATTTCATTTAAAATGTTTTATAGTCGTTTCCTTGCAGAACAGTAATTCCCTGGTTCTTTTTCTTCCTCTCATCTGTTTCGAGAATCTTAACTGATGAGCCAAACAATGCCGCTCAAAAATAAAGAGCAGGATATGAGCGGAGCTGGGAAAAGCCCATCTCTGCAAAAAGTTAATTTGGTTATGCCTGCGTGGACTTGGTGCTGATGCCCGGGGAACATGGAACAGAGTGTCCCAGATAAGGCGCTGCTGTCCCGTGGCATTGGGAGCCCTTCGTCCTGCAACATTTTGCTGTGGGTGTTAAATGGAAGCAATAAGAAGTGCAAAAGAATGTTTGAAGAGCAAATAGCAATAGCGCTTAGATTTCTACATTGCTTCACAGTGCTTTGCAGCCCTCTAAACGGTTTAGAGCAGTGATGGCGAACCTTTTAGAGACTGAGTGCCCAAACTGCAACCCAAAACCCACTTATGCATCGTCGAATGCCGGGTGGGTGTGGCCCATTGGGTGGGCATGGCTGCGGTGGCTGTGGTGGTAACGGCAGACTGGGTGGGACTAAAAAGTTCAATCAATCAGTTCCAACTTTGCAGGATCTTTTTTTTCCCCGCGAGAAGTTGAAATTGACTGATTGAACCTTTTTTTTTTTTGCACACGGCGGCGGAGGCCTAAAGCAAAAAGGTTTTATAAAACCCAGCTGAAGGCCTAGGACTGGGGTGACGGCGCGCGTGCCCACAGAGGGGGCTCAGAGTGCTGCCTCTGGCACCCGTGCCATAGGTTCGCCACCACAGGTTAAGAGTCAGCATTTTGCCCCCAATAATCTGGGTACTCTTTTTACCGACCTCGGAAGGATGGAGGCTGAGTCAACCTTGAGCTGGTCAGGATTGAACTCCTGATGGGGCAGAGTTTATCTGCAATACTGCATTGTAACAATTGCACCACTATGGCTTGCTTGCTTGCTTCTCTCTCTCCTCTTCCTTCCTTCCCTTCCCTTCCCTCCCTCCCTCCCAAGCAATAGCACTTAAACTTAGATACCACTTCACAATGTTTTACATCCCTCTCTAACCGGTTTAGAGTCAGCCTCTTACCCCCAACCATCTGGGTCATCATTTTACCGACCTCAGAAGGATGGAAGGCTGAGTCAACCTTGATCTGGTCAGGATTGAACTCCTGGCAGTGGGCAGAGTTTACCTATAACACTGCATTGTAACAACGGTGCCACTATGGCTGGCTTCCTTCCTTCCTTCCTTCCTTCCTTCCTTCCTTCCTTCCTTCCTTCCTTCCTTCCTTCCTTCCTTCGCAATAGTACAGGGGTAGGCAACCTTGCGTCTTTTGACTCGTGGACTTCAACTCTCATAATTCTGGAAGTCCACAAGTCTTAAAAGAGCCAAGGTTGCCTACTCCTGCAACAGTACTTAGACTTATATACCGCTTCACGGTGCTTTACAGCCCTCTCTATCCCCTCAGCCTATTGCCCCCCAACAATCAGGGTCCTCATTTTACCGACCTCGGAAGGATGGAAGGCTGAGCCAACCGTGAGCTGGTCAGGATCGAACTCCTGGCAGTGAGCAGTGAATTAGCCTGCAATAAGGCACTCTAACCCCTGCGCCACCACGGCTCTTAAATACAGGTAGTCTTTGATTTACGCCCGTGATTGGGATCAGAATTTCCATTGCTGAGCACAGGTCGTTAAGTGAACCGTGCCCTGTTTTATGACCTCCCCCCCCCCCGGCCCCATGATTTAAGTGATCCACTGCATTGCTTGTCAGAAGTCGAGGGGAAAGGTCACAAGCAGTAATCACGTGATCTTGGAATGCTGCAAACATCGCAATTAACGTGTCGGTTATCAAGCCCGACGTTTGATTAGGTGACCCTGGTGGGAGGCTGCAAGTCATGTGAGCATGGGCCATCATTTTTTCCAATGCCATTATGACTTTGGTCACTAAACGAATGGTTGTTAAGTGGAGGATTACCCGTAAAGGCCACTGGGTCCACAATTTCTGGTGCTCAGCAAGACAGTTGCACAGCGAGTTGCGCTTGACGTTACGGTCTTTTTACCATGATTATTGCTAAAAGCCATGATGCGGTGCAGCTCTTTGCCGATTAATAGATCCATTGTCATAGAAATGGCTAGTTTATATTATTATGCGAAAGCAAAAAGTCGAGCTTTGATGCTATTATCTTATTCTACTGCACCCCAGAGAGTCGGAAGTCAATGCCTTTTCTTTCTTTTTTTTCTCCTTGTCCCACACGTTTCTCCTTTCCCTTTTTCCTCCCTTACTTTTCTATTTTCTTCTGTATTTTATATTATAAACTAATAAGCAAAACATGTTGAAAAAAGCCTGACTCAGCCTTCCATCCTTCCGAGGTGGGTAAAACGAGGATCCAGATTGTTGGGGGCAAAATGCTGACTCTGTAAACTGCTTAGAGGGGGCTGTAAAGCACTGTGAAGCGGTATATAAGTCTAAATGCTATTGCTGTTGCTGTCTGTCCATCCGTATCCATCCATCCATCCATCCATGGTGGCACAGTGGTTAGAATGCAGTATTGCAGGCTAACTCTGCCCACTGCCAGGAGTTCGATCCTGATGGGCTCAAGGTTGACTCAGCCTTCCATCCTTCCAAGGTCAGTAAAATGAAGACCCAGATTGTTGGAGGGGCAAATAGGCTGACTCCGTAAACCGCTTAGAGAGGGCCGTAAAAGCACTGTGAAGCGGTATATAAGTCTAAGTGCTATTGCTATTATTAAGTGAATCATTGCAGGCTGTTAAGTAAATCGTAGGGCGGTTAATCGAATCCTCTGTTGATTTTGCTTGTCAGATGTCAGTGGTGAAGGTCGCAAATGGCCATTACATGACCCCCGGGATGTTGCAACCAGTAGTAAACTCATGCTAGTTGCACCTGAAGTTTTGGTCATGTGACTATGGGGATGCTGCAACAGTTGTGTGACAATCGATCATAAGTCAATCTCTTTCAGCACCGTTATAACTTTGAACAGTCGCTAAACAAACAGTTGTAAGTCGAGGACTCTCTCTGGTGTGCCCAATGCTGAGAGGAGCGATAAATGGATGTAAAAAAGCAGGATGTTCTTCAGCTAATCACTGTATCTTAGGTTTCCTGGCCCTTTCCCACTCAAGTATTTTACTTAATCAACATCACTCCTGTTGCAAAGATCTCCCAAAAAACCTAGAAAGGACATAGGCCGATTTCCCTATCTGTCTTCCTTGAGAAGGAAAACTCCCAATCAGGGGGTCCAAGTAAAACTGCAAAAAACTGTGCAGTGAGGATTGAACTGGGGAGAGGGGAGTTTAATTCAAAACCAACCCGAAAACATAAAACTTTTGAGTACTCTAATAGGTAAAACAAACTGCCCGGCAACGGGAACGCGGGGCTCCGCTCTCTCTCTCTCCGTCGCTCAACGCAATTATCCACAAACTGGGCCGACCGTTTCGCCCACGAAGCGCCAATTCCAGTCCGCTTCGAGAAACTGAGATAACAACCCTTTCTCTTTGCCCCTCCTGGATCCGCCCTGAAATCGGTGGCCGTTTTATTTACAGAGAAGCAGATGCAGAACTTCAGCTCTTCTGGACAGGCAGGACAACGGATGTCGAGAAGGAAAACTTTGTACAGTTAAGAGACCAGGAAAAGAAGCATCGGCGAGGGGGGGGGTCTCCTGGAGGGTGGGTAGGTGGGCTGATTGCAGTCTTTGCTCCACGGAGAGGAGGGCCGATGGCGTGGGAGGAAGGCGTGCTGAGGAAGGGGACAAAAGCATCTGGATAGAAGTGTGGGGTGGGTGCAGTTTGGTACCAAAGTCAGGCGAAGCCCGGGAAAAGCAATTCCCATCCTTGAGCTTCTACGATGGGAACATCTTCCATCCTGTCTGGATCAAGGCCGAGGTCTCCTTGTTGCCCGGAAGGAGATCCGGCTCAGAAGAAGACCACCGCAGCCGTGAAGCTACCCCACCTGTCCGGATCAAGGCCGAGGTCTCTTTGTTGCCCGGAAGAAGTTCTGGCTCAGAAGAAGACCACCACAGCCACAAAGCTACCCCACCCTCCTCCCTGCCGGAGGAGGGAAGGGTTAGGGAAAGCCGGGTGGGCAAAGAAGGAGAAAGGGAGAGAGGCTAAGGCAAGGGGGTGGCCCAGCGGGCAGTCCGGCGCAGTCCGGAGGGGGACTTCTTGGTTGCCACACCAACTGGAGGTCCCCAGGAGTTCTCCTCCCATCCTTCGGAGGTCAGTAATCTTCCACCCAGCCGTTTTCGGATATGAAGGCGTCAATCACCTCTTTCATGGCCAAGTTTGGAATCAGCTGGTCTTGGGTCAGCGGGCTTCGGGTCACAGGGTCAAAGTGGCCAACCCGCTAGGGAGGACGGAGAAGAGGGGGTTGTGGGGGGGGGAGGGGAACAGGAGCCAGGGGAGAAGATTATTTTTGGGCCGGAAGTATCCTCAATAACCACATCAAAGCCAGGAAGAAACCCAAACATTATTCCATTGGAAGTTTAAAGACGATTCATCACACGGGCTGAGGAATTCTGAGAGAAGTCCATAGCTCTCGGAATTGCTAAGACTGAGAACCCCCTGTTCTAAACCCAGGTGAGATCAATAAATTGCTCAGGAAAACCAGTTTGAAACATGAAGAAAAAAAAAAAACTACTCAGGGCACAGAAAGCCTTAAATCTTTCATTGTTGTTTCACTCAGTCCACCCCCTGCAGCCTCCCGCCTCTTGCCTTAACCATAAAAAAAAGCTGTCTATCCTTAAGGACCGCATTCATATCGCTTTTAGTTGTTTATTTGTTTATAAAATTTATTGGCTGCCCGTCTTACTGTAAGGTAACTCTGGGAGGCTCCTTCACCTTTAAATAAAGCTAAGGAGGTCAAGGAAACAACAGAGAGCCATATTTATTCTGAATTAGGATTTGGCCCTACGGCCAGCCCCAGATTTGGGATTCTCCCGGCCTTGTGGCTCAGCCTGACCTTATTCCATGATTTGGGATTCCTGTTCCACCTCTAGGGCAGCCAACCCGCCTCATTTACCTGGAGGTGCTCTTCGATGTCCTTCCGGTCGTAGGTGATCCCACTCGGCGTAATGCAAGGCTCGCGCATCAGTTCGAAGCTGATTTTCCCACACAGGTAATCAGGGATGTCCCGTTTCTGGCCCCAAAGAAGAGAAGATTACTCTGTATTGCCAACTCAGCATCAAGCTTCTAAATCTAGAGTATATTATAAGATGTTTATCCATCCAACCCACCCACCCACCCACCTACCTACCTATCTAATCTATCTATTCATCCATCCATCTATTCATCCATCCATCCAATCATTCATCCATCCATCCATCTATCTATCCAATCATCCACCCATCCATCTCTCTCTCTCTACCTCTCTCTCTCTCTAATCATCTATCACCTAAATCATCTATCTAATCATCTATCAATCATCTATCTATCTATCTCTCTCTCTATCTATCTATCTCTCTATCTATTCATCCATCCATCCATCCAATCGTCCATCCATCCATCCATCCATCCATCCATCCATCCAATAAGGCCCCAATGGGGAAGCACCATCCTGGAGATGGTTGATAGACTAATAGCAGATCCCATCTCACCCCTGCACACCCGACTTGTGGAGAGATGGACGGCAAATACATTTAATACATATATAAATAAAACTCACCTTCCGCTTCTCGTCCACCTGGGAGAAGAGCTCATCCATGTCTGCTAGATATTTTTCCTGAAAGAGAAATTGGACCCTTTAGCATGACCATCAAAAAGAAGAAGGAGGAGGAGGAGGAGGAGGAGGAGGAGGAGGAGGAGGAGAAGTAGTAGTAGTAGTAGTAGTAATAGTAGTAGTAGTAGTAGTAGTAGTAATAGTAGTAGTAGTAGTCTTGGATGGATTTCAAAGAGGAACGAACAGATTCCTGGAGGACTCTGTGTCTAGAAAAAAACCATGTTGCCTCTGGGCTGGGGGCCAAATATCCATTGCAGGGAGAGACCCCCTGCTTGGAAGCACCCAAAAGATGTCTGGATGGCCACTTGGAGAAGCAGCAGAGTGCTTTGACTACACAACAGTGTGGTTGAATGGTTTCTAAAAGATCAGATATGTTTGGAGATTGAGGTGAGGAAGAATGCACATGGCTTTGGAACTGGCAACCCATCAAGGTTATCCAGATTAGAAAAGAGACACCTCAAGAAGACTAGGCCACAACTCTACTGAGATAGGCTATCACAACAGAGACTTGCCAACCTGTTTTGTGGTTTTCTTCTTCTCCCACTGATACTCCAGGGAGTCAGAGAAGAGCCAACCAAAATATCTTTCTCCCTCTTTAGAACTCAAAGAATGTTTTTCCCCTCTGTTTTCATAACGGTTGATGGATATTTTGCTTCAAGTCCTCTCCAAGGACATCCCTGAACCAAACACATCCCAAATTGCACCTCAAAGCACAGACTGATGTTTTCTCAACCTTGGCAGCTCGAAGAGGCGTGGACTAATTCCCAAGCCAGCCTTGGATCTTCAACCTGCCAAAGTTGAGAAACAGTGCTATAGGCCATGTTAGGCCAACGTAGGAAGCAAGGAATGCTGGTTTGTGGTAGGGAAAAACCAGCACATTTCCCGACTAACACTTTTTCTTAAAAGGCAGCAACTTTTGCGAGTTGCACCTAGCTTCGTCGGAAGGAGAAACAGCCAGCTTGTCAACACCGATGCCCTCTCATAAAATCCACCGTCAGCCAAGGGACATCGCAACACAAACTGTGCCCTTTGCGGACCGTTCAAGGGCAGGGAACACGGTCTGTCCACCCCGCCAGGGGACTGGAGAAGAGGCCCCGTAGCTTGGCTTGCTTCTGACCCAAAGGCCCCACGGAGGGGCAGGGCAAAAGCCAACAAGGGGTCCTCACGTGTTTGGCTTTGATGTTGGCCAGTTGTGCCCGGCTCCGGTTTTCATCCATGTTCTCCTGCTCTTGGGCCCGTTGGCATTCGTCGAGTTCCCTGCAAGAGAAGCAAAGTGTGGGCAGGTGGTAAGGGGAGGAGAGGTCACCTGGCTCACCCAGAAGAGAGCTTCTTCTATCATGGCGCCTTCTGCCTTCTGGAGCGTCACTTCCTCTGGAGAGCAGAGTTGTTCCCATCCCCAGGGCTTCCCATAGGGCCTCCAAGGCCAGATTACATTACAAAACAAGTCCTTGACTTTTCACCACAACGGAGCCCAAACTTTTTGGTGCTAAGCAAGACAGTTGTTAAGTGAGTTTTGCTAACTCCATCAACTTTTGTGGGGATGGAAATGACGGCTTTGACCAAAGGGAAAAAAAACCACAAGTACTTTTTTTTTCTACTTGGAAACCGTTTCTGGACTTTGTGCTTAAAGTGGGGGGAAAAAATGAAACTTTGATTTTGGTGTTTTACTGATTAGACCGGTTTGTTGTTATAGAAATGGCTGGGTGACTGACAATCTGCACTGTCGTCTTATGACAAGTTTTTACACTTACTGACCATGGCAGCATTCCCATAATGCTATGGCCTATCATAGCATCCTTCCTTCCTGTTTTTCAAAACAACCTTGTCCGGCACAAAAGAGTTATCGCTCAAACTTATAGACCGGAATCTGGTCAACTAAAATTTAGTATTAAATTGGTCCCAGATAAAGTCAACAGAATTCAAAAGGAGCTGGACCTAGACTGTTGGTGACAACATAACGATTCTAGGCTGATGACTCACTTATCTCCACCCCCTAGCTCTGCCTACTCTTCTCCTACAAACCTTGTGAGATGGGTGGACCGAAAGAAAAAGGATGGGCCCAAAGCCTCTTTTAAGGATCGCTAGTCAGCGGATCCTCTCCCACCCATAACTGGATCCTCTACCAGAGTCTTTCTATCCTCGCTCACCGATTCTCTCCCCCCCCCCCGCCCCCACCTCTCCTTCTCTGCCATGATGAGCTTGGTGAGGTAAGCGTGCAACTCGTTCTCCTGGTTGATCCGCTTCTCCTCGATGTTGTTCCAACGTTTCTTCTTGGCGATGCGCAGGGCGCTCGGAATGTCGTCCCCGAAGTTTAGCCGCTGCTCTTTGGCTAAGTTGTGGGCTGAAAATGCAAAGCCACACGTTCAACGGAGGCCGAGAACAGGAGTGGAAAAACAAGTTCTCCCAAATTTGCCTTTGGGCACGTCATCACCCACGCTGCCTATTCTTCCCACATTCAGCTAGAGTTTCCAATCCCAGCTCGACAGACACAGATTCCTTTCGGTTTAAGCTGCCCTCCCCAGTTTGGCCCGACCCAGAGGTGAACTACAGTTGCTCTAGGCCCCAGCCGGCTTGGGTTTATGACTACCCAACCCATCCTGGAGCAACAGAGTGGAGAAGGAAGGAAGGAAGGAGCCCAGAAGCAACAGCTACATGAGTCAGACACGTAAACACACAAGTTCCGAATTTCGCCTTTCAAATGTCTTTCCCTCTACTGTTCTCTGAGGCTTTCTAAACCATCTTTCGAAAAGGCTTTTCAGCAACCAAGAATCAGGGTTTGACAGAGGGGAATCAGGAGGGCTTAGATCTTTTTTTTTTTAATGAAAGCAGGGTTGAGAATTTAGAATCCATCAAAGATGGGCCATTTTACAGATAAGCCTCCATTTATGATGGTTTGCTTAACAACCAGTCAAAATTATGACGGACCCCCCAAAATGGTCCTTACGACCTGGATTTGAAGTTCCAATGGCTGCCCCCCGATCATGTGACCACATTTGGGGTGCTTGGCAACCCTTCCCCCCACATTTATGACCATTTGCATTGTCACATGACCAAAATTTATGGGGTTAGGGGTTGTTTTTTTTGCCAGAAACTGGTCTTTATGAACAATGGGTTCTCTTAAAAGACTGACATGTTTGCTTAAAAACTGTTGCAAAAAAACTTGTAAATTCAGGCATGGTCAAAATGACCTGCTTAATGACCATCATGACTTATGCCTGCAATTCTGGGATCAGTTACAGTCGTAAGTCAAGGATCACCTCTACATTACTGAAATTGTAAAATTTAGAAAGGCGAGTATAGAAAAAGAAACTTGGCTTTGGAAACTGAAGTTGTCTCTTGTGAGCCTCTGGTCCACACACTTCCTTGTTCTCTTTCCTGCCTGCCCCCCTTCCCCCCCATCCCAAACAAATTTGTGGGATTTTATCCCTTAAAAATACAAACCAATCTAACTTTCTGTTATGGAAAGAGATGGGCAACAAACAAATTTAATAAATAAACCAACATATAAATAATGTCTGGGATGAAAGCGTATTTCTTTGAGAGAGATCTCAGCTGCCTTAGCTTAAGGAAAGGTAAATTCTCAGTGTCAATTTGGAATTGGGGGTGGGTGGGTGTCCAGTTAGGTGCCTTCACAAAATGGCCACCAAGAAAAACTTGCCAATTCACAAAACCGTTGCACTGGCACCCAATCACCCCAAGAGAGGGGTGCAAAAGACATTGTTGCAAATAAACACTGGTGCCGCGTGTGTGTGTGTGTGTGTGTGTGTGTGTGTGTGTGTGAGAGAGAGAGGGGGGGTCCAGAAGTGTGACGAACAATGCAACCTAATCCTCGCTCATTCTTCTTGGCTGTGGGTTGCTGACTCGTTTTAAAGCCTGTTTCCAAATCAGCCAGAATCTATAACCGGGATCGGCCCTATCACACACCACTCTAATCAAAAGCAGGAGTTCCAAATAAGCCATTTTTTTTCCTGAACCCAAACCTAGACTCAAGGACCCCAGGACAGTATCCCCCCCAACCTTTAACCATTTTACAATGGGTGGACTTCAATTCCCAGAATGCCCCAGCCATCCATCTCTCATTTCAATTTCAACTCGCTTTTTCTGATTTTTCTCACCTCTCCCCGGTAAAGGCACTGTCTCGTCATTACTTAGGAAGGAAAGCTGTTTACAATCTTATTTTGGTAAACCTGCCTCTCTCGATTTTGCTCTACATAATTAAAGGATGAAAGTATATAAAATAGAAATGCAAAATACAGTATACTGTGATTAAAGGGGACGGGACTCACTTTTATGGACTGCAATATTTTAATTTGCTCTTGTATCAGCTTATTATTGCTGTTTTATTATTTCCGACTACAACAATTGAATGTTTCTTTCATTTCTATGTTGCTTTTGGAAGGAAAAATCAGTTTTCAGATGAATGGGACTGTTTCACCGACAAACTGAGATCTGAGGAATGTGACCTTGTAGCTCACAGCAGCCTGTGGTAAGTTTTATCAGAACATTCTCATGCCAACTTCTGAATCTCAAGATGCAAATATTTCTTTTAGCTAAGACTGTTGTACTCGGTAGATAATAGAAAGGCAGGATGTAATCTGCCTTTAGGGGTGTTTCTCCCATTATTTTGGGGGGGGGAGAGACCCCCTCTAGTGGACCCTGTTAATGATAAATACTGTAGTGAGCTTTGATTACTTGTTTTGGGTCCTGTGTTTTAATTCTACACTTTTTCAACCCCTTTAATCGCTTAATATAGATTTTTTTTTCCTAGCACAATTTTTTTTCATGCAATTTTTCTTTTCTAGTATTTCAAGCAAGCCACTGGCACATAAAATGGGAGCCAACTCTCTAATAGCACTGAGGATGGATCACCTCTGGAAAAGATGGACCGTACACAAATCAATCCAAATCAATCAATCAATAAAAGTGGCACCCCGTTTGGTAATTGAACATATGCAAGAAAAGAATCCAGCTCAGGGAGCACCAAGGACTCCATAGTCCTCCTCCTCCTCCTCCTCCTCCTCCTCAACCCCCCACCCCCTCCTAGCACTGCTGATGTTACCTAGGCAGGTAATGAAACGTCTGCAAGAAAACCGCCAAGCTCAGAGAAGCATTGACTCAACTGAGCTACAAAATCTTCTCTTCTACCTAACATTTCATTCAGACGCTAGTCATATGACCTTTTCCTAATATTTAAGATCATATTATACAGCGGTGGGATTCAAATAGGTGGACAACCGGTTCTCTGTGTGGATGCCGCTTCTGGAGGTCCATTCTGGGCCTGGGCAACAAAAAAGTAGCTACCGGTTCTGCCAAAGTGGTGTAAACTGGCTGAATTCCACCACTGATATTATATCTCTTCTTTGATGCCCATCATTTTTCTTAAATGTTGCCAATGCACTTCCTTCTGATGCTACAAAGCAGACCATGCTCTCTGCAACAGCCTCTCAAATATTGGAAGCCTGCTATCCTGTCTCCCCTGGTCCTTCTCTTCGCTAGACTAGCCATGCCCAGTAACCATTCTTCATATTTCAATTTATTATTACAGCCAAAGGCCGCACATCAATCAAACTTCCAAATAAAACAAAACTAGACAGAGCCAACCCAAGAGGACATAGTAATACATCGCAATCAATGATGCCATCAATGGGCGACCAAGGTCTGCCTAGTTTTACAGGCAGGACCGTATTTTCCGGCGTATAAGGCGACCCCCGACTTCGGCGCCGAGTTGCATGCCTAGAAAGTCGTCTTATACGCCGGAAACTACCATTATTTCCGGCTTATAAGGCGACTCGGCGTATAAGACAACCCCCGAATTCGGAGCCGATTTCAACGCTTTCGAAAGTCGTCTTATTCGACGGAAAGTACAGTATATCAAAAACAAGCTAGTTTCAGAAAAACTGAATCATACTAACCTGACACTAAAAATACGAGTATAGTCTAAAACTGGATAAAACACGTAATAAAATCAATTTTAAAAGATTGTTAAAAAGATCTAAGACAGTGGTTCTGAACCTTTTTAATGCCGCGACCCCCAACCGGTCGTAAGTTGAGGACTACTCAACTGGTGCAGCACCGTTTGCAGAATGGGACTTTTGGTGGGCTCAGCAGGCAGAGACAGCCTGGACAATTCCTATTGGCTTTTGAAAGCCAATAGAATTAGACTCTATTCAAGAGAGTCTATTCTATTGGCTTTCAAAAGCCAATAGAATAAAAGGGAGTAGCCACAGCTAAGGAAAAGGGGGAAAAAATGGCGGACTGCGTTGTTTGGCGACCCCCGTGAAATGGTCATTCGACCCCAAATGGGGTCCCGACCCACAGGTTGAGAACCGCTGATCTAAGATGATTATTTATGTTTCTGGAGAATCCCGAATGCTGCTGCGCAGAATCTGGCCACTTGCGCCGTGATCTCCGCCTGCTCGTCCTTAAGCAGCCACGGGAGATAGATACTATCCGAACGACCAGGATATCTATCAGTTATGGGGAGGATAAAGAAGAGAGACCATTACAGTTCAGAGACCAAGATTATAAGATGAGAAAGATCTTTCCCGCTGAGTTTATGAACATGCGTTTAGCGCAGGGTTTCTCAAGTCTGGCAACTTTTTGTCTCTTGGGCTGGCTGGGGAATTCTGGGAGTTGAAGTCCACCCGTCTTAAAGTTGCCGCGCTCCAGACATACCATACCCAAAGGTTGCCACCGCCCCTCTCACCTCTTTGAAGGTTAGCAATAGCCTCGTCATAATTCTCCATCTCCAGCTGGCACTGTCCCAGGAAGAAATGTGCCTTCACGGATTGGCCGTCCAGTTCCAAGGCGTGCTTGCAGTCCGACAGGGCTTTGTCGTGCTGTTGCATCTTTAGGTAACATAAGGCGCGGTTGGTGTAGTAGACGGCGACCAGGGGATTGCGGTTCTGCAAGGGGAGAAAGGCAGGAAAGCTGGATAGCAGCAGATTCAGGAGACCGATGGAAAAGAACCGAGGTCAGGGCTGAGCTGTGGAGCCCTCGGTGCTCCCTGAGTTTGGTGGTTTTCTGGCAAGCCCCTTGTATATAAAATGGGAGCAAAGCCCCCCACTCCCTTCTAGCACTGATGGCGTTACCTAGTTGGGTAATGAGATGTCTGCAAGAAAACCACCAAGCTCAGAGAGGAACAAGGACCCCACAATCCTCCTCCTGCTCTTCTCTCTTCTCTTTCTCTTCCTCCTCCAGTCTGCAAATGCCACTCCCTTCTAGCACTGATGGCGTTGCCTAGTTGGGTAATGAAATGTCTGCAAGAAAACAACTAAGCGCAGAGAGCACCAAGGATCCCACAGTCCTCCTCCTCTCCTCCCCCCTCCCTTCTAGCACTGATGATGTTACCTAGTTGGGTAACGAAATGTCTGCAAGAAAACCACCAAGCTCAAAGAGCACCAAGGACCTTGCAGATCCAGGATAGTTGGATGAAAATGCTAGGTTTATTTTACCAAAATCGTCCTAGTCTGACAATCTGCACCGGGTCTCTAAATCAAGAGGGGGATCTTAGCTGGATTGATAGAGGGAGACTTTGGTTTAACCTGTTCGGGGCTGGGGGGGGGGGGCAAGTAAAGTCACAGTTCTCTGAAATCTTTGATGGCTCCCCTAAAATGTCAACGGCAGGACTCTGGGAGTTGATCTGCCCTAGAACTGTGATAGGAGAAATCCTGAATACATTGAGGAGCGACGGTATGAATCGCCACATCATTTTGCAAAACAAATCAAAGGCTTCTCGTCTTATGCTTCTTCACTTCCAATGGCATTCTGCAGCATTATTCCCAGGCATTGCAAATTCAGCTTTAAAAACGGCCCCATCACGAAAGGACCCCAAATTCATCCAGAGGACATGCTTGTTGACACCATTATTAAAGTTGTTCAAAGTGCCGGGCTTATTTTCCCCTTATGCCTCAACAACAACAATCAAAATCTCTCTATTGCTGAAAAAAAGAATTGAAACAGCATTATTCTTTCAGGTAAATGCAATTAAGTCACACGCAGCCACTGGAAAGGAGCTAAGTCCAATCCAAACTGGAATTTTCCAAAATATTCCTGGTTGAAAACAAAACAAAACAAAACCCTTTTTTTTTTTTTTTTAAGCATCGGGAGCTCCTAAAAACTGTGATTTCTTGCAAATCCACTTTACAACGGCAGGGACTGGAAAAACTCGGGAAGAATTCAAGAATGAAAAGGGTGTTTTGCAATAGCAAGGCAGGAGAGCAGATTAGAAATACTTTCAAATCAAAACAAAGGCAGTGAAGATCATCCGCCTGATTCTTTTCCAGCATCTAACAAACATTTCAGAAAATAAGTTTCTGAGTAGCCAGGGTTTTCTATCAGCTCCTTAAGAGTGATGGTAACCCACTTGAAACGGTAGAGCGCCTTTCAAAATAAAATCTAGGTTTTTCAAGGACCTCTTCCTCTCTTTTGAGAAATCAACTCTCTTTCGTAATACGTGCAAGGCCACACGAAGCGTTAAAGGCAAGATTTTTTTTGAGGCGAGATTTTTGCCCCAAAGAATTTCCATCCATAAACTGCAAAGACTGTAATGCTGTAAAACTCCACTGCGTAACTACTAATATACAACTGGTCCTTGACTTAACCACAGTTCATTTAGTCACCATTCAAAGTTACAACAGCACCGAAATGACGTAGGATCATTTTTCACACTTACGATCCTTGCAGCGTCCCCTGTAGTCACGTGATCAGAATTCAGACACTCGGATTTATGATGGTTGCTGTGTCCCCGGGTCAGGGGATCCCTTTTGCAACCTTCTGACTGGCCAGTGCTGTTGTAACTTCAAACGGTCACTAAATGGAACTATTGTAAATCGAGGACTATCTATAGCGCATCTAGCTGTTCTTATCCTTGCAAATGGGACCCCACAGATCTGGGAGGGGCACCATCCCGGTTCTTCAGCCAAAAGAATAAAAAAAATTGCAAAACAAAACCAGCAAAAGTATCCCTAAGCAGCTGGCACTATGGTTTTCCAATTGTTTCAAACACTTTGCCCTACAAACACACACAACGCACGTACACAAATACCATCTTTTACTGTTAATCCTTTGAAAGGGGCCAGCTTTTCTCATGCTATTGCTAAAAAGTCTCTTTATGTTTTAACTTTCCAGCCCGCCTTTCCAGCTGCAAAAGGACTCCGGGCAGCTCTCCAGAGTTTAAAAGCAAGACGTAACACAGCCTTGGTTCTTAAAAAGTAGAGTCGCCCTCAGGGAACAGATTAAATAAAAGGCACATGTCCCCATGACTCTTGCAACCGCCTTAAGCGTCTCTTGAATATTTCTTTTTATATGCAGGTGGAATTGAGGAGAAACTTCCTGACAGTGAGGACAACCAACCAGTGGAACAGCTTGCCACCAGAAATCGTGGGTGCTCCATCACTGGAGGTTTTTAAGAAGAGGCTAGACCAGGGGTAGGCAACCTCGGCTCTTTTATGACTGGTGGACTTCAACTCCCAGAATTCCTGAGGGGAAAGGGAGAGGTTTCCAAGCTGAGCCATGCTGGCTGAGGAATTCTGGGAGTTGAACTCCACAAGTCATGAAGGGGCCATAGTTCCCCCATGCTGGCTCAGGAATTCTGGGAGTTGAAGTCCACGAGTCATGAAGGGGCCATAGTTCCCCCATGCTGACTCAGGAATTCTGGGAGTTGAAGTCCACGAGTCATAAAAGAACCAAGGTTGCCTACCCCTGGGCTAGACAGTCACTTCTCTAAGATGGTATAGGTTCTCCTGCTTGAGCAGGGGGCTGGACTAGAAGACCTCCAGGGTCCCTTCCAGCTCTATTCTATTCTTTTTTCTGTTTTGTTTTTCTAAGCGAGGCATTTGTTCAGTGAATTTTGCTCCATTTTACGACCTTTCTTGCCACAATTGTTAAGTGAATCACTACAGCTGCTAAGTTAGTAACCTGGTTGTGAAGTGACCATTGACTTTGTTCATCAGGTCGCAAAAAGGGGATCATATATAACTTCGGGACACTGCAACCGTCCTGAATACGAGTCAGCTGCAAAGCATCTAAAATTTGATCCCATGACCACAGAGATGCCACAACAGTCGTTAAGTGTGAAGCCCAGTCGTAAGTCACTTTTCCAGTGCCGTTATATAACTTTGAACCGTCACTAAACGAATTGTTATAAGCCGAAAACTACCCATAACGTCGTTTCTTGAACTTGCAAAGTATCTGGAGTTGCTGTGGAGTTGGGCAGCTTTGGAATCCGATTAAGGTGAGAAATACCTTGCTCCTGAATCTGGAGGTTCTGTGTCGCTTCCAGATCTAAACTCCACTTGATCCCATTCATTTCCTGGAAGATGCCCCAGCTGCAAAGTTTTTCATCCATCCCAGATGTGCCGGGAGGTGGAATGTAGCCAACTTCGCCTCCGTACCTTCTGCCTTGAGGAACTTGCGCTGCGGCTTGGGAAGACGCATCAGAAGGAGCACAACTGGCCTCACAGAAAATGAGTCACATCCCATCCACTGCCCGGATATCCCAGACATGTTATTTGTCACGGGGCTGATGCAAAGAAGCCTCCTTCACCAGGAGCCTGGGGGCGGTCTGGATCCCAATTTTAATTTGACTTTAACCAAGTCACTTCCCTCTTCCAATTGGCCCACCTCACAGGGCTGTTGTAAAGGTCACATGGGCTTCCACCTCAGGCTAAAAAAAGCCAGGGTCTCCAAAGTTAGCAAAGTTAGACTTGTGGCCTTCAACTCCCCCCAGAATTCCTCAGCCAGCATGAAGTTGCCAGGATGGAAGACTCCCCCCCCTGGGATAAAGCAAAGTGTCAATCACTTCTTTGCAAGGTGAACCTGGTTACTGATTTTAAGCCATCTCGTGGACTGGGTTTGTTTGTCTGAGAAAGCCTGCTTAAGCCAACCACTGCATGGACCTGTGCCAGGGTGAAATCTCACAGAAGCTGTAGAATCCTAGGGCTGGAAGGGGCCTCAAGAGGTCTTCTAGTCCAACCTCCTGCTCAAGGCAAGAGACCTTATATCAGGGGTCTTCAAACGTGGCTGCTTTAAGACTCCCAGAATTCCTCAGCCAAACTGGTGCGAACTGGCTGAATCCCACCACTGGATGAACCCCTGATCTGGTGGCCATCAACCAGAACCTCTTTGGGTTAGGGACAGCCAAAGAAACTTTGTACTCACACAAGACGCTTAATCCAGTTTTTGTATAGGTTATCCCTGACTTACCATTCATTTCGCAACTGTTCAAAGTCACAACACTGGGGAAAAAAGTGTCTTAGGATCGACCCTCGTCTTTACAATTGTCGCAGCATCGCAACAGTCACAACATTATCAAAACTTGGGTGCTTGATAATGGGCAGCATTGCTGGGATCACACAGTGACCATTTTGATTAGATTTGTGTTGCTTTGTTTTTGTTTTTTTTAAATGTGTTTCAATTGATTATATTTGCAACCTTGCCAGCTGGCTTCTGACAAACAATGAGGGTTAGGACTGGGAAGCTGGAATTGCTTAACAGCTGTGGCAAAAAAGGTTACAAAATCAAGCTCACTTAATAACAGCCTTGCTTACCGACGGAAATTGTGGACTACCTGTATTACTATGCAGTAACCCATTTGGGGAACCTTCAGCTCCCAGACACGTGTGTTCATGCTACGTGTGAAGTCACCAACCTATCCAAAGGGAACATCGGCGGTGAGTTTGCCCACAGCCATCAGGTTTATAACAAACCCGGTTCAGCCTATCATCCATGCTCAACCACAACATTGTGCACACACCTCTCCAGGTTACAACATTTTAAAAAGGGAATAGGGTATAAACACCGGATCTGAGCAGTAACTTCCTTCCGGCTCTTTGCTCAGCTTAGACCCCAATTCTTTTCGTTCTCAGAGCCCGGGACCCCATTCACACATCCTTTCTGTCCCTCGAACGCAGTGTTTGTCAACCTTGGGAACGTGAAGAGGTGTGGACTTCAACCCCCAGAGTTCCCCAGCCAGCTCCACACCTCTTCACGTTCCCAAGGTTGACATACACTGCTCTAGAGAACCTTCTCAAGCCCCCTGCCCACCCCAGACCCCAGACTCACCTTAATCAAGCCCAGCATCAACCAGTCCCAGCCCATCGGTCCTTGTCCCTCAAGAGGGTGGTTCAAGATAGGTCTTGCCCGGGTGAGCCTTTCCCTTGCCTTCCTCAACTCAGACCTGCCGGCTCTCTGTGCATGCTCAGATGCCTCCCCTGTCAGGTGACTGCAGCAGACTCATTCATCTCTCCCAGTTGCCACCTCATTCCTCATCCCTGGGGTCAAAAGTCGGCAATGCACTCTGCTTATAAACGCTCACGGTCCAAGCATCCTGGGCCCTTTTAGCCATCATCCAGCTTAGGAAGGCGTGCACTCTGCTCGTGCTCAGAGGATCCCCTCTTCCTCTTTGCGGGGCAGAGGAAAACTAAACCCCATTTCACGTTACTTTCTGCCTGTGCAACGCAGAGGCGTCACTGACCTCCACAATAAGGAGGAGTGGCATTCTGCTTGTCCTCAGAGGCACCCTCTTCCCTTACATGGACGTACACACGTACGTACGTACGTACGTACGTACGTACACACACACACACACACACACACACACACACACACACACAAATGCACCCGACGCATTTTTAGCCCTGCCTTCTTTTTATGGGGCAGGGGCAAAATCTTCCTTTCTCCCCCCCCATACCAGAACCAAAATGCTCCACCCCCCAGCGCCCTCTGCCTATGCTCAGAGGCCCCCTTAACCCCCCCCCCCGCAACCCTCTCCTTTGCACCCTAAGAAACCCGGCCTATCTGCGGCTTCTTCCAACCCCACCCGGGGCCGACCTCCCCTCTGCCTATGCTCAGAGGCCTTCTTTCCCCCCCTCTTTCCCCCCTCCTTCGCACCCTAAGAAACCCGGCCTGTTTGCGGCTTCCTCCTCCACCTCCCCCCCCGCAACCCCACCCGGGCCCGACCTCCCCTCTGCCCGGGCTCAGAGGCCCTCTCTCCTTCCCCACCCGGAGCCTCCGCCGCGCTCTGCCCACGCCCAGAGACCCCCTCGGCCCTTTCCCCAAATGGCGCCGCCGCCGACTCACAATGGCGCGTCCGTAGCAGGCGGCGGCCTCGGGGTACTTGCGGCTGACGAAGAGCCGGTTGCCCTGCTCCTTGTACTCCTGCGCGCTGCGGGTCTTCTCCGGGCTGCCGCCCGCGCCGCCGCCGCCGCCGCCAGCCTCCCCGCCGCCGGGCAGCCCCGCGCCGCCCTCCTTCTCCTTCTCCTCCTTCCCCTTCATGCCGCCTGCGCCGCCCAGGCAGAAGCAGCCGCCGCCGGCCCCGGAGGAGCCCGGCGGGCCCCGCTCGCCCCGGCCCCGACGCACCGCCACAGCCCGGCCCGGGCCCCGCCCGCCCGTCCGTCCGTCCGCGAGAGCAGCGCCCGCAGCGGCCCCGGAGCAGCAGCCGGAGGAGGAGCCCGGCGCCGGGAGGAACGGGCGGAGCGCTGCCGTGGCAGGAGGAAGGGGAGGGATCGGCGCGCTCCGGCTGCGGCGCCCGGGTGCAACGACGGCGCCGCCGGCTGGCTGGCTGGCTGGGTAGGGGTCGCTGGGAGGGAGGCAGGGAGCGACCTCGCTTTGCGACCGCCGAGGAGCGGCTGTGCCCAGCCGAGCGGGGGGGGGATCGGAGCCTGCTTGCCCGCCCCGCTTTGCGCCCGCCCGGCTTGGCTTGCGCCCCCCCCGCTCGGTTGGCTTAACGGTCGAAGAGGGAGCGGGGGGGGATCCGGCGGGGTTTGGCTCGCTTGGGTCCGGGCTGGGTGGGAGATGTCGGTCGGAAGCGGGGAGGCTCGGAGGGTGGCAGCGGGGCTCGGGTGGGCTGGCTGGAGGAAGCAACCCCCCCCCCCCGGCTCACCGGGTTGGTGGATTTGGGTTGGGGGGCGCGTAGAGGGGAGCTGTTTCCGAAGAAAGTCTTGGTTGTTTGGTTAAAGGGCAGGTGGGACCCTCATGTTCCATCCCTGGTGGGTTTGAAGAAGGGACTGGACAGGCACTTGTCTGGAATGGTACTGTGGGGTCTCCTGCTTGAGCGGGGGGGGGGGATGGACTAGATGACCTCCAAGGTCCCTTGCAACTCTCGTTATTCTGCTTTCCTTCCTTCCTTCCTTCCTTCCTCCATCACTGGAGGTTTTTAAGAAGAGAAAATGGACAACCATTTATGTGAATTGGTTATAGAGTCTCCTGCTTGAGCGGGGGGGGGGGGATGGACTAGATGACCTCCAAGTTCCCTTGCAACTCTGTTATTCTGCTTTCCTTCCTTCCTTCCTTCCTTCCTTCCTTCCTTCCTTCCTTCCTTCCTTCCTTCCTTCCTTCCTTCCTTCCTTCCTTCCTCCATCACTGGAGGCTTTTAAGAAGAGAAAATGGACAACCATTTATGTGAATTGGTTATAGAGTCTCCTGCTTGAGCGGGGGGATGGACTAGATGACCTCCAAGTTCCCTTGCAACTCTGTTATTCTGCTTTCCTTCCTTCCTTCCTTCCTTCCTTCCTTCCTTCCTTCCTTCCTTCCTCCATCACTGGAGGTTTTAAGAAGAGAAAATGGACAACCATTTATGTGAATTGGTTATAGAGTCTCCTGCTTGAGCAGGGGGGATGGACTAGAAGACCTTCAAGGTTCCTTCCAACTTTGTTATCCTTCCTTCCTTCCTTCTTTCCTTCCTTCCTTCCTTCTCCATCACTGGAGGTTTTTAAGAAGAGAAAATGGACAATCATTTATGTGAATTGGTTATAGAGTCTCCTGCTTGAGCAGGGGGATGGACTAGAAGACCTCCAAGGTCCTTTCCAACTCTGTTATCCTTCCTTCCTTCCTTCCTTCCTTCCTTCCTTCCTTCCTTCCTTCCTTCCTTCCTTCCCCATCACTGGAGGCTTTTAAGAAGAGACTGGACAGCCATTCGTCTGGAATGGTACTATAGGGTCTCCTGCTTGAGCAGGGGGATGGACTAGAAGACCCCCAAGGTCCCTTCCAACGATGCTGTTCTGTTAAATTTTGATCGATTCACCAAAGTTGCATGTTCTGCAGCTAAGACTGTTGATTGGTGAAACTGCAAGTTAATCCGAAATTAAAAGCAAGTTTGGCGCCTACTGGATTAAGAAAAGGGAGACTAGTCTTGGGCACAAAGCCAAAGCTGAGTGACCTTGGGTCAGTCCCTCTCTCTCAGCCCTAGAAAGCAACAGCAAATCACTGCCCAGAAAACTTCAGGCACTTTATTATTCTTAATGAGGGCTAGTTTGTTGTAATGGCTAAGGCATCGGGATAAAAACTGGGAGGCATTGAGTTCCAGTCCTGCCTTGGGCAGGCGAGCCAGTGACCTTGGGCCAGTCACTCTCTCTCAGCCCTAGGAAGCAGGCAAGGGCAGCCTCTTCCCAGAAACATTGCCAAGGAACTTGTATGGTCAGGCAGCAAGAGTCAACGTGGGCTGAAAAGCACTCCCAAAAATAAATAATAATACAAAATACAATATAAATAACCCACAAAGTTGGCAAAGCTGCATGTTAGCGTGTCTGCACATCACAGCGCATTGGGGTAAATCTCATTTTTTCAACAATCTTTTTTATAATTTTTTTTTCCATCAACATATGTTAATTTTTCCAATCAAATAAGTTGTCTGGTGTTTGCTAAGCTAATACATGTTCACTTCCTAATCCTTCATTCTCTTCTCTAACCAAGAATAAAATAAATTCCAAATTTTATAATAGTCCGTATCTTCTTTGTCTTTCAGCCTCATAGTTAGTCTGTCCATCTGCACATTCCAATATTTTTGTGATTATTTCTTCTTCTGATGGCAATCCTTCATTCTTCCAGTACTGTGCAAAAATTATTCTTGCTGCTGTGGTAATATGTAGAATTAAATATAATTTCTGCTTATGAATCTTTTCAGACATAATGCCTAGTAAAAAAGTTCAGGTTTAAAATCCACTTGTTTGCCCAATATTTTTTCTAACCACATATGTATGCTTTTCCAATAGGCCTTTGCCTTCCCACATGTCCACCAAATATGATAATACGTGCCTATGTGATGTTTACATTTCCAACATCTATCTGACATATTTTTAAACATTTTTGCTAACCTTGCTGGTGGAAGGTGCCATCTATAAAACATTTTATACAAATTTTCTTTGTATGAAGTGCATTGGGGTAAATCTAACCACAATAACGCTGAACAATTATAGCTGAGAGGTTCAGCCTTGAATGACACAGGGCAAACCACAGTGGCAAAGATCCTATATTGAGCTAAATCTTGCAAGTTTCTGGAAAAGTCTGTGGCTGGTATCCTAATTCCTCTGGCTGGGAAATTCTGGGACTTGACGTCCATCTATCTTCATGTTGCCCAAGTTGAAAAATACTGTTTTAAACAACCAAATATAAAAAGGAAATATGACCTCTCTGTCCTTAGCTACCGAATACTTGTATTTTGATTTTTCTCTGTTCCAGGAAGGCCTTAAACCATGTCAGCGAAAGGGGGACTTTATGCATGTGACGATCCAGCCTCCTGGAAAGCCGTTTTGAATATTTACCAGGATGTGATTGCAGCGATGGGAAGCAAGAGGAAGAACCTAATTGCCCTGGATCAGTGGTAAATTACTGATGGGTCATTTGGAAGTTTAATGAAGGCATCGGCCCATCAGCTAGGTTGGCCTAGCTGACCATTTTCCATGTGCAAGAGAGAGAAAAAATGCATTTTGGGATGGCTTGGGCACTGCCGCCCTCTTTATTTCCATAAGCTTCTTAAAAATCTCCTCCTGAGAACGAGGAGGGCTCTATCTGTTTTTACCGTTTATTTTTCTTGTCTCCTTTCAAGGTATCAAGAAGAATTGCCCAGAATTCTTGCAGGGCGCAAGGAAAAATACTTGACGAAAGAGGAATTGTTGAAACTCATGCAATGGAAGCTTACCGTAGGTATTCCTCTCTGAAGCGCTTAAACAGATTTCAGCAGTTCAACAGTCTCAAAACCCATCTGTAAAATGGGTTTATTAAGGGTCCTTGGTGCTCTGTGAGCTTGCTTGTTGTTTTTGCAGACATTTCGTTACCCAAACTAGCGAACATCATCGGTGCACTGATGATGTTATTTAGTTTGGGTCATGAATCGTCTGCAAGAAAACAAGCAACCTCAGAGAGCACCAAGGACCCCTCGTTTCAACCCTAAGCTACACATATTCTCCTTTAATGGATATATTGAAGATGCAATTGGCATACTAGTGCAATCTCCTTAATAGGTTGGTTCAGCTTTCGCTTAGCAAGCATACATGCTGTTTAATGGACAGTCACTTATCTGAGATGGAATAGGTTGTCCTGCTTGAGCAGGGGGTTGGACTAGAGGACCTCCAAGTTCTCTTCCAGCTCTATTCTGATTCTATTCTGATTCTATTCTATTCTGATTCTATTCTGATTCTATTCTATTCTATTAATTCCATTCCATTCCATTCAATTATTCTATTCTATTCTATTCTCTTCTATTCTCTTCTATTCTGCATTCTATTCTATTCTATTCTATTCTTCCATTTCATATATTCTATTCTATTCTATTCTATTCTGCATTCTATTCTATTCTATTCTATTCTATTCTATTCTATTCTATTCTATTCTATTCTTCCATTTCATCTATTCTATTCTATTCTGCATTCTATTGTATTCTGCATTCTATTCTATTCTATTCTTCCATTTCATATATTCTATTCTGCATTCTATTCTATTCTATTCTTCCATTTCATATATTCTATTCTGCATTCTATTCTATTCTATTCTATTCTTCCATTTCATATATTCTATTCTATTCTATTCTATGCCAGGATCGAGACTAGAAACATACAGTTTGAAGAAGAGACAGAAGGCTTAACCCTAGCACTGAGGAAAGACAAACAATGGCGAAATTGTACAGTGGGCAGAATGAAACCACGCCAAAGATTTGCAGCTCAGACTCAGAAGCTGATCATTTCTGCTTTTGGTCTTTCCAGAGAGGAAAATTCCGGCCTCGTTTGCAGCAGCTGGTGGCAGCTAATCCGAGAGAGGAGGTGGAGGAACATACCCAAAAAGCTTTCCATCAACTCCCAGATGTAGAAGCTGCCGTGAAGGAGTTGAACAAGCTGAAGGGCGTTGGACCCGCCACGGCTTCAGGTACAAAAATGGAAGGTTACAAATCTGGAACTTGCAGAATACAGAATAACAAGAGCTGGAAGCGACCTTGGTGGTCTTCTCGTCCAACCTTCTGCCGAAGCAGGAGACCCTGTACCATTTCAGACAAATGGCTGTCCAGTCACTTCTTAAAATCCTTCAATGTTGGAGCACCCACAAGTTCTGGAGGCAGGTTGTTCCACTGGTTAATTGTTCTAACTGTCAGGAAATTTCTCTTTAGTTCTAGATTGGATCTCTGTTTGATAAGCTTCCTCCTGTCACTTCTTGTCCTGCCTTCAGGTGCTTTGGAGAATAAGTCAATCCCCTCTTCTCCGTGACAGCCCCCCCATCAATGGAGATTTTTTTTTTTTACAAATTTTATTTATAATACAATTAAAAGCAAACATTGGATTTGACGTGACATTCCAGTATATACATTCTTATCAGATTATTCCACTTTTTACAATCAATTCTTCATCTCTACATATACATCTAAGTTTTATATACAATTGTTGTTGTTGTTATTAAATGCGAAGTCGTGTCCGACCCATCGCGACCCCATGGACAACGTTCCTCCAGGTCTTCCTGTCCTCTACCATCTTCTGGAGTCCATTGAAGTTCACGCCTACTGCTTCAGTGACTCCGTCCAGCCACCTCCTTCTTTGTCGTCCCCTTCTTCTATTGCCCTCCATCTTTCCCAGCATTAGGCCCTTCTCCAGTGAGTCCTTCCTTCTCATTAGGTGGCCAAAGGACTTGAGTTTCAACTTCAGGATCTGGCCTTCTAAAGAGCAGTCGGGGTTGATCTCTCTAGGACTGACCGGTTTGGATCGCCTTGCAGTCCAGGGGACTCGCAGGAGTCTTCTCCAGCACCAGAGTTCAAAGGCCTCCATTCTTTGGCGCTCAGCCTTTCTTATGGTCCAACTTTCACAGCCATACATTGCAACTGGGAAAACCATGGCCTGGACTATACACACTTTTGTTGGCAGGGTGATGTCTCTGCTTTTTAGTATGCTGTCTAGATTTGCCATAGCTTTCCTCCCCAGGAGCAAGCGTCTTTTAATTTCTTGGCTGCAGTCCCCATCTGAGGTGATCTTTGAGCCCAGAAAAATAAAATCTGTCACTACCTCCATTTCTTGCCCGTCTATTTGCCAGGAATTATATACAATACTTGTTCTAAAATAACATTATATTTCTATCTTAACATTCGTCTTTAATCCCGACCGTCCTCTTCAAATTCCTCCAGCGGTAAAATTTATCCCAGGTTTCATAATAAACTGATCCACATTTATCTTTTAATATCATTGTGAGCCTGTCCATTTCCGCACATGGCTAATATTTTATGTATTAACTCTTCCTCTGTGGGAATTTCATCAATGGAGATTTTCAAGGAGACATTGGACAGCCGTTTTTCTGGAATAATAGACGGTCTCCTGCTTTTGTAGAGGGTCAGACTACAAGACCTCAAAGATCCCTTCCAACTCTCTTATTCCTCAATAATGCTTTTCTACATCCTGTGATGGCTGTTTTCTAAGGCTGACCTACCTAGGGATCTATTCTTCATGGTCACCTTCCTCTGAGTCCATTTATTTCCACTGTGATGCAAGGCAGAAAGGCAGAGACGAAGCCATCCAAAGAATAAAATGGATTCTAAATCTAATCAATAAAAATAATAGAAATAGCAGGCAGGGAGACTTTGCACCCTGTCACTCCCCCCAGATATTTCTCCTATAGCTCTGTGTTTTCACTTCTGTTTCAGCCATTCTCGCTGCCGGAGCACCTGAAATTGCTGCGTTCATGGCAGATGAAGTGATGGAGATTCTTCCAGGCTTGGGTCCTCTCCAGTACACCCTGAAACACTATCTGCTTTATATGGACAAGATTCAGAGCTGTGCTGAGAAACTGAATAAAGGTAAGGCAATTTTCTCTCTTCTCCCCATTATAAAAAGATGTTGAGACTCTAGAAAGTGTCCGGAGAAGAGCAACAAGGATGATTAGGGGACTGAAGGCTAAAACATACATAGAACGGTTTTAGGAATTGGGTATGTCTAGTCTAATGAAAAAAAGGACCCTGGGTGACATGGTAGCCAATATTTGAAGGGCTGCCCCACAGAAGAGGGGTGTGTGTCACCCTATTCTCCAAAGCACCTGAAGGCAGAACAAGAAGCAACGGATGGAAAATAATCAAGGAGAGAAGCAACTTAGAAATAAGGCGAAATTTTCTAACAGTGAGAACAATGAATCTTGCTTCCAGAACTTGGGGCTGCTCCATCAGTGGAGGCTTTTAAGAAGAGATGCCTGTCTGAAATGATATAAGGTCTCCTGTTTGAGCGGGGGGCAGGAGTGGACTAGAAGATCTCCAAGATCCCTTGCAACTCTGTTGTTTTGTATTTTGTTAGGTGACACCACAGAAACCTGGACGGCTCACCTGGTGGAAAAATGCCTCTGGACCTGGGCTTTGGCCGAAAAGTTGTGTTTGCCCTCTTTACCGACTGTGAGCCAAGGGGAAGACCAGGGAGAGGGTGGTGAGCAAGGAGGCAGAGGCCGCAAGAAGCAGAGAACCAAATGAACGCTTCCCAGCTCCTGCGATTGTGGGATCAACACCTGCTCCTCGGCACGTGAACGGCAGAGCTCAGCAACACACCCAAGGGACGCTTGCTCGCTCTGGGACCAACCACACCAGTCCGTAGCAACCATCCACAGCACAGCTTTCTCACAAACAGAACGCAGCTTGTGTGATACAAAATCCTGCTGGGTCTTCTTTCAAAGGATCTACAGGGAGGGGTCCAAATGTTCCTGTTTTAATAATGTTGAAATGGATCGTTCTCTCCGAAGCAGCCTTACCTCACTTGCCCCCACCTCCCATGGTAATGGATCCTCCCTCCCTTGTTTGGTGGAGTATGGGAGGGCAACTCCATTAGATCTAGAGCCGAGGTGGCGCAGCAGTTAGAGTGCAAGTACTGCAGGCCACTTTAGCTGACTGTGTTCAGCAGGTCAGCGGTTCAAATCTCACCGGCTCAAGGTTGACTCAGCCTTCCATCCTTCCGGGGTAGGTAAAATGAGGACCCAGATTGTTGGGGGCAATGTAAATATATATATAGATACATTGCTTACTGGTGTACACTGCTTAGAGAGTGCTTGCACTTAAAGCGGTATATAAGTCTCATAAATAAATAAATAGGTTAATATAGGTTGAGCCGTGGTTAAAATGCAGTACTGCAGACTACTTCAGCTGACTGCCAGCGGTTCAGCAGTTCGATTCTCACCAGCTCAAGGCTGACTCAACCTTCCATCCTTCCGTGGTCAGTAAAATGAGGACCCAGACTGTTGGGGGCAACAGGCTGATTCTGTAAACCGCCTTTGAGGGGCTCTAAAGCACTGCGAAGCGGTATATGAGTCTAAATGCTATTGCTATATTAGGAATGAAAGATTTAATGGAACTTACTGGCTGATGTGTACTGTATATGTGGAAATAGTTTTCATAGGACTCGGGAGTTGTTGAGCTAAGCTTTCCTCTCTTATTTTTCAATAAAAAAAGGGATTAAAGGATATGAGTAAACCTTGCACAATTACAAAATAAAAAGCTACATCAAAAGGTGCGGGGAAAGAAGAAAAAGAAAGAACAAGGTCGAAATAGAAAAAAAGAAACACCCGCTTCCATCCTCAGCCAGCATAAATCAAGACTAAGAACTTGCCACCATCTCTTCAAACAAAACCCAGTATCTCTTTATTCCGTGCCTTCCTCCAGTTTCTCTAAATGCACCGTTGCAACTTCAAAAAGTCACTAAACGTTTGGTTCTAAGTTCAGGAATACCTGTAATCAAAATTCAGTTCCACTCAAATTGAGTTTTCCAAAGGCATGGGAGCAAAGAGGGAACTATGTGGTTTTCCCCCTTAATGGTCTGGGGCACTGTTTCTCAACTGGCTGCTTGAAAATGGGCGGACTTCAACTCCCGGAATTCTGCAGCCAGCCTGAGGAATTCTGGGAGTTGAAGTCCACGCATCTTCAGGTTGCCAAGGTTGAGAAATACCGCTTGGAAGGACATGATGCTTCTCTATCGCTAGAGGGAGCCCCTGTCTAAAGATACCAACTTCCAACAGTTCTTAAATCCTATCTGGCTGATTATGAGAGCTTTCCTCAAGTTGTTCAGATGCCGTGATGTGTCTACACCAGTGATGGCGAACCTTTTAGAGACCGAGTGCCCAAACTGCAACCCCAAACCCATTTATGCATCGTCGAGTGCCCGGTGGGTGTGGCCCATTGGCTGGGCGTGCCTGCGGTGGTTAACGGCAGACTGGGTGGGACTAAAAAGTTCAATCAATCCATTCCAACTTTGCAAGATCTTTTTTTTCCCACGAGAAGTTGAAATTGACCGATTGATTGAACCTTTTTTTTTTTTTGGCACACGGCAGCGGAGGCCTAAAGCAAAAAGGTTTTCTAAAACTCAGCTGAAGGCCTAGGATTGAGGCGATGGCGCGTGTGCCCACAGAGAGGGCTCTGAGTGCCGCCTCTGGCACCCGTGCCATAGCTTCGCCACCACTGCTCTACTGAGATATGGTTATGTCTAACTCATCCCCATACACATTCTTCCCCCTCCCTTCCAGCACTGTCTGATTCTAACTCTAAAAGCAATAAACAGGTTAAAGAGAAAATGGCTGCGCCTTCATACATTGTCAAAGCAAGAACATCCGATGTTAAGCAGTGTTGACAATTATATTGACAACTTTGAACTTTGTTGTTGAATAAGGTGACTAACTTTTTTACAATGAAAAGGAGGACACAAATAAATTGAAGAAAAAAATATCGTAAATGAAAGAAACATTTTATTCATTGCAAGAATAATACAACTTGCATGTGCAAAGTTTGCCAGCCGAGTGTTTTGGCGCGCTCAGCAGCAATTCCTATTGGCTTTCGAAAGCCAATAGTGGGAGTAGCACAGCTCATGCAAAAGTTGAAAAAAAAAACCATTAAAAAAAAGGTGCCGGAACGCCATTTTGACGTTCTATGAGGGAAAAAAATGCCCTGCAGATTAGTCTTCAAATATCGAAAAGGAGGACATGAAGGAGGACACTTTTTGAGGGAGGACAGAACTTACAAAAGGAGGACTGTTTTCCCTAAAAGAGGACGATTGGTCACCTTATGTTGAAGAAAAGCTGAAAAGACCACGGACAGCCAAGAAGACAAATGGATGGCTCCTCAAACAAATCAACCCCGAGTTCTCACTCCAGGCACAAATGACCAGACTCAAATTATCCGACTTCGGATACATTGCGCCAAGACTCAGTTTCCCTCTCGGAAATCTCTTATGTTAGAAAAGATAAGAAGGGGATCAGCAGCAAGGCGACGGGGTTATTTTGGGAAGAGCCGAAAGAATAAAGTTAGGGATAGATTCTCATGGGAAATGGATGGTTGGGGGCCACAGGCTGATGTAAAGCGCTATTGGAGGAGTATATAAGTCGAAGTGATATTGCTATTACTATAAATAGATTCTTGAAGTCTGAAAGCCCCCCTCCCTCCCCATTCCTTTACAGCCTAAAAAATTAGGGAGGGTCCCTTGTGAGACATTGGACATGCTTTTGACAGGCTCAGCTGCCTCTTATTCAACCTTTCCCCTGCCTGTGGCCCTGACTTGGCTCTCCAAGGCTGTTCACACACCACCATTGCAATTCCCTACCTTATGAACAGCATATTTCATTTTAAAAAAGCAGCAGCTTTCGTGAGCCGCAGCTGGATGCAGAAAGAGCATACCTGGGCGCAGGAAAAACTGCCTGGGTGAAATTCATACAGCGATTGGGGCGTTTTTCTCCCTCGCAGAAGAGGCGCTGGCCTAGTTTTTGTCTTATTATAATTATGGCCCATTTATTCTTGGGTCTTGCAAATTTTTTGTCCTGTTTCTCCGAACCGCCTCCCAGATCTTTTTCTAAGTCTGCTCCTTGCGTTCCAAAAACTGTAGGCGTCCCCTTAAATTTTCACCTAGGAAAATCTTAATGTTATTTACAATAGAGGGAAGAACTTACAAAAACCAGGATGCTCACATTTCAGTCAATTATTTAGGCATCCGCTGCTGGGTAGTAAACAAACATCATCTTCTGGATACAGGTCATTGGGAATTGGAACCCTGATGGGCTAATGATCCTTAGCATTATCGCAATATATTTATATCAGATTTCTGCTCTTTTAAAATATTATTTCCCCGGCTGTTGTTTAAAAGTTTCTAAACTTCCACTCACTCACTCACCCACGTTTTTAAACAACTTGTACTTTACAAGAGAGCCACCCATCCATTAACAAAAGACATTTGGGGCTGGGCAGAGTATGGGGAAGGGAGAAGGCAGGGAGGAGAAAGCAGATTGTCGCGCAGTGTGTTAGCATTTGCATCGATCCGGTTTGCTTGCTACTTCGCAGGAGGATGCTGACACGAAGCATCTCCTGTCCATCTTCATCTACTCCTTGTTAAGGAGGTAAACATCGATTGGATATTGATAGGTTTCAATTGCTCTGCCTCTGTTTTTCCCCCAAAGAGGCTGCAATTTGTAGCTCCCTGGCATTAACGCTGCTGGGAGAGAGATCACTGATTCATTCATGGCCCATTTACAGAGAGGTGCACTGCTTCCAGATGTGGCAGGTGTGCGTGAAAGGGAAGACTGTTCAGTCCAACCTGAAGATGTTGCTTAATAATCCTGGGGGCTGGGAAGGTTCCTAATGAGCCTGGATGGGGCATATCTGTCAATTAAGGTCTAAGTGGATAACTTTTGAATAGAGTCCTTGGTGCTCTCCGAGCTTGCTTGTTTCCTGGCAGACGTTCCGCTACCCAGCTAGGTAACATCTTCAGTGCAAACCACAAGATCGCCTACCATGGAGTCATCTATTTCCATCAAGCTGGAACCAATTACCCTATTTCCCACAGAACAATCACTTTAATAAGGGGAATTAAGTGACCATTTCATGGATTTATTGATTACATTAACGAGACCAACGCTATTGGTTTTCAGTCGACACAGGAAGCTGAGCAAAATCTTCCCCTGCACCTTTTTAAAACAGCTAAGTTATCTCTCAGGACGATGCAAGTGGTCAATATCGACCCCCAAGGGTTGATGGGACTGTCCATTATTGTTATTTTTGTTGTCATTATTCATAGTACTGTCAAAGCAGCATTATTAAACTATTTTCATATTCCTTCCCTACACCTCTTTAAAGCAGCTAAGTCATTTCTCAGGATGATGCAGTTACCTTAGATCAGAGTGGCTGAATATCGACCTCCAAGGGCTGATGGGACGATCTATTATTGTTACTTTTGTTGTTGTTATTCATAGTACTATTAAAGTAGTATTTATTAAAACTGTTTTCAAATTCCTTCCCTGCACCTCTTTAAAGCAGCTAAGTCATCTCTCAGAATGTTGCAGTTACCTTGGACCAGACTTCCCCAAGTGATTGATATCAATCCCCAAGGATTGAAGCAGCCACAATTTCTGGAGGCAAGCAGTTCCACTGGTTAATTGTTCTCGCCATTAGGAAGTTGCTCCTTAATTCCAGCTTGCTTCTCTCCTTGATTAGTTTCCATCCATTGTTTCTTGTCTTGTCTTCTGCTGCTTTGGAAAATAAGTTGACCCCCTCCTCTTCCTTGTGGTAGCCCCTCAAATACAGAAATACTGCTATCATGTCACCCCTAGTCTTTCCCCCCCCCTCTAGACTAGCCATGCCAATCTCACTTAACAATTGCCTTGCTTAGCAGTGGAAATTTTGGGCACAATTGTGGTTGTAAGTCAAGGACTACCTGTATTTAATGGGGATGAAAGCCAAGTTAAGGAGTAACTGTGAGCTACCTTGAACATGCAGAGCAGAGTTTATTGTGCTTCTACCAAGATGATGTTCTGATTGAATGATGCTTCATTTACATCGGAAGAGGGTTGATGTTGGCTACAGGCATCCTGTTTGAGTTTCAAGCCACTTCAGATTTGCCTGATTGAAGTATTTTAAAAGTACCTGGGATAGGACAAATCACATGACACGAAGTGCTCTCCAGCTTCCAAACTTACGCACTGCTGTTTCTGCAAGATTGCCCCCCTGCAGGACATCTCAAGCGAGGCTCCTAAAGAACATGAAATCCTCTCTTGGCTGATGGTGACGGAGAAAAGTCCTAGGAAGAAATAAGGGTGTTCAAGAAAGGGAAGGTCATCACGATCTGCCTTTTCTTATTTTTTTCCTGTAATTTATTTAAAAAAACAAACAGCTTCAGAAGTTAAAAATACGTTGGCTGCATCTCTACCCAGCTGCAATTTGGGGGGGGGGGAAAAGAGGACTTGCAAACCGTTGGGCTATATTTTAAGCCCTTCAAAGCAGAATCGTTGACTAATTTTCTAAAGAGAGGGAGGGAGGAAGAGAGGGAGAAAAAGCAGCCAAAAATAAACAATGCTGATGTTGGCTCAGTTTGAGTGATGAGGAAGCAGCGGGAAGCCAGCAAAAGATAGAAAGGACCCCAAATTCCGTGTATTAAAGAACAGGTTTTCAACCTCCCCGTGCATCTGTGGAAATGTTGGTTTTGCTGGAAAGATAAGATTGCTGAAATATGGGCTGGGATATTTTGAGAAATTAGCTTTCAGCAATAAGTAATAGTATAACAGAACTGGAAGGGACCTTTGAGGTCTTCTAGTCCATCCCCCTGCTCAAGCAGGAGACTTTTCTTTCTTTCTTTTTTCTTTCTCTTTCCTTTCTTTTCTCATTCTTTGTCTTCTTTTCTTTTTTCCTTCCTTCTTTTTCTCATTTTCTTTCTCTTTTTCCTTCCTTCTTTCCTCCATCTTTCTTTCTTTTTCTTTCCTTTCTTTTCTCATTCTTTGTCTTTTCTTTTTCCTTCCTTCCTTCCTTCTTTTTCTCATTTTCTTTCCTTCCTTCTTTCCTCCATCTTTTTTTCTTTTTCTTTCTTTTCTCATTCTTTGTCTTTTTTCCCCTTCCTTTCTTCTTTTCTCATTCTTTTTCTTTCCTTCCTTCCTTCTTTCCTCATCTTTTTCTTTCTTTCTTTTCTCATTCTTTCTGTCTTTTCTTTCTTTTTTCCCTTCCTTTCTTCTTTTCTTCCTTCCTTTCCTCCCCGTCTTTTTCTTTCTTTCTTTCTTTCTTTTCTTTCTTTCTTCTCTTTTTCTCTTTCTCTTTCTTTCTTTCTTTCTTTCTTTTTCTTTTCTTTTCTTTTCTTTCCTTCCCCGAGTGTTAAAAACATTTTATGATGAGAGAGGTTTGTCATCTTTGCAGCGTCTTTCCACAGTTCTGTACACAGGATGAAATAATAAGAATTTGGTTTCAACCTTCTTAATAATTGAGGATGGGCTGTTTTTTTTTTTCATTGTTTCCCCCGTTAAAGGTCCCATCACAGTTAATATAGCACAGACTGCTGGATCCAAACACGTTTGGCCTCTACTGACAAACATTTTGTGGGTGTTGAGTGAAGCCCAGCCTCGTGCAATTACTACCAGTCACTAAGAATCTCTCAAAACCCACATTGCCTGCCCTATTATCTTACTACAACCGCCTACAGTAACACAAAAATAAGCTGTAATTTGAGATGGCACATATTGAGAGGCAGGCAGGCAGGGTGTGTGTGAATATGCACAAACATGCATTGCTGTCCTCCCACATAATCAATGCAACCCCAATGGCATGAGGCCATGTTCTTGCTTGTTTACCAGATATCTTTGTAATTTGAAGCGTGCAGGCTCCTACTGGGGTATTCCAATGCCCATCATCTTCAAACACCATCAATCTTTTTCCTACTTTTCAATCCCAGCTTGGAAGAGGCTTTGCATAAAGGTTTAACTATGCACCTCAATCTCCTGCTGGCTGCATCAAGGTGCCTGATGCCAGCTAGTCAAAGTTATGGTCCAAAGCAGCATTTCTCAATCTTGACAACCTGAAGATGTGTGGATCAACTTCCAGAACTCCCCAGCATTCTGGGAATTGAAGTCCGCCCATCTTAAAGCTGGCTGGGGAATTCTGGCAGTTGGAAGTTCACCCATCTTAAAGTTGAGTAGGGAATTCTGGGAGTTTTAAGTCTACCCATCTTCAAATGGGCTGGGGAACCGTGAGAGTTGAAGGCCACCCATCTTGAAGTTAGCTGGGCAACGTCTTAAAGTTGCTAACGTTACCAGGGTTTTCTGCAAATGGATGAATTAAGCAGGTGAGTGCAGTAGTATTGAAAACAGTGGTATTGGCCCTGGATTCTTGGGAAGTGGAGCCATTTATATGTTTTCCCCATCCCTTTTTGGAAGAAGACATGCGTGTCGGAACCATCTGTTGCCGTTTAACTATGAGTAACCCATCCGTTTAGCCAGCTTTGGAAATTTAGGAGTGACAAGAAAAACAAACAGGCAGATGGTGTGCAAAATATTTATTCGTACATACATCTTTCTCTCCACCCCCAGTCACATTTTTTTTAATCTGGATTAGTGCATTGCTTTAACAACTTCTCCCTTTCTCCCAGGCCCTGCCCTTCCCTTCCCCTCCATTTCTTCCACTCACTCTTCGCCCTTGTCTGCTTCTCCACCAGCTCACCAAGACAGACAAGGTTTGCAAGAGCCAGCTATGGAAGAAAGAGCCAAGAGGGTGGACAATGTAGAGCAGGGGTCCCCAAGTCCCCCGGCTGTGGACGAGACTGGCCTATGGACTGTTAGGAACCGCATCACAAACCCTACTGTAAACTGTGCATGCAAGGGATCTAGATTGTGCATGCCTCCCCCCCCCCTCCATCCATGGAAAGATTGTCTTCCACAAAACCGGTCCCTGGTGCCAAAAAAGTTGGGGACTGCTGACGTAGTACACGTTTGCTAAAATAAGTGCCAGCCTTGTCCCAGGCTTCACCCTGCCCCAATGACTCCAGGGCAGAAGTGCCCCAATGAGGTTTGAAGCCAACCTGTGACTTAAAAGCCCACAAATCATTCCATTATCTTAGCAGGGCCACGGAGTTTAACTTGCTGGCTTGGAGATGTTATTAGCAATGGCCCAGCACGGACGAACCTTGCATATCACGGCTGAAGTTGCGTTTCCATCCAGGGAGAATGTTAGAAGTGCTGCAGATATCTCTGCAGGATGGACCCCGCCCGCAGCATTGCTACAAGCCTTCCCTACAGATCTGAAGGCCATTTAGGTCAAGGAGAAGGTGTGGCCACGGGGAGAGAGAGTGGCCCTAACCCTGTTATGCGCCAAAGGTCAGGAGGAGACTGACATGATTGGGAGGGCTTGAAGGAGGCCGGGTCTTTAGATTCAAGCCAAACTCCTCAACTCTGGTGTCTTCTCCTTCCAACAAAGTGCTTGTGCTCTTTTAAAGCCAGATTGTCAATAAGGGGAGAATTCATACGGAAATAAATAACACTTTAGACAAGCTCCTTTCCAACACCTTGGAGAACATCACCCACCTATCTATACAGCTCTCTCCCCCCCACCACCACCCAGGAAAAAAAATCTAGAAACTGGCTATCCCTGATGAGACTAAACCCTGATTGTGAAAGCAGTCGATGCAAGCTAAATTCTTAGCCTGCCCAGGAACAATTGCTCAGAAGTCATTATTCCGTGGGGATCGAACCCGTGGTGAGGGCTCAGTGGTTTGATTTGCAGGAGGGGGGCAAGGGCACTGTGAGGTTGGGGCAAATACCAGAGCCAGAGGCCTTTTGATTGGTGAGACTTTCGTGGGAGAATTGAGCTCAGAGTTAGGACTGTGGAGAGCATGAGCTAATACCGGGAGTATCCTTGTGGTAAATCAGGCTATGGAGCATACTTGGGAAATATTGGATGCCTTATGTTGAGCCATGATTTCTGGGTTAGGGTTGCAGACAGGGGTCCCCCTCAGTCTTCCCTAGAGATCTGGAGAGCCCAAGCTGAGAGTTTTATCAGAAAGGGAAGAGAAGGAAGATAGGAAAGGAAAGGAAAAGAAAGGAAAGGAAAGTAGAAGGGAGACAAGAAGGACCATAGAAGCAAAAGGGGAAGAAGGAGAAAGACAAGAGGAGAAGGGAGACAAGGAGAAGGGGAAGGAGAAGGAGGAGGAAAGAGAAGGAGAATGGGAAGTAGAAGAAGCAGAAGAAGGAGAAGAGAAAAGGAGAATGGGAAGTTGAAGGAGGAGGAGGAGAAGAAGAGACAAGGAGAATGAGGAGGAAAGACAAGGAGAATGGGAAGTAGAAGAAGAAGAAGAGAAAAAGAGAATGGGAAGTAGAAGGAGAAGGAGAAAGAGGAGAAGAGACAAGGAGAATGGGAAGTAGGAGAAAGAGAAGGAGAAGGAGGAGAACAGGCAAGGAGAATGGGAAGTAGAAGAGAAGAAGAAGAAAAAGAAGAGAAAAGGAGAATGGGAAGGAGAAGGAGGAGAAGAGACAAGGAGAATGGAAAGTAGAAGGAGAAGGAGAAGGAGGAGAAGGAGAAGGAGAAGAAGAAGAAGAGAAAAAGAGAATGGGAAGTAGAAGGAGAAGGAGAAGGAGAAGGAGAAAGAGGAGAAGAGACAAGGAGAATGGGAAGTAGAAGAGAAGAAGAAAAAGAAGAGAAAAGGAGAATGGGAAGGAGAAGGAGGAGAAGAGACAAGGAGAATGGAAAGTAGAAGGAGAAGGAGAAGGAGAAGGAGGAGAAGGAGAAGGAGAAGAAGAAGAAGAAGAAGAAGGAGGAGGAGGAGGAGGAGGAGGAGGAGGAGGAGGAGGAGGAGGAGAAGGAGAAGGAGGAGAAGGAGAAGAAGAATGGGAAGTAGAAGAAGGAGGAGAAGAAGAGACAAGGAGAATGGGAAGGAGAGGAGAAAGCAAAGCAAACAATTCAGTCCAATAACAGCCCAGGGAATTGGCTGAGGGTATCTCGTATAGCTTCGCGACAGAAGTGGGTCCCCAAGGCTAGACTCAGCCTGGGCTTGGCTGGGAAAGTCTCCTTCCCTCAAATGGCCAGGATGAAGGGGCAAGTAACCTCCCTCCTCCCCCTTAAAACCCTATAGATCCTCATGCCTTGAAAAGAGTAACCCAGTGCACACTACGAAGGATTTTTGTTTCTTTTCAGGGAGACAAGCGCCCGTTCTGCAGGTCTGGTCAAGGGCACGGAGGACGCCAAGCCAAGCTGGCTTCCCCCCCCCCCACGCCTCCCGGCCATCCTGCCTTTACAGGCCTCTAGCCTGGCTTTGCCCTTCAGCATCCGATGGGATCAGCGCTCTGCCGTGCCAGGCGAGCGACGGACGCTCCGGATGGCCCCGCTGAAGGGTATCAGCCCAGCCCCTTTTCTCCCACCCGGTTTTGGACCCCTGCAAGTTTGGGCACTTGCAGGGTTAGCAGATGTCACGAGAACCAGGGCTGGGCCGAGGGCTACGGGGGCAGCGGAATCTGCGTGCCCAGAAGGTCGTAGGCGAAGATGTTCCAGAAGATGGCAAAAACCAGGAAGGTGGCGTAGGAGAGCAGCATCACCCACCAGCCACACTGATCCTGCAGGTTTTCCTCGTAGCTGCGAAGGATGGTCAGCCCCATGCTGACGCCCACAATGGCCCCGGCCAAGTGGGCCATGAAACTGGGCTGAGGGCCGGCGGAGGGCAATGGCGGGGAGAAACGCAGCCAGACGGCACGGCCCACTTCGGAACTCACTGCAGGTGGAGGGGAGAAGCAGAGAGAGACAGAGAGACAGACACAGAGAAAGAGAGAGAGAGAAAGAGAAAGAAAGAGAAAAAGGGAAAGGGAAAGAGAGAAACAGAAACACAGAGAGAAACAGAAAGAGCAAGAGAGCAAGAGAGCAAGAGAGAGAGAGAGAGAGAAAGAGAAAAAGAGAAAGCGAGAAAGAAAAACAGAGAAACACAAAGAAACACACGGAGAGAAACAGAGAAACAGAAAGAGCAAAAGAGAAAGAGAGAGAGAGAGAGAAAGAGAGCAAGAGAGAGAGAAAGAGAGAGAGAGAAAGAGAAACCGAGAAACAGAAACCGAGAAACACAGAGAAAAACACACAGAAACAGAGAGAGAAACAGAAAGAGCAAGAGAGAGAAAGAGAGAGAAAAAAAGAGAGAAAGAGAGCGAGAGAGTGAGAGAGAGAGAGAAAATATGGCTTGAAGGTCAAGTTTCTAGTTCTCAGGGCATCTCTAGCCACAAAACCTCTGCCTTGTTTACCTTTCATGCTAGTGAGCCAAGGAGAAAAGGAAGGGGAAAAAAAGAAAGGAATAAAGAAGAGGAAACCGGGGAAGGCAGGAGTATCCACGGGGCTGCGAGGGGTCAAACCGGTCCAGATGGTGGATGCGATGGATGGAAAAAGAGAGCGGAGCTTGCATCGTTCAGCTGCATGTCCAGGAACAGCGAAAGGAGGAGCGATGTCAAAGGAAAGGCAAAGCCGTATATCTGGTTCCCCTATCTTTCTTGCCAAACCACGTTGCTATCGTTGTGGTGGTGGTTGAATTTACACAAGGATGGGCAAACCTCTGCTGCCTCAGCAGCGCTAAATGGTATACACTATGCAAATGGCCTTGATGCTAAGAGAGGCCATTTAACAGGGCAGGTAATCCTTGACTTATGACCATCATTACGGTCATAAGTCATTGGAATTACGGTCATAAGTCATTGTAGTTGTTAAGCGGGTTACCAGGTGACCATGGCTAATTTTACAATCTTTTCTTTGCCGGTCACTAGACAAATGTGGTGATGGTTAAGCCGCTCAGCGAGTTGGGTGGCAAATAAATTTAATGAATGAATGAATGAATGAATGAATGAATGAACGAACAAACAAACAAACAAACAAACGCGATGCCGTTTTTTGCCAGAAACCAGAAATAAATGCGGAAACTGGCAATAAATATCAAAAATTGTGACCGCATGATTGCAGGATGCTATATAAACCACCATAAATACGAGCTGGTGGTCAAATGCCCCAATGCAATCATGTGACCGGTGTGTGTGTGTGTGTGTGTGTGTGTGTGTAGCTGTCGGAACTTCAAAATCAGGTAATAAGTACTTGTGGGGGAAGGCTGTCCGTCGTATCTTTGTTTTTGGTCTTTAAGCAAGGACTGCCTTTATCTGGAGAACCACCCGGTCTCCAAATGAATGCTTGCAGTTTGCAAATTAGGATATGGGATTGTAGAAACCCGGCCAGTTGTAGCTTCTTTAATAAACGATGGCTAACCCATGGTTTGCCATGCTCCGTGAAACTCATCAATCTGTCAGAGGAAAAAAATGAATGAGGCAAAAATACACTTACTGCAAACCAGGGCCAGCACCATACGGAGCAATTTATACGGACAACGCATTCCAGCCCAATTCTGTGGAGGGAGAGGAAAAAAAAAAGGATGCCTCAATGACTCAGTTTCCCCTTCCACCCTCTCCCCTCTGCACCTTCAAACTGGCCTCACACCCATGTCCCCAACTTAGTCTCCATGAATGGTGAAAATAAGTCTGCCACACTGCCAGCTGTCACAGCTGTGGAGTTTCGTATGCTTTTCCTGATTTAACTTGGCTACTGCCCTGGAATGCTGGTGCCAAAATAACCAAGTTGGCTTTGAAGACCCCTCAGATTCTCCACTTTAGATTTGGCCCAGCGGGACAGCGCTTCTATCTGGAATATTTTTATCTCCACTCTTCTGACTTGCCATCCAAACGTTGGCGAGGATCTGCAAAATTCAGCAACCATCTATTTCCAAAGAACAGCTGCCCTTTCCCCCATTCTCACCATGACAACGTTGGCCAGGTGAGCCGAGCAAAGGGCGTAGACACCCCCCGAGCCCCCAACCAGAGGCGCTCTCATGTCGGTGATGGAGACGGTCAGCGAACCTGCAAGAAAATGGAGGACCTCTTCTTATAAATCCAGACAAATCCAGCTGGAAAAGGACGAGGCAAGGGTGCTTGCCAAAATACCTGGGGTCCTCAACTCACCTGCCAGGACTCCTGCGAGGTAGAGGAAGCTGATGCGAAGGACGCCATGGACCATCTCCAGGGGCACCCCAATCATCAGCTGCAGGAGCGCGTTGAACCCCAGCTGTTCTAACCTGGAAAAGAGAGAGGGAGGAAACTGGCTCAACAGGAGAAACCCTCCATTAGGTCTACTTCATCGGTGCTTTAGAGAAAAAGGCTACCCGTCATGAGGACTAGAACCTTGAGATGTGTCTTGAAATCCTCAAAGCCGACAAACTTCACCCTCGATTTTCCTACACAGTCTCAACCTGTCAGTGCAGCTACCTAAAGGGGTACCTATTGGCCTACGCACATTTGCACGTTTTCTGGCTGCTTAGGTGGGCAGAAGCTGGGAAAAGAATGGGCGCTCGCCCTGTCGCAAGGCGCCTGGTTCTCCCACATGGGCTCTCAGCTTTCCAGTTGACAAGCTCAGGGTCTTTAACCGCTGAACCATCGCACCCCACACACTAAAGTCAACGAGGCCTTAAATCCAGGGCGAAACTCAGAATATTAACATCATTGTCTTTGGATTCATACCCTATCCGTCTGATTTGACTGCTGGGAAGCCTTCTATCCGGTCACTTGAAATATTGAATTTTATTATAAATGCCACCACCCCCCAATGAAATAATTGCCCCCAGGTCTAACCTGTGTGTTGCTTTCAGGAAATCTCACATTTGCAATGATTTAATTGCAGTTTGGTGCCTTGCCTCCCCACCGCCCCACCCCCAACCCCCCCAGTCCTGCTTCCATAGAAATAAAAAGCAGATACCAAATCGGCCAGCTTGAGAGTCATTTAACTTTTTTTTTTTTTTTGAGTTCCTAGTCCTCATCACTGCAAAAGAACCTGCCAAAATCCACCATTGCATCCCTTTGCCCCCAGCCCCTTCGGATCAAAATCCTTACTGCTGTCGATCCTTCCCCCCCCCCCAATTCATGCATTGGGGGGGGGAAAGAGGGGGGTTGAAATGCACAATTCTTCTCCTAATTATGTGAAATAATTAAGTTTGGCCATTTGCCTGGCAGTTAGATTTTTTTTTTGTCTGCCAAACTTCCTCTTCCCACGATATTTCTGATCTGCCACCTACCCAATTTGTAAACTTTACATCTGTTCTTTTCAACATTCCCTGACTAGCTGCCTTTAAGGGAAAAAAATAATAATAATAGATGCTTAAAACCGGTCAGGATTTTTTTATTTTTTTTTTAATTAGAAAGAAGACAGAAGTGTGCGACTTGCAGCCAATAAAGGTAATAAGTAAAGTTGTTCCAGAATTGCAAAACTGCTTTTCTCTAGAAATGGTACAGACAGTCCTCCACTTACGACTTCAATGGGAACGAGAATTTCTGTTCAAGTTGCACCTGATTTTATGACCTTTTTTTTCCGACCACGGCTGCTAAGTGAATCACTGCAGTTGTTAAGTCATGAGGTTGTTAAGCGAATCTGGTTTTAACCCATTAACTTTGCTTGTCAGAAGCTCTCTGAGGTGGTTGCAAATGGCGATTACTTGACCGGCCACTGTCATAACTACGTGTCAGTAGCCAAGTGTCCCAATTTCAATCGCGTCACCATGGGGATGCTGCCGCGGTCGTAAGCGTGAGGACTAGTCGTAAGTCACATTGTCCCGCTCTGTTGTAATTCCAAACGGTTGCTAAATGAATGGTGTTTAAACTGACGATTACCTGCACTTCTGCCTCAGAGGGAAAGAACTACAGGGGGTCTGTGACTTACAACAGTTCACTTAGTGACCGTTCAAACTTACGACGGCGGTGGAAAAAGCGACTTAGAACCGTTTTTCACCCTTACGACCGTCGCAGCATCCCCCTGGTCACGTGATCAATAGGACCGACTCCTATTTATGACGGTCCCAGGGGTCACGTGATCCCCTTTTGCAATCTTCTTGGGAGCAAAGTCAATGGGGAAATCAGATTCATTTAACAACCGTGTTATTAACAACTTAATGTTTTATTTTATTGCAACAGAGGGAGTCGGAAGTCAATGTCTTTGTTTTTTCTTTTTCTTTTTTTTAAAAAAAGTTTTATGGATTTCCTAATTTTACATTTAAGTATTTAAAAAGCAACATGGCAGCTGGGTGAACCGATAATTCAATAACGTACAAGTATCTTTAACAGAAATCTCAAAGTACCGTGTTAACTATTTCCTCTTTTTTCCCCTTAGCTTTTATTGTCTCGTATTTAAACTAACACAATTCTTATTATATCAATTGAATAAAAGTAACATGCTTACAGTTATCAATAATTTTTAGCTTACACATATCCTAGTTATTTTAACACCCAGCCTTTGTAGACAACCAATGTCCTAATTCGTTTTCCCAATTTTTAAATTCCCCGTTAATATTTGAATTTAACCTTTATTGGTTCTAGTTTCCAGAATTTGGAATAACTCAAATTCCCCTTATCGAATTCATCACAAAATCTAATATTCAGGATACACACCTTATCGATTCAAACGTATTCCATTTCTCACCATCTTACATTGTCTAATTAGTAATACAGTCTAACATCCTTATTTTCTATTAATTTCCAAATATCTGGTTTTTTTTCTTTCCCCCTTCTCCCCCTCGCCTTCCTGTCCCTTTTCCCTCCCCACTGGGTCCTACCATTTGCTTTGTACTCTGTATTTTACTCCATAATCTAATAAAATGTATTTTTAAAAAAAAACTTAACAACTGCAGTGCTTCCCCTGAAAAACTGTGGCAAGAACGGTCATAAAATGAGGCAATCTCATTTCGCAAATATTTCACTTAGCGACAGAAATGGGCGTCGTAAGTCGAGAGCCACCTGTATTCTAAATAGAATTTCCTCCACCGCTTGCTTACTAAATACCCAATATTTGCTTTCCAGCTTTCCCACAGCTTTGGGTTTCTGCCGAGCGGGCTCAGAAATTTTTTCCCGTTTCATTTTTTTCCCCCACGGAAATGCAGTAAAACCCGGGGATTCAATTCTGTTCCAGTGAGCTGCTTTTAGCAGCTCCAGCAGCAGATCTGTTTTATTTTGGGGGGGGGGGAGAGAAATGAACAGAAAGAGCTTTGTACAGTGGAGAGAGAAGAGAGAGAAACAAACATTGCACAGCGGAGCAGATAAAAAAGAAACACACTGAACAGCTGGTGGCAACGTGGCCAGATGTCGCTCATCCGCAAGCCCTAAAAATCTACATCCGCTTCGCCAACATTCTGACATATATAAAAAAGATTGCATCTAATTCCCTACTTGAGGCGAGAGAAAAGGGAGTGGTGAAAGATAACAGAAAAAGTTCGCCCTGCCATCCTAACTGACAGCTAAAAGCTTTGCCGTCGTGCGGGATTTGGCCCACCCAGTCTTGGAGGAGATTCATGTCCTTCTGTTACTGTAGCACCACCAGCAAAAGCTGAGTTTCCAGGACATGGAGCCACCTCAGGGGGTGGGCAGGTAATCCGAATGCTTGTACACACCTGCTCCAAACACACTTGCTTTGCACTTGGATGAGGAGTGGCAAGATGGCAAGATCCGGACTAATAAAGGAGGCAATTTGAAATGGGTTGAATTGAGGGGTCCTTGGTGTTCTCTGAGCTTGGTTGTTTTCTTGCAGATGTCTCATTACCAAGCTAGGTAACATCATCAGTGCTAGAAGGGAGTGGGTTTTGTGGGGTGGGAGAAAAAGGAGGGGGGAGGAGGAGGAGGAGGACTCTGAGTTTGGTTGCTTAGTTGTTTTCTTGCAGATGTTTCATTACCAAGCTAAGTAACATCATCAATGCTAGAAGGGAGTGGATTTGTGACGTGGAAGAGAAGGAAGGAAGGAAGGAAGGAAGGAAGGAAGGAAGGAAGGAAGGAAGGAAGGAAGGAAGGAAGGAAGGAAGGAAGGAAGGAAGGAAGGAGGACTGTGGGATCCTTAGTGCACTCTGAGCTTGGTTGCTTTCTTGCAGACGTTTCATTACCAAACTAGGTAACATCATCAATGCTAGAAGGGAGTGGAGATTGTGGAGAGGAGGAGGAGGAGGAGGACGACGACGACTGTGGGGTCCTTGGTGCTTTCTGAGCTTGCTCGTTTTCTTGAAGACATTTCATTACCCAAACCAGGAAACAACATCAGTGCTAAAAGGGGTGGGTGGGTGGGAAGGGGACTGGGGCTGTGGGATCCTTGGTGCTCTCTGAGCTTGGCTGTTTGCTTGCAGATGTTTCATTACTCAAACATAACATCATCAGTGACCCAGGTTTGCAGACATTTGGAGCTTCAAAAGTAAAGCAGGTCACCATTTAGCTTGCAGACGCTTTGACGCAATTCCACCCCAAAGCCGGATAAAATTACAGAAGGTGTAACCCAGGGGTCTTCAAACTCGGCCCTTTTATGACTTGTGGACCAACTCCCAGAATTCCCTGGCTGAGGAATTCTGGGAGTTGAAGTCCACAAGTCATAAAAGGGCCATGTTTGAAGACCCCTGGTGTAACACAAGGTTGATGTTTCTCGAGGCCCTAACAGACCAGCACGTTGGACCAGGTGTGGCTAGCAAACCAGCTTCCTCCATTCCTGCTGTACTACACACAGGGAAGGAGTAGGAGAAGATACTGTAGACACTTACCCTACATGCATGAACATGTATGTGAGAAACCTCCAGGCCCGGGCGCGATGTCCAGGATGGTACACCAAAGGGCTTTTCATGTACTCTGGATGATAGGTTTGTAACACCCACTTGTTCAGCCGTGCTCCGTAGCAAAGGAAAACTATGATCTGGTAGAAAGGAGAAAAAGTTACTGTGATGGTCTTCTGTAAGTTGGTGTCCTTCAAGCCTATTGGACCAAAGGCCCCGCTAGCAGTGCTGAAGTCGAGGATCTGCAGAATCTCTGGGTTCTGGCCAAGTTGAAGTTCTACAGGAGACCAGCCAGCAAAGGTCAGCGGGGGAACCCAGATTCATTTAATGACCCTGTGATTCACTTAACAATTGCAGTGGTTTGCTTAACAACTATGGCAAAAGGACTGTAGAATTGGGAGGGACTCATTGAACAACTGCCTTGCCCTGTTTCCCCTGTCCAGTGGTATCCGACTCTGGAGAGTGATGTTCATCTCTGTTTCTTAGCTAAGGGAGCCACGGTTGTCCGAAGACGATTCGGTGATTATGTGTTGGCATGCCTATACATTGAGGTGCACGGAATGCTGTTATCTTCCCACCAAAGTGGTACCTATTTATCTACTCGCGTGTGCATGCTTTCAAACTGCTAGGTGGGCAGGAGCTGGAGCATGGGACGGGAGCTCACCCCGTCGCATGGTGTTCTGGTCTTGAACCTGGGCTGCCAGCATTCCAGCTGACAAGCTCAGGGTCTTCAGAGCTGAACCATCGTGCTCCTCTCCTGCTTTGCTTAGCAATGCAAATTCTGCTCCCAGTTGCTATTGTAAGTTGAGGACTATCTGTATTTAAAAATTCCAACCCACATAGACACAGAGATGCTTTCATCACCTTGACCAAAGTGTCAGATGGTGCAGATGCTTCTGACCTAGAAATCAGGGCGTACAAGTCAAAGAATTGGAGAGCTGGCACGTCTGCTTTTAAGGCACTCCTCCCCCCCCCGAGTGTGCTGTTGCACACTCCAACAAGCGGCTCCTCTGCACACCTGGGTGAGTGTGACCACGGCCATGAAGACTGGTGGAGGACAGGCACGGTGCTGGTAGAAGTACCACCGTCGGTGCATCTCACACGGGAGGATCTCATAGGCCACGTAGCGCACAAAGCGTTTGTAGAAGCCCAGGCCGGTCTCATCCAGGAGACCATCTTGAGGAAGAGCCCTCTGTCCGTTGGCAATGGCCCGCTTGAAACTGCTGGAACGTTTGCTGCTGATCTGCAAGGAGAAAGAGTGACCCCCAACAGCAGAAAAATCACCACTGTATCCTTCGTCAGGAACTGCCTCCTAGAGACCCCGAGATTCCCCCCCCCCATTGCCAACCCTGCCTTTGAGCCAAGAACATCTTCCTGGCAGGATATGTAGAGGAGAACAGCAGGCGGAGCTGGAAGATGGGGTTAAACGTGTCATCAGTTTGGATTCATTGCATTTCCACAAAAAAAATCCCCAAGTTCTGCCTCCTGTGAATTCCATTTTTATCTAACGCCAATTTAGCTTTGACTGTTAGTTGACCAGATTCTTGTATTACAGGTAGCAATAATAAGCTCTTCTGTGTTTGGAGTGCAACAAATGCTCCTAGTTTTTTGCACCTGGCAATATCCCAAAAATGCTTTTTCCAAAAGGCACCTGGATTTCCTTGTTTTTCTTGAAAATGTTTCACTTCTCGTCCAAGGAACCTCTTCAGTTCTTCAGAAGAGGCTTCTTTGGATGGGAAGCGAAATGTTTTCATAGAAAAAAACTAAGAAAGTCCAGTTGTTCTTTTTTTGGAAAAAGCACCTTTGGGACATCCATGACTTGGATGATTGAGAATCTCCATAGACATTTGCCTGACAACATCTCCTCGACTGATATCCCTAATTCCACGAATCTGGAGAAGAGGACCAGCTAGCAGGGGTAGGCAACCTTGGCTCTTTTATGACTCATGGACTTCAACTCCCAGAATTCCTGAGCCAACTATGCTATGAGTCCATGAGTCATAAAAGAGCCAAGGTTGCCTATCTCTGAGCTAAGGCAGCTGACCAGCCACTGCTCAGGGATTGCCTAAGTCGAGGTTAGTAGGCTTCATACAGGGCCTAGGCCCCTCCCTCAATAAGAATTTTTAAATGGATGAAAAAAAAATACATTGAGCTTCCTCTAATAGTCTTAGGTCCACTGAAATGATCATCCATCCTCACAACTCCCTCATAAGTGCTATAAAAAAGGGGGGACCCACCCCTACCCCAACCTATGTGAGGTCCCATCAGCAATTTGTGGAGCTGGTTGGACGTGAAAGGAATGAAGTTCAATGACATCTGAAAGGAACTCAGATGGACTTCAGAGATATCGGTGAAGGATGAAGTTGCACTCTGAAATTTGGACTACCGTTTCTCTAGCCAAACGGGCGACAGCAAAAGAACGTTCAACTTATTTGTTAGATTTATACCCCACTTTTTCTCACTCGTGTTCCTTTCAGAGGGGGTCTCTTTGACAACCACCCCCACGTGATGTGGATGGGGTTGACAGAGCCATGGGTCAAGCTTTGTGTTGAGGGGTGACCTAAACCTGGATATCCACAGTTTAAATTAATACCTTAACCACTACACACACTCTCTTTACAACTGTCCGTAAATAGGGTCCATCTTTGCTTAAATGGTCAGGAAGAGACTAAAGGAAAACTCTGCTTCTTCATATTTCAACCTGTCCCGGTTTTCTTTCAGGTGACTTGTTTTCTGGATGGAATGAGACACCTGGCCACAGCCAACTCACTGCAGCCAACTCGCCACCACCAACTTCATCATGGGACAATCCGCTGCAGAACAATTCAACAATTCTATTTAATTGCTTAAAATAAATAAAAAAATATTTTAACTTTTGTCATTCGCATTTCGTTTTGTCCCTCCTTTTGCATCCTTTCTTCAATGATTCTATTCCACTATTTCTTTGATATTAGTGTAACTCGTCCTGCGGTTGAGTTGATTGTGGCGCGTTGGCTGCACAGGACGGGGGGGGGGCTCATGGCCTGTGGGAGCTCTCCCAGGTCCTGAACTACCCGTTCTCGACCAAGTGTAGAAAAGTGGACACTATGTCTCCAGTATGGTCACCACAAGGACAGTAGCAGCTCCTAACCAACTTTGACTGATCTTGCAGACATTTCATCACCCAATTAGGCAACATCATCAGTGCTAGAAAGGGGTTTAGCCATCTTCTAGCCCTGATGATCCCTAGTTAGGCAATGAAATGTGTGCCAGAAAACAAACAACCTAAAGCAGCGTTTTTCAACCTCAGCAGCTTTAAGAAATGTGGAGAATGCTGAGAATTGGAAGTCTTAAAGATGCTGAAATTGAGAAAGGATGCTCTGAAGTCCGCAGAAATGGAAAATGTAGCCCCTCCATTGTTCAGAGACTGATCCAGCCCCCCTAAGTTGCCGGTACTCACGCCACTGACCAGATCTACCAGCTCCTGATAACAGATCTGACCCTCATTGTTGCTCTGTGCCAAGGCCACCAGCATCTCCAGCTTGGCAGGATCCAGAGGCAGCTCATGGCTGTGTACCAGGCTGGCGAAGGTCTCCACCCCGACAAAACCGGTGTTTTTGGGATCAAGCTGTCAAAGGAGAGGAGAATCAGCTCTGGTGGCCGTCCGGCCATTCACCGCAAAGGATTCATCGGAACCACGAGTTCTGATCCGTCTCTGAAGTTGCGCTACTTATTCTGCACAAAGGGGAGGCCTTCGGATCGAGCCGAAAAGTCAACCTCCTGAGCAAAGCTGAGGATCGAGCAGGGTTTTTAATAAATCAGGTGTGAGATACATTTGCAACCACAGGTAGCCCTTGACTCACAACCATTCACTCAGTGACCACTCAGAGTTACGACAGCACTGGGAAAAAAAGAGATTGCCAACCAATCCTCACGCTTACAACCGTCTGAGCATCTCCACGATCATGTGTTTAAAACTTGGGCGCTTTGCAACTGGCACGTATTTGTGGATGGTTGCAGCATCTTGGGGGTCCTGTGATCGCTGCCTCCGAGCTTCCCAGCCGGCTTCTGACAACCACATGTTTCATTTAACAACTGCAGTGATTTGCTTAACAACCCTAACCAAAAAAAAAGTCTGTAAAACTGGATGCGACTCATTTAACAACCGCCTTGCTTAGCTATGGAAATTCTGGTCCCCAGTTGTGTTTGTAAATTAAGGACTACCTCTAAAGGAGCAGCATGGATGAGTTATAGAAGTCAACTGTCAACTGAATACAACTCAAGACAGGAAGAATAGAATCACAGGGCTGGAAGGGACCTTGGAGGTCTTCTAGTCCATCCCCCACCTGCCCAAGCCAGGAGACCTTATTTGTTCTCAATCATGCCTCCCTTTCCTGTGCAGGTACCAAAAACATCTTAACATTTCACAGGGATCTCATTTTTCACTGGAAAGTCTTGACCCTTTGAGACGTTTCCTAACATCTATGGGGCTCAGTAGCCCCCCAAAAGTCTCTGTGCTAAATAGAGAAATCAAACAATGCTAAAGGTTGAAGAAATCCATTTTTGCTTTTGTTTTTTTTATTTCCAGACCATTCTTGGTGAGACAGGGAGCAGCTGGACCACGGAGAGGCTGTGAAATAGGAAGCGAGGGGGCTTTGATGAATGTTTGATGACCAGCACTTTTGCCTTAATAAATAGGCAGCCTCTGCTCTGTGTGTGTGTGTGTGTGTGTGTGTGTGTGTGTGTGTTGCCAAGGCTGCAATGCCCTAAAAGGATTGCAACACCTAGCTGACGGCACCCAATCACCAAGGATTTCTCGATGTGGCAGAACTGGTACATACATATATGTATATACACACAAACACACATACATTTATTATCCCCAGGGAAGAAAACTTCACAGTGTTTGGAACAGGGAGGGCAAAGGAAGGAGGTTTGGAAGGCTGGTGAGGAAGAGAAACAAGCACAACGAAAGTCATCTCCAGCTGCAGGCAACTTAGCACTTCGTCTCGCCCACCAGGTCTTGGAGTTCACTCCTGGGAAAATCTTGACACCTCAGATGGTTACCGGGCATTGGAAGTCTTCAGCAATGTGCCTACATGGCTACAGCCACCCAGATGTGGGCAGATGTGGGTGCAACCCTCTCTTTGTAAATACTAAAAGGATTACAATTAAAGCTTCACTGCTGGGCACAGCTGCTCTTCCACTCTCCCTTAGCAAGTCGGTGGGAGAGAAGCAAAGTTTTTCCAGTAGATTAATTAGCTTGCCCGTTTACAGAAGTAGATTCTTTTGTGAGTTCTTCCCCAGCACCAGCGTAGCCTGAAACGCATCAAGGACCAGACGCAGGATGATAGGAGAAGGCACCCCATTTATCAGCAGAGATGCTCAGCACACGACAGGGGAAATAATGGAGAATTGGGCTTTCTACCCTGGCTGCATTGCTTGGGAGAGATCCAAGCTAGAAATAAGGAAAAGTTTCCTGACAGCGGGAACAATTAATCAGGGGAAGCGGCTTGCCTTCAGAGGCTTTGGGTGCTCCGTCACTGGTGGTTCTGAAGGAGAGATTGGACAGCCTGAACAGTCTGAAATGGTATAAGGTCTTCTCCTTGAGCAGGGGATTGGACTAGAAGACCTCCAAGGTCCCTTCCAACTCTGTTATTCTGTTTGGTGGAAAAAAATTATTTAAAGTAGACATTTCAAACTCAAGGCCCAGGGGCTGGATGTGGCCCGCGACGTGGTTTCATGTGGCCCGCGAAGCCATCCTGGAAACAGTGAGGGAACGGCCCCCGCTGTCTTGGCCCCGGCCCAGGCCGGCCGGGAGCCAATGTACAATTTTGTGGTGGCCATCTATGCTAAAACGCATTCAGTCTTAGCTCCACAAGGCCGTCCGGAAACAGCGAGGAACCAGCCCCTGCCGTGTTGGCCTTGCCCCCTGGGTGCGTGCTGGGGAGATGTCACCCTTTGTGAGGAATGAAGAAATGCACCATCGCCTGGAAGTGGCCAGCAAATGGCCCTCGCCTACTTCACATATCCGGCTTGATGGGTTTCAGCAGGCTCTTCCAGTGGACCATGCCTTGGCGCTTGCCCTGGTCCCACCCCCTTCTGCCAGAGACCCTCAGATCTGTCCCACTCCTGCCCAGGCCCCCACTGGCACCCTTGACCCGAACGATATAGAGCTGGCCATGCTCACCCAGTAGGCCACACCCACTCCAGCCACGCCCACCCAGTAGGCCGTGCCCACCCTGGCCCACACCTCCCCGCCCCCCTCCCCGAGGACAATTGCAGTGCTGATGCGGCCCTCAATGAAATTGAGTTTGACACCCCTGGTTTAAAGGCTGCAGGTTGCATGGCCAAAATGAGCGACAGATGGAGCCAGAGTTGAAAGAGAATACCTGTTCTGTCCTCGTTCAGACAACCTGATCCTCCTTTCTCAAACAGTCCAATGAACACAGAGAAGGGGCAACCCCCCCCCCTCTTTTGGAAAGTGTGACCTGTGGTCTTGCATGCGTCAAAGCATTACAGATGCATTTATGATCAAATGCATTTTTGTCACCTTCCCAGCTGCAAATCTCAGCTACGCTGGAAGTTATTTATTCATTAAGATTCGATCCAACCTTTATTACTTTATTAGTAACTCAAGGGAATGAAAATAAGTAATATTTCTTCCTCCTCTTATTTTCCCCCCCAACAACCACCCAGGGAGGTGGGTTCAGCTGAAAGAGAGAGAGAGAGAGATTGGCCCAAAATCACCCAGCTGGCTTTCATGGCTAAGGCAGGACTAGAACTCACCATCTCCTGTTGATTGGCCCAAAGTCACCCAGCCAGCTTTCATGCCTAAGGTGGCACTAGAATTCACTGTCTCCTGGTTTCAAGGCCAGCACCTTCACCACTACACCCAACAGGCTCCTAAAGTAAAACTTTGATTCTCATTCAGAAAGTGCCTCACCCAGCAAAAAAATTCACACCAATAAGTCTCTTGCAGGTTAAAAGGGAATATCTGTCCACTGCAAAATCCAGATGTTACAACTTTTGGACCAGGTTTGCACTCCAGAATTTAAATGTAAGGTTGTTTCCTTCTATATCTCAGTACCCAACAGATCCTTGACTATTCTCTTGGGAGCATAGGATCCATGTTGACCTTGCAGGTCTTCCTAGCCAGGGAACCACCACCTCCTCCTTGCCAACTCCTTTCTTACGTTTACGTCTACACATATTCATCAGAAAATATAGTATCTGTTGCTCCCCTAGCAACAACACGAAGCAGGCGTTGGTTGAACACCCTGCTCTTACATGTGCATACACTCTGTTCTTACGTGTGCAATAAAACTGCCAAGATACGGTTGCATTATTTTGAGAAGAATGCCTGTGCCAGTGCAAATCAAAGCCTACCATCACAAAAGTAGCATGCAGCAGGCGTCTCTAGCAAGAGAGCCAAGCTGCATTATAGGCTCACCAGGTATGCTATGTTTCGGGAAGTTGAGCTAAGCAAGTATGTATTTCCAGAAAAACAACAACCAGGCAAGGTGAATTTTGAACTCCACAAGGCTGTCTTAAATCAAGGAAATGTTAACTCTTCTCTCCATGTCGCAGAAGGGAATGTGGAGACTGACACCCTATGAGCTTCCTAAAAGTTACATGTCCAGTCTGTGAAGTTGAGTACGCTTACAAGAGAGTAAGCTCAACGGGGTCTGGAGGAAAGGCACACAGATTTACTCACTTTATTGAACTATCCGGCGGAGAAGTTCGCTGCTGAGTAAACATAAACACAGGATTGCAGCAAAACCAATGGAGAGTTGAAATTTCATCTCTCAAACTTCTTCCAAGTTTTGGGCTTATGCCTGTTGAACGGGTCTACTTTTCACAGATTCCCACGGTCGAGAGCCACAAATAGTGGTTTTTTGCTATTAGCACCTCATGGGCTGGGTTCACAAAAACCCCTCCACCCTGATAAACAGAACACAAGGGCTACATTCACACACAAAAACCCCTCAACCCTGATAAACAGAACACAAGGGCTACATTCACACAGCTCTAAGTTAGAAACTGTCCGAGACTTCCCGGTTCATACAATATACCACGACAAGGATCAGGCTGAGCTACCAACCCATTCCTCTCCAATTTTGGTTAGATTAATGCGGTGTTTCTCAGCCGTGGCAACTTTTAAGATGTGTTCTATGGAGATTCTCAGTCATCCAGGACATGGTTGTCCCAAAGGTGTTTTTTAAAAGGCAACTGGACTTTTGTTGTTCCTTGAAGACGTTTCGCTTCTCATCCAAGAAGCTTCTTCAGTTCTTCTTCTTCAGAACTGAAGAAGCTTCTTGGACGAGAAGCGAAACGTCTTCAAGGAAAAAGAAATGGCCAGTTGCCTTTTCAAAAAGCACCTTTGGGGTTTTTTAAGATGGGTGGACTTCAACTCCCAGAATGCCCCAGCCACATCTTAAAAGTTGCCATGATTCAGAAACACTGGACTAATGTGTCGTGTGTGGACGCAGCCACCACACTCAAAGCTGCCCCTTCATCTGAGCTCAGTCCAGGATTTCGGTTGCTAAGAGCCAGCTTTAAGGATTGCTCGTAGTTTGGCAGGAATCCTTTTGACCTTTTGGAAATCTCTCAAAAGGTCGTTTTTCCAGCAGACCTCAGGATCCCCTGAAGAAGGGGAGCCCAAGAGGGTTCCATGACGTCTGAGTCTTCAAAACGCTCTCTCGTGGTTTTGTTTATATTTGGTTTTAACGGCTTTTTAAGCTTTCCTCGCTTTGTTTTATGCTATGCTGCCCAGAGTCGCATTTGTGAGACGGACGGCTAGATCCATTTCATAAACAAATAACTAAAATCTGTACCACAGTCCTGCAGAGTACGCCGGTGTGATTATTATTCCCAGTTAGTAGGGTGGTCCAAGACTAGCCCCAAGGAGCCTGGATGAAATAAAAATGGAGCAGAGAGCATGGCATCCTCTACCTGGGCTATTCCTGAAATTGTGAAAAACCAGATTTCTTCCATCGGAGGCCAGTTTCAAGTGGGGGGGGGGAAGGGTGCCAGGTTCACCCAAACCCCCTCTTCCCATGCTGACAATCACAGGATGGGGACAAATTCGCCCTCCTGGTCGGTGCCAAAACCAGAGGAAAAGGCTCTCCTTGGCACAGAGACGGTTCTCAGTGTAGGGGTGAAGGCAGCCCAACCCACCAGTCTGATTCTGACAGGGAGGGGGGGGGCTCTTAGTAAATGCATTTCTGGGGACCCCGAAGCCCACTCTTGCAGGCCTTTGGCATCACCCCCCCCCCAGCCCGGGTTTCCCCCAACCCCCACCTGAAACTTGGGCGTCTCTTATTTTGGGATTCAGGCCGAGCCTGCCAAGTGATGGACGCGGCGTGCCGCACGTTGCCCCGCGCGTAGCCACCGGCTCCAGGCACGACCCTGGAGGGGCTGCGAGTTGCAGCCGGCGCCTCTCCCTCCCCCAGGCTCGGAGGGACCCTCCAGCCCCCCCTTCCCGCCCCCCCATTGGAGCAAATACAAGCTTATGCATGCCCCCCCCATGAATGCAGGGCAAACGCCCTGCGCCCGATCCAGCAGCCGACTTGCGCGACGCTCCACCCGAGCTCAGTGCGTGCCGAGGGCGCACCGGGAGGGAGGGAGGGAGGGAGGGAGGGATCCGGCTTCCTTGCCCTGCTGCGCGGGTCCACGACGGACCCGCGCAGCCGGGCAGGGAAGTCGGAACCCCCCCCCCCGCGCGCGCGTCCCGGTTCCCGGGGAGGGTTGGCCCCGGCGCGCATTTGGAGAGCCTCACCAGGCAGCCCGCCCTAGCCCCGACTGCGACGCAACCCCGGGCCGGCCGCCTCCTTGCCCCGGTTCCGTTGCGCGGGCTCACCTGCTCTTGGATGAGCTGCCGCAGCGAGCTCCTCTCCATATACCCGCAGCTGGGGGCGCAGGCGGCCGAGGAGGAGGAGGAGGAGGAAGAAGAAGAAGAAGAGGAAGGCGCCCGGGCTGGTACCACCGGCGGGAAGCCCCTTCTCCGCCGCTGCCGCTGCCGGGCAGGTGATCCAGAGCCAGTCCTGGCAGCAGCAGCAGCAGCGGCGGCGGCCGGGGCTTCGGCGTGAGTGGCAGCCGAGCGGGAGGGGAGGCAGGCAGGCAGGCAAGGGGAGGGGAGGGGAGGCTACGGCAGCCGGCGGGCGGGGCCGGGGAGGGCGTTGTGCAGGGGCGGGGGGAGCCCTTGGCTCCTCCCCCGAGCCAGCCGGGTGGGCGGGGGAGCGCAAGAGAATTACAGCAGCTCAGAAGGGACTTTAGAGGTCTTCTAGTCCAGCCCTCTGCTCAAACAGGAGACCCTGCGTCAGTGAGGGCGAACCTTTTAGAGACCGAGTGCCCCCAAGCTATCCCCCCACACCTGTCCCCGCTCCGCCGTGCCCACTGGACCACCCATCAGCTGCACGGCCTGCCACAAATCACCCAGGCAGCCCAGCAGTGCCATGGTGGCCACATCCTCTGCCCGTGCCCTGCAGCATTATCTGCGTGCCATGGGGTGCAAGGGCGGAGTCTTGTCCCCACTGCCCGGTTACCATGTCCTTGGCTGCACCGGAGGGCTGCTGGTGAGGAGGGGGCCATGGGAGGGGGCAAGGCTGGGGCGACGGTGCGTGCGCCCATAGAGAGGGCTTCAAGTGCCGCCTCTGTCACGCGTGCCATAGGTTCGCCACCACTGCCCTACATTGTTTCGGACAAATGGCTGTCCGGTCTCTTTGGAGAAGCCTCCAGCTTGATGGATCCGCTGTCCCTGGAGGAGGAGGAGGAGGAGGAGGAGGAGGAGGGGGGGCAGCAGCTGGTCCAGTCTTAGCCCCGTTGAGCCTTGTCAGCATGGTGGGGTTTGAAATACGAGGCGGCTTCCGGGGATCGGAGCAAGACTGAGTGCACGATGAGTCCGAAATAGCTTGCTAGTTCTTGAGAACATTCAGCTTCCTGGTGTGCTGAGATTTCCTCGTGGTCTCCCATCGGATATAAACTGGGCCTTAGCCCGTTTCTCTTCCAATCCGAGATGAGGTCAGCCAGATTCACTGCCTGCTATCCCTTAAACTGGACTTTCTCCTGAGACCCCTTGCAAAGCCAAAAGCTGACTGTGTTCAGCAGGTCAGCGGTTCAAATCTCACCGGCTCAAGGTTGACTCCGCCTTCCATCCTTCTGGGGTAGGTAAAATGAGGACCCAGATTGTTGGGGGCAATGTAAATAAATATATACATTGCTTACTGGTGTACACCGCTTAGAGAGTGCTCGCACTTAAAGCGGTATATAAGTCTCATAAATAAATAAATAAATAAGCTCCGCAACCAGGGACCTGCCTAGAAGAATCCAGGACCTCCAGGCAGAGCTGGGAAGTACAATGCTTCTGCTCAGTACACGAATCCAGGGGGATTAGGGCGCTATAATTCTCTTCTCCATGCAAGAGGTATTTTATTCACTTCTTTGGATAAAGCCTTCTGAGATCTGGGAGGGGAAAAATAAAATCAGACTCTCTTTTGAGTTTAGAAGGTCTTTTCAAGGTTGGAATCAGAATAATTTCTCTCTAGAAAGCCTTCTGCTTCCGTTGCCAGTCAGATCTTCCAAAGGAGACCTTTAATGACTAATCTCCAGCAGCATCACGATCCTCCAGAACAGTGTCTCTCAAGTTTGGAAACTTGAAGGTGGGTGGACTTCAATTCCAAGATTCCCCAGCCAGCGTGTTCTTGACGGCAGGAGTCAAAAGATGAAGGATGCATGCTGGCCGGGGAATTCTGGGAGTCAAAGTCCACCCCTTTTCAAATTGAGAAATTTGAAGATCCGAAAACTCTTTGGCAGTCACTTGTCCCTTGGTGTTCCTCACTTCGCCATGCTACCTGATATGCTTAATCATGGCTTGCAGTGGATTTAACCATGGACTGCCAAAGAAGCCACCACTACTAACGAGTAGGCTGGCTTGGTCGCTCAACAGTGAGAAACTGGTGAAGCGGGCACAGCTGCGCCTGCATTTTCTGCGCCGCATGAGAAAAGCACATCTTCCTTCCCCTGTCCTGACCACTTTCTACAGGGGGACGATCGAAAGCATCCTGTCATACAGCATCACAGTCTGGTTTGGAGGCATCCCTGCTTCAGACAGGAAGGTGGTGCAGAGTGGTGAGAATGGCCAAAAAGATCATTGGCAATTCCCTCCCTCCCATCCAGGACATAGCACAGAAGCGCTGCTTGTGCAGGGTCTGTAAGATTATCTGGGACACCACACATCCACTTCATGACCTGTTTTCCTTGTTACCTTATGGGAGGAGGGGGCTTCGTGGTATCCGAAGCAGAACATCCAGATTCAGCCATAGTTTCATTCCATACAGCATTAACCTTGTGAACTCTCAAGCTTCCTCCTTCCGTTATATATTCAAGATGGACACTATTTAATATTTATTTGCTACGTATATGTAGGGATGTGGGTCTATACATATATTGTTCATAGTATGTTTAGGTGTGTGTCATGTATGTGTTTCACTTTGAGAGCGGGCAACTTTCATTTTTGATGTGTGCCGTTGTGCCCACAGTAAAAAAATGACAATAAAGGTTATCTTATCTTATCTAAAGAAGTTGATGCTACTCACCTAACTACAAACAATAGCTTGCCAATTACCATGGCTAGCTTGCATACTTCATTAAGCACAATGCAGTGTTGGGTTTTGACTGATGATGGTTTACTGCAACGGTTTTCAACCTGCTCTTCAGCACGGACCCTCTTTAAATATCTTCTGTGCCCATGGACCATGGCCATGGGCTACTAAGACTTCACTCAAGATTTAAATTGTAACATTTCTTCAAGCCTTCACAGCCCCTCCTGTGACATTGTGCCCCCCCCCAGTTGAGAACCACTGATTTACTCTGTAGTGCCAACGCTATCAAGGGATACTCCTTTAGCAAACTCAAACTTGGCTTGATTTAGTCCCTTCAGCAGTCTGAGATCACGGCCGTCTAACTTGCTTATAGCTGTGAAAGGCAGAGTTTGCAGCAGTCCGCTGTGATGATGAGAAGCTCAGTTTGGCAGTGGGTGAATGATGTTCCTAGCTGGTTAACATTCATCTGTGAAATGGAGATAGGAGAGACCGTGGCTTCCAGCAGCTGATTCAAAGGCTGTAAAGCTGAGTCTGAATATTCATATTGCTCCATGCATATTCACATGCGCCAGGAAATTAGCAGTTTTGGAAGTGGGGTGCTGATGGAGAAGTAAAATTCTGTTGTCGTTTTTCTTCTGGAAGAATGCAAACACATGGAGGAGGCAACAAAAGTGCTTGGGGTTTGCCCGCACATGCCTAATAAATTTCTAGGTGAGAGTTGTCTTTCTAGAACTAAGGAGAAACTTCCTAAACAGAATAATTAACCAGTGAAGTGGAAGTTGCCTTCAGAAGTTGTGGACGCTCCATCACTGGAGGTTTTTAAGAGACTGGACAGCCACTTGTCTGAAATGGCATACAGTCTCCTGCTTGAGCAGGGGGTTGGACTAGAAGACCTCCAAGGTCCCTTCCAACTCTATTCTGTAACTACTTAATGGACTTCAGACCAGCAAGGAGCTGAAAAAAGCTTGCCAAGTGTCCAGGACGAAATGACTTTTGCTTGACTCTTGAAAAACGTTCATTTTTGCCAGTAGCGGTTTGGTGGCTGGCTGGGAATGCAGCCAAATTCCATTGCCTCCTCCGAACGTCACGGTCCCTTTGCCTGCCATTGTGTGTAGGGCCCACATCACACCCTAATGAAACTTGATTTGCTCGGGCAGAACCAACATTAAAGAGTGGCCACAATGACATCATGGTTGCTGCAAATCCTTCTCGTTTTTCCCCCCTTGGGTGCCTGAGGGCGAGGATTATAAATGTTGACCAAACATGGAGCGTGGTCAACCATGGTACAATAACATAACTCTTTGCATTGGAGTAACTAAATCACGAAGTAACCAGATAGTACGTTTCATGAACCTAGTTCAGTGATGGCGAACCTTTTAGAGACCGAGTGCCCAAACTGCAACCCAAAACCCACTTATGCATTGTCGGGTGCTGGGTGGGTGTGGCCCATTGGCTAGATGTGGCCAATTGGGTGGGCATGGCTGTGGTGGTAACGGCAGACTGGGTGGGACTAAAACGTTCAATCAATCAATCCCAACTTTGCAAGATCTTTTTTTTCCCCGCAAGTTGAAATTGACTGATTGATTGAACTTTTTTTATTTTTGCGCACAGCGGCGGAGGCCTAAAGTGAAAAGGTTTTATAAAACCCAGCTGAAGGCCTAGGACTGGGGCGACGGCGCACGTGCCCACAGAGAGGGCTCCGAGTGCCGCCTTTGGCACCCGTGCCATAGGTTCGCCACCACTGACCTAGTTCATGGGGTTAGACCAGGGGTAGGCAACCTTGGCTCTTTTATGACTCGTGGACTTCAACTCCCAGAATTCCTGAGTCAGCATGGGGGCACAACGGCACACATCAAAAATGAAAGCTGCCCGCTCTCAAAGTAAAACACATACATGACACACACCTAAAGATACTATGAACAACATACGTATAGACCCACACCCCTACATATACGTAGCAAATGAATATTAAACACTGTCCATCTTGAATATATAACGGAAGGAGGAAGCTTGAGAGTTCACAAGGTTAATGCTGTATGGAATGAAACTGTGGCTGAATCTGGATGTTGTGCTACGGATACTACGGAGCCACCTCCTCCCAGAAGGTAACAAGGAACACAGGTTGTGAAGAGGATGTGTAGTGTCCCAGATAATCTTACGGACCCTGCACAAGCAATGCTTCTGTGTGATATCCTGGCTGGGGAATTCTGGGAGTGGTAGTTGTCTTAAAGTTCTTAAAGTTTTCATGGGTGGACACCCCTACTCTAAAAGTGAGTTTGTGTAATTATCCATCTCTTTTCTCAAGGTAGCTCTAAGAAAAATGGCTGTCTCAACCTCTGCTTGATTTTTCTCTGCTTTCTCGCCTCCCTTGGATCTTTGCCAACGTAAAATCGTTGATGCATTCACCGGAGCAAAACAACTCATCGGTTTTTAAAATGGGTAGAGCCACTTAATTTTAGATGCTGTTTTAAATCTGGGCACATGGCTTTTTACAAGCACTTTTTGATTGAAACGAAAACCTCAAAACCTTTAAAACTTAGGCACCCAAAGACATAAAAAGCTCTCCGGTTTTACTTTTATGGTGACCTGGTGATCGGGCTGCTTCGTCTTAAAACCCTTGATTGGCCTACATGCGTGTCTTAAAAAGGTTGCCTGCCTTTCAAGAAAGCTAGCAGTAAAGCTATCCATTTGGGTTTTCTATTTTTAAATCGTTAACGGGCCTGGGATTTGAATTACGGAATCCACGCTCCATTTTAGACATATAACAGCAGGCTGGCCGGTACAGATGGACATTATTTATGAAAGCTGTAAATATCCAGAGACAGCCCTTTCCTTGTCTTATCTCCCAAGCCAAAGCCCCCACTAAAGCAGACACGAGAATTTGTCTTTTGTCTGCAACCATCTGGTGCATAAAAATTTATTCAGGTTCACAGCAGCGACTAAACGGAGATGTAGCCTAAGGGGACCCCCTTGGGGGAGAACCACCCCATTGCTCGGTGAAGAGGCTTTCCCTGCAAAGATGTCTGCTGAGAATTTACTCCAGGTAGTGAATCCACAAATGCAGTGGGAGTGGTGATGGAGAAGGAGGAGGAGAAGAAGACGAAAATATTAAAATTGACCTTGAGTTCATCTCTGGGTACAAAGGGAAATCTGGAAATCTCCAGGGAATCCCAAAGGGATTAAAAAAGAGTCCACATGCAGTACGACTGGACTATGCCACTCAGATCAGCGAGGGTTAAGGACCATTTCTTTTGAAACTGGCCCTGTGTTAAGAGTTGAGGTCCCGGGGGCAAAGGTCATAAAGCTGGGCCTAGTCCAGGCCACTTTCTAGTGCAAGAAGTAAATATTTGAGGAAACCCCATTTTTTTTTTAAACGCTCTGCAAAAGTCGCTCTAAGTTTCTCCTAATGTGCTTCCTTTCCAGGTGGAGCAGTGCCCCCCCCGCTACCGGTATTTACCATGAATATTCCACACCTTGTTTCATGGTCCCTATCTGGTTCTCTTTCTGCTCATCAGCATGAAAGATCCAGATTAGATCCTTTTAAAAAGATCAGGTCTTTTTCAAAAGCAAGATTCAAGGCTAGTAACCATCCAGATAGGGTGCCCACGGGCGCCTCCAGTTCTGTTTCCCCGATTTTTTTCTCCATTGATTACACAACGTACTGGTGAACAATGGTTTAGACCAGAGGCGTCCAATCTTCGCCAGTTGAAGACTTTGTGGACTTCAATTCCCAGAATTCCCCAGCCAGCATGGCTGGCTGGGGAATTCTGGGAGTTAAAAGGCCACAGGTTTTTTTTAACTGGCCAAGGTTGGACACCCCTGGTTTAGACTTGCCAGCTGCTGGCAACATGAAAAGCAGTTTTTTTCTTTTAAAAAAAAGGACAATAAATGCAAACAAGAGTTCCCAAAGCCTATTTTGACTGCGTCTTACCCAAAGCCCTTTATACAACTGCCTGAATTAATGATCCCTGTAGAAAGGGGAAAGGTGAGGATCTAAAAACAGTGTGGGGACGATACTTGTTTAAAGTTATGTAGAAAAACATGAGGTCAAGAACGGGAGCAGAACACTGACGGAGTTATTTCCTTGGCATTAAGACCAATAGCGGAGCTTCTCTTAAGTAAATTAACCTACCTTAAAACCACCTTACAAGGAAAAGCGAACGTTAGCCTAGGGGTTATAAGAGATGCAACCGAGTTGCAGAGTTTTTGATGTATTTCAGTTCACAGACTTGGTGGCAGAGGTCACGACCGTGGAGGTGGCTGCCTCCTGCTTCCCCACATGTGGTCTGCTGCATAGTGGCCCCCTGCATTTCTGGCCCGTGGGGTAACCTGGACTTTTAACAGAGCTCCATCAAAGCAACAGAAGGCTGCCATCTTAAAACCAACAACGGTCTGGCTGAGAATGGGAAGCTCCAAGTTGCAGGCGCAGAGAAGGGATTCAGAAGAAAAAAAAGAACCAATTGTTGAAGTGTGCAAGAATTGCAAAGTTAAAAAACAAGACAAATCATTCTTCTCTTTTATAAGTCCTTTCTGAGATGTTTATGGGACGGCGTAAAACCTGGGGGCTTTTCCCCCCTTTGAATTGTGAACGTATTTATCCAGCTCAGTTTTGGAGCCAAAGGCAAAGTTAAAAAGTTTGGAAGATGGCTCTGAGAAGGAGCCCTAACCTGCTAGACCACCGTGGCAGAGATCCATCATCAGAGGGGGCCTCATTGATACTACTCCCCTCCTATCTCCAAGCAAGAATTTAAGATACAGGAAGAATCCTGGAGCATGGGGAAGAAGTGGCAGGTAAAAAACACCCCATCACGTATTACTTTTCCACGTGCTGCATTGCTGAATACACGAAGAGGGGGTGTTCCTATAAGGATCCAAGAATACTTGTGGTAAGGGGGACAGGTCCAAGTTGCTTCCTCAACTGGCTCCCCAGTTGCTGGAGCAGACAACCTCCCACGACTCCCCAAATCCTGAATAGTGAGTGTGAAGTGACAGAAAGAAGCTTCCAAGCTGCCCCAGAAAACACACAGGTGCCTTACCATGGGTGTGCAATAAGATTAATGTTTGTTATCCAGAGAGAAGGTCAATCATAGTTCTCCATCCTTCCATATCCGTGGAGATTCCTTTCTTCTGTGTGTGATCCGCCCCCAAGAAGAGGACCTGGGCGACATCCCATTTTAGAAAAAGGGTTCAGAAAGTCCCAGAAAGCTTCGTAGTTTCCCCCCCACAGGAGCTCAAAGGCATCGTTCCAAGCAAGAAGATGAAGTAGAAGATCCAGAGACACTGCAGAGGGCCAACAGCCTCAGCTCTCCCCAAGACACGTCTATTTAAAAACATTTACCAGACTGCAGGAGCTTCAGCTTCTGACGAACAGCCAAAAGGGTTTTTTTTTAAAAAAAAAAACACAAAAAAAAAACTGGGGGAAGCTAAGATAATTTGTAGGAGCTGAACGGCCCAGAAGATCTCTCATGCTATGGCTTGCAGGACTGGGGACATTCCCTGAGTGAGAAAAATGCAAGTCTTGCCCATGCCGGCTAGCTGACGGTGATGGTTTCTGCTGATGCTGGTGCAACGGTGGTCGTCCAGCCCCGTCTGCAACACTCACCCACCCCACCGGCAGAAGCCAAGGGGGTGGAATGTCCTTCAGATGGCCTCTGTCTTCCCCTGGCACACTTCTTCCGGGTCTTGCAACGTGCTCGGGGCAAATGAAGTTGGTTTCTTGGACATGGGTGGAAAAAAAAAATACAACCTAGAGCAGAGAGGAACACAAAGAGAGAGTCCCGTGTCCTCGCCGCCCTCTACTTGTTCTTCATCACTGCTTTGTAGAGACTGATTCCCACAATGGTGGCTACTGCAGCTCCCAAGGCAATCCGGATCCAGAAGGACGAAGCACCCAACTCGATGTCGTTCAGATGCCTGCAAGAGAAAGGGAGCAGATGTGGCTTGAGGACATCGGAGAGAATTACACGTTCCTCATCCTGTGCGTTTGACACCCGAGGTCACAATTAAGGAGCTTGTCAGCTGCCTCTCTTCGCCTTCTTTGAACATTGGGAGGAACTGCCATAACCAACGGGGGAGGGGGCACTTGGGAGGGGAAGAGTGCTGGAGGTGTGAAGGAATCTTGTGGGAAATTGGGGGTGGTGCTTATGGACACTGACAAGAACTGGAGGTGCTAAAACGAGCCCTCTTCCTCCTTTTCAAGGACGACAGCCCTGGGAAAGGAATTTGCTATGGCGCTGGAGGCACCACACTCCCAAACATCGGAATGGGACCTGATTGTGCTGCTCTTCCAGGGGGGAGAGCTTTGGACATTGGGGATGTCAATGCTGCTAACATTGGATGTTCTTGCTTTGACAACATATGGAGATGCAGCCTTTTTCTTTCTTATGCTTTCCTCTTAGAATTAGATGATACTGGGGGAGGAGGAAGAGGAATGTGATGGGAGTTAGTTAAGACTTAACAATATCATATTAGTGTGTGAATTCAGGGCTTTTGAAGTAAGAGATGATAAGAAATGGCGGGATGGAGTAATGGAGGGAAAGCCTGCATTTCAAACTAATTGGAGAATATGATTTATTTGACTGTAAATTAGAGGAGGGAATTATGCTTTGATACTATGTGTTCAGGGGAGGGGATTTCAGAGTTTGGCTTCAACTATGTTAGCGCCGAAGCTATGCTACTCCCATAAAGATTCTTTAAGGTAAACAATGCCTCAAAGTTCTTTGAAGAGTTTCATCTGTCAAAACCAGGACAATATGATTTTTGTGTGGTTTTCCTTCAGAGCCTGCCTTGCTCAAGCTGCACTCAACGCCTCTAGTAAAAGTGCCTTTTCTAACAGCTATGGAGTCAAGGATCGTCCTCTCCCTGGGAGCAAGTTGGGGCCAGCCCAACAGAGCTCGTCAACAACTCGAACGCTTTGCCACTCTTTTATTTCTGAAGGTGAACCTCGGAGCGAATCTGAGGCACGGGTTAAGTGCTGCGGGATTTTTGAACACAAAACTAGAAGAGTAGATCTTGTTGATCAAAGTGACTGAGGAAAGCCAATAAGGGATGCTACTGTGTTTCCCTGAAAATAAGATCAGGTCTTATATTTAGTTTTGCTCTAAAAGAACCATTAAGGCTTATTTTGGGGGTGATGTCTTATGTTTTCATGTACAGCAGGCAGCCAGTGCATGGGGCCGACGGGCGTATTTAAGTTAGTATTGTGGTTGCTGGGTGGTGGTGGGGGAGTCCCAGCGGCCCAGAAGCTTGAGGGCTGGACTGGGCCGGGAGCCCACCGCCCAGGACAGCCTACTCTGGTCCCACCCCTCTCCATTGGAGACCCCTGGATCGTTCCCCAGCCCTGTCCAGGCCGCCACAGGTACCTCCCAATGAGAGAAACATTAAGCTGGTCACACACACAACCCGGCAACCACAACACTACTGTAAACTGGGGCTTATTTGGGGGGTAGGGCTTATATTACGAGCAGCTTGAAAAATCATGCTAGGGCAGTGGTGGCAAACCTATGGCACAGGTGCCAGAGGCGGCACTCAGAGCCCTCTCTGTAGGCATGCGCACCATTGCCCCAGTCCTAGGCCTTCAGCTGGTTTTATAAAACCTTTTTGGTTTAGGCCTCCGCCGCCGTGTACAAAAAAAAAAAGGTTCAATCAGTCAATTTCAACTTCTTGCGGGAAAAAATTTTTTTTGCAAAGTTGGAATTGATTGATTGAACTTTTTAGTCCCACCCAGTCTGCTGTTACCATCGCAGCCATGCACACCCAATGGGCCACACCCACCCAATGGGCCACACCCAGCCAATGGGCCACACCCACCCGGTACCCAACGATGCATAAGTGGGTTTTGGGTTGCAGTTTGGGCACTCGGTCTCTAAGGGCAACCAACATTTGAAGACAGCAATGTCCACATTTTGGATATTTGGACCATTAGTTTGAAAGAGGGGTAAAAGAATCCATCTATGTTAGAACTGAACACCCCTCCCTCAACAGAGAGGGAAGAATAAAATGCCGCCTATCTCCAGTTTACAACGTAGCCCTTGAAGCAGTTCCAAGAAGATTCTACAACCAATTGCACCTGATTCAGGTGACCCTAAGAACACAGATAAACCCTCAAGTGGCCTCAACAACTCTCAGAGTACTAACGACCAGATGACTGCAAAGATTTACAACCCTTCCATCCCCCTATCACCCAGTCTCAACTGTCAGTACCTATCCTTCCATCTCCCCGCCATCAGAACTGATGAAGCTTCTTGAATGAGAAGTGAAACAATTATTTCTTCTTCTTCTTCTTCTTCTTCTTCTTCTTCTTCTTCTTCTTCTTCTTCTTCTTCTTCTTCTTCTTCTTCTTCTTCTTCTTCTTCTTCTTCTTCTTCTTCTTCTTCTTCTTCCTCTTCTCCCTTCTCTTTTTCTTCTCCTTCTTCTCCTCCTTTTTCTTCTCCTTCTCCTCTTCCTCTTCTTCTCCTCCTCCTCCTTTTTCTACTCCTCCTCCTCCTCCCTCAAGAAAAAACAGCCCGGTTGCCTTTTGAATTAAAAAACCCAAAATAGCATCTTTGAGGCAACCAGCTTAATGGTCAAGATGTGACCCACTGCCCTTGTTAAGAAGACCCCAGCAGCGATGGAAAAGCAGCCTTGCTGCAGATCTTTGTCTCCAACGGCTTCCAGAATTTCATTCACTTCCAAGCTTTGTAACTATTCAGGTCAATGCCCTGTTTTTGTGACGCTTAATGGCCTTGAAAGAACAGACAAATGCAAGGAGGACAAGAAAAGACTGGCCCACTGGATGAAAATGGAAAATGAGAGCTAAATAGGGCATTTGTATCTGGAGGCGGCGTCTCCTCTAAAGAAGGGTATTTTATTTACAGTGGGTGCAATGGGAAAGGATGGGCTTCTTTGTCTCACTGGGTGCCATTTCTCTGCATCACACCATCCAGAACAAAAATGCGCTGAGCCTGTGCTCAAAAGGCATGAAAAGGGGGTTGAGGAAGAGGAGAGGAGGGATAAAATGAGGAGGAGGAGCAGGGGGAGGAGGAGGAAGGTCCTCACATTCAATACAGGTAGTTCTCGACTTACAATAGTTTGTTCAGTGACCGTTTGAAGAAAAGTGATTTATGATCGTTTTTCACACTTAGGACCGTTGCAGCATCCCTTATGGTCAGGGATCAAAATTCAGAAGCTTGGTTCGTTATTTATGACGGCCGCAGTGTCCCGGGGACACACAACTCACCCTTTTGTGACTTTCTGGTGAGCAAAGTCAATGGGGAAGCCAGATTCATCTAACAACTACATCACTAACTTTAACAACTGTGGCAAGAAAGGTCGTACAATGGGACAACATTCACTCAGCCAATGCCTCCCTTAGCAGCAGGAATTTTGCAGCTCAATTGCAGCCGTTAAGTCGAGGGCTACCTGTGTGGTCTTTATGGACAACCTGGCTTTTGGCATCTGTGCCCAGGCTGTGATATGTTTCCGCAATAGGACATTCTGAGTATTAAAAGAACCGAGATAAAATTAGACCCTTTTGAAGGAATGGCTGTTATGAATCACCCACTCCTCTTTTCTCCTTCACTACAAATTCCTCTTTTAACACACGGACCCCCTTCCCCCCCTCCTCTCTCTCCTCTCCAGGATGTATCAGAAATGATTAAAAACTGGAACAGAAGGAGAGCAAGCTCTGAATACAAGGACTGAGATCAACCTGCTCTTAGCGCGGTTGTTGGTTTGAATGGAATATAAATAATGGATTCTCCACCCCAACACACACACACACACACACACACACACACGCAAAAGGGCTGTGCCTTTTCTTTCTTTCTTTTTCTCCTTGTCCCACACTTTTCCTTTCCCTTTTTCCTCCCTTATTTTCCTACTATTTTCTTCTGTATTTTTGTATTCTATATTATAAACTAATAAATAAAACATGTTCGAAAAAGCTTGATTCAGTCTTCCGTCCTTCTGAGGTCGGTAAAATGAGGATCCAGATTGTTGGGGGCAAAATGCCGACTTCTGTAAACTGCTTAGAGAGGGCTGTAAAGCACTGTGAAGCGGTATATAAGTCTAAGTGCTATTACTATGGCTATTGTTATTGCTATTCCTTCCTTCCTTCCTTCCTTCCTTCCTTCCTTCCTTCCTTCCTTCCTTCCTTCCTTCCTTCCTTCCTTCCTTCCCTCCTTCCTTCCTTCCTTCCGATTCTGACTGGCTCAAGGTGGACTCAGCCTTCCATCCTTCCATGGTTGGTAAAATGAGGACCCAGATTGTTGGGAGGCAATATGCCGATTCTGTAAACTACTTAGAGGCTGTAAAGCACTGTGAAGTGATATATAAGTCTAAGTGCTATTGCCCTTCCTTCCTTCCTTCCTTCCTTCCTTCCTTCCTTCCTTCCTTCCTTCCTTCCCTCCCTCCCTCCTTCCGATCCTGACCCGCTCAAGGTGGACTCAGCCTTCCATCCTTCCGAGGTCGGTAAAATGAGGACCCAGATTGTTGGGGCAACAGGCTGACTCTGTAAACCGTTTAGAGAGGGCCATAAAGCACTGTGAAGAGGTATATAAGTCTAAGTGCTATTACTATTTGCACAGATCCTCTGATCGTAACACAGATCTCTGTGTTCGGAATCAAGGAAGAAACACTTACGGAAACGTGGCAGCCGTGGCTAGTTTGGTGTAGACTGTGGTGGTAAGAAGTTCCTGGCTGACGCAGGAGAAACAAAACGGGGGAGGCAAGCGATGTTTGTAGCAGAACTCGGCTGGGGAGAGGCCGTGCGGAGGGGATGTTTCTGGCAAATCAGTTTTGGAGCCCACAAAGAGACAAGGAATCTGGCTGTCCATGTAGTGTTGCTGCAGAGGGCAAGGAAGAAGGGGGGGGGGTTATTTATGGCGTGGCCTATCAGACATGGGCTTGCAGTATATCATTAACCCCTCACCTAGATCAGTGGTTCTCAACCTGTGGGTCGGGACCCCATTTGGGGTCGAATGACCATTTCACGGGGGTCACCAAACAACGCAGTCCGCCATTTTTTCCCCCCTTTTCCTTAGCTGTGCTACTCCCTTTTATTCTATTGGCTTTTGAAAGCCAATAGAATAGACTCTCTTGAATAGAGTCTAATTCTATTGGCTTTCAAAAGCCAATAGGAATTGTCCAGGCTGTCTCTGCCCTGCTGAGCCCGCCAAAAGTCCCAATCTGCAAACGGTGCTGCACCAGTTGAGTAGTCCTCGACTTACGACCGGTTGGGGGGTCACGGCATTAAAAAGGTTGAGAACCACTGACCTAGATTAAAAAGAGAGAGAAAAAAAATAATGTTAAGGAGATCTGTATTCAGATACTCGTGCCTAGGCAAGCTAATCCTGGAAATGCAACATCGTTTATGTGGAAAAAAAATCAGATACAGGACTGGGATGGGAACCCTCAACTTACACGACCACCGTTGAGCCCAGAACTGATGTTGCTACGTGAGAAATTTGCTCAATCAGTTTCTGCCCCATTTGACCACTTTTCTTTTTTTTTTTTTTTATTGAAATTTTTCAAAAGTTTTACAAATAAAAATCCACCCCCCCCTCCCCAACCACCCCACCCCCCCCCGACTTCCCAGAACTGAATATAGGATTATTTAACAAATATTTTAAAAATAACATTTGCAATTTATAAAATAATTAATAATAATAATAAAAATCACAGTAATAATATATATAGGAATAATATATACTGGAAGAAAGTAGACGGGAATAATAATACCAATCATTACAAATTATAAAAAGGCTAAATAATATTTTTCCATATCCAAATTATGTTGACCACCGCAAAAAATTTTTCTTGAGATTGCTCCTTTAAGAAAGCCGAAATCTTTGCCATTTCTGTATGAAACCATTCTTGTAAAGTAGGCGATTCCTTCTTCCAATATTGTCCTATTAACAACCTAGCGGCTGATAACCTCCTTAGCATCACAGTCAATAACAATACCTAGTAAAAATAATTGCGGAGTAAATTTTACCCTCCTTTTAAAAATTCTTTGAATATTCCACCACCATTTGACCACTTTTCTTGCCCCATGTGTTCAGTGGAATCACTGTCGTTGTTAAATTGGTCACCTGGTGGTGAAGGGAACTCCCCATTAACTTTGCTTGTCCCAAGATCACTCAAATGACCACAGGACCCCAGGAGGCTGCATACATATGAACCAGTTGCCAAACATCTGAATGTAAATCACGTAACCGTGGGGAGGGTGCAACGGTCGTAAGTGTGAAAAATGGTCCTAAGTTCCTTTTTTTCCAGGGCCGTTGTAACTTCGAACGGACACTACATGAACTGTTGTAAGTTGAGGACTATCTGTAGATGCCCTGAGCTTACAACTGGTCACGGCGTGATCTACAGTTTGATGTGGGATCCTACAATCCGACTGAGGGGAGGGTGCTATATCCCATTTATACAGTTATTCAGGATTGCCCATTGTTAGTTGGGTTCGTTATAGGAGAGGGAGGCAAACTTTTTGCAAAGAGTTTTGCAGAACTTCTCGGGGAAGAGCTGCTGAAGTCAAACGAGCTTTCCATTTTTTCTGATGTTTATTTATTAAGCAATCGCCTTGATTACAGTCATCAATCAGCACAAAGCAAATCACAACGCTGAGATTAACTATAGATGGAGAGGCTAGACCGGGAGGATTAAAAGAAATTAAAGAGAGGCATCCAAGGAATGTTAACTAAAAAAGAGTAATAGGGCTAGAAATTGTTAAGACAACAGAGTCAGGACCGTGCAAGAATTACTTTCAAAAGTCAAACTACAAAGTGCCACTAAACACAGCGGTGAAAACAGCCAAAGAGGATTCAAAGTTTGTGGACTTCAATTAGGAATAAGCCTCAGGCAATAACTAGCTTTCGTAAAACATTTCTCTTTGCTTTACAGTATCTTCTCTACATGGAAACTCTTGTTTAATGTTTTCTTTTTCAAATTAAAGTTGCAGGTAGCAGTAAGAAAGCTCATGGATGGGTGGAGAGGAGAGGTGAGGAAAGAGAAAAGGGATGTACTTTCAAAGATCCATCCATCCATCCATCCATCCTATCATATATCATCTCTTTCCTTCTCTATCATCTCTTTCCTTCTCTCTCTCTCTCTCTCTCTCTCTCTCTCTCTCTCTATATATATATATATATATATATAAAATCTATATCTATCTGTCTGTCTTTCCTTCTTTCTCTATTTTATATCTGTCTGTCCACCCACCCATCCTATCATATATCTATCATCTTTCCTTCCTTCCTTCCTTCCTTCCTTCCTTCCTTCCTTCCATCCATCTATCTGTCTTTCCTTCTCTTTCTCTATTTTATACCTGTCTGTCCGTCCATCCATCCTATATCTATCATCTTTCCTTCCTTCCTTCCTTCCTTCCTCCCTTCTCTCTCTCTCTCTCTCTCTCTATATATATATATATATATATATAATCTATATCTATCTATCTGTCTTTCCTTCTCTTTCTCTATTTTATACCTGTCTGTCCGTCCATCCATCCTATCATATATCCTTCCTTCCTTCCTTCCTTCCTTCCTTCCTTCCTTCCTTCCTTCCTTCCTTCCTTCCTTCCTTCCCTTCTCTCTCTCTCCCCCCCCCCTCTCTCTATATATATATGTGTCTGTCTGTCAACTAATCTATCATATTTAAGAACGCCAATCATCTTCAGAGGACTGAGTGCTATATAATAAAAAAAACCTAGAAGCATACAAACAATACAGGTAGTCCTCAACATACGATCACAACTGAGCAAGCCCAAAATTTAGGCTGCTCAGCGAGAAATTTGTTAAGTGAGTCTTGCCTCATTTTACGACCTTTCTTGCCACCGTTGTTAAGTGAATCACTGCAGTTCTTGAATTAGCAACCCGGCTGTTAAATGAACCTGGCTTCCTCCACTGACTTTGCTTGTCAGGAGGTCACAAAAAGGGAACCACGTGACGCCAGGACGCTGCAACCGCCATCAATACGAGTCAGTTGCCCAGCGGCCGAATCTTGATCATGTGACCGTGGGGATGCTGCAACCGTCGCAAGTGCGAAAAATGGTCAAGAGTCCAGTGCTGTTGTAACTTTGAATGGTCTCTAAACAAACTGTTGTTAAGCTGTATGGAAAATTCAAAAGAGGCAAGAAAACTTATATCTCAGGGGCTGCCCCAAAGAAGAGGGAGTCAAGCTATTCTCCAAAGCGCCTGAAGGCAGGACAAGAAGCAATGGGTGGAAAATAATCAAGGAGAGAAGCAACCTGGAACTAAGGAGAAACTTCCTGGCAGTGAGAACAATTAGCCAGTGGAACAGCCTGCCTCCAGAAGCGGTGGATGCTCCAACACTGGAAGTTTTTAAGAAGAGACCGGACAGCCATTTGTCTGAAATGGTGTAGGGTTTCCTGCCTGAGCAAGAGGTTAGACTAGAAGACCTCCAAGGTCCCTTCCAACTTTTATTATTATTATTACTACTACTACTGCTATTATTATTATTGATGATCCTTCAATTTCTTCCTACCTTCCACCAGCTTGCATGTCTAAAGTGGGATTAGAACTCACAGTTTCCTGGTGACTGGCCCAACATCCCTTCCTTCCTTCCTTCCTTCCTTCCTTCCTTCCTTCCTTCCTTCCTTCCTTCCTTCCTTCCTTCCTTCCTTCCTTCCTTCCTTCCCCTCCCTCTCTATGCCACCCATCTTGGTGTTCAAAGTTTCCTGCCTGAGCAGGAGGTTGGACTAGAAGACCTCCAAGGTCCCTTCCAACTGTATTATTATTACTATTATTATTATTACTATTATTATTATTAATTAAATTTCAGCCATTAGACTTTGGAGACCTACTGCTTCTGAAACCAGGCAGAAAAACTTACCTTATAAATATTAGCACAGTAATTAAAAGACTTGTGGTCTGCCACGTCGTACAAGAAGCAGGCAACATCACAAGCTGTGTCAGAGGTCTTAGCAAATTCCCCGTCCGCCTCAATCTCCTGCAGCTGCAGAGACAACACAGAGGAGATTCATATTTTTTTCTGAACCATCCGGATACTTTCTGACTAAACAACGGTTCACTCATCATATGCATCGGGGATTTTTTTTTAAAAAAATGAATCAATAGATTGCACTTACAATTAAATGCTTTTCCTGTCCATTGACCAGCACCGTATTAATTGAATAGGGCGATCTGTTTTCCTTGGATTCACTCTGGACCTGAAACATGAAGGAAGGATGGTTTTGATGAGGAAGAAAGATTGATTTTGATGTAAAAGAAAGAAGGAAGATTAATTTTGATGTGGAGGGAGGGAGGAAGAGAAGGAAGGTGGTGAGGGAGTGAAGGAGGGAAGGAAGGAATAAAGGAGGGAGGAAGGAAGGAAGGAGGGAGGGAGGGAGGGAAGGAAGGAAGGAAGGAAGGAAGGAAGAATATTGATGATTGTGTATCTCTTCCAACCTGATACTGTCTAGATACTTGGGAATGCCATTTCAACAATCCTGAAAACCGAGAATTCTTGGACTTTTAGTAGTCCAGAACCAGCCCCACCCCACAAAAAAACACATTTAGAAGAGGGGATAGGCTGCATTCTGGAAGCCTAGAATGATTTGGGCTTCCTTGGGCCTCAATTAAGACATCGTAAGAAATCACTGCCCCTCAAATTCCAAGGACTGGCATGTGGAAAAAAGCCAGCGTGGGGTTGTGGTTAAGGCAATGGGCTAGGACTGGATGAACCAAGTTCAGGGGGCAGGAATGTGGTATATCACCCGCCTGAAATAGCTTGCTGGGAGTCTAGGGCAGGGGTCTTCAAACTTGGCCCTTTTATGACTTGTGGACTTCAACTCCCAGAATTCCTCAGCCAGTCCCAATTCTGGAAGTCCATAAGTCATAAAAGGGCCAAGTTTAAAGACCCCCCGGTCTAGGGCAATGTTTCTCAACCTCGGCAACATTTAAGAGATGTGGACTTCAACTCCCAGAGTTCCTCAGCCACCATTACTGGCTGGGGAATTCTGGGAGTTGGACTCCACACATCTTAAAAGTCGCCGAGGTTGAGAAACACTGATTTAGAGGCCTCTTGGGATCAACCGTCAAAGCTCACCCCGATTCTGTACTGGTCTGAACTGAGAAGAATCTGAATGGAAGACTTAAATAGCGGGCGCTGTTCTCTGCCAGGACTTACCCCCACATCCTTGCCTAGAAAGGCCTGCAGGAAAGCCGACTTGCCGGCCCCTCGTGACCCGATCACTTTGCAGAGGAAGACGTTCCGGTGGGTCTGGCCTTTCTCCAAGTCCACCTTTTTTTCCCGGGTGACTAGAACAAAATGGAGAGGTGGATGAGAAAGGATAATGAACCTGCCTTCCCAACTTCCTGCCTTTGCAGCGAGCTGAATTCCAGGCAGCGGATTCATTCTGTAGGCTTTGGCCAGGTCTGGCGGTACCCTAGTTCCCATGCTATATAGGTAGTCCTTGTGTTATTGCGCTGAGGTAACCCAGGAGTAAATACAGTGAACAGTGGTCTGTATTAAATGGTGGTTTATATTACACTGTATCTACAGATATACCCTAAAAACAAGATACATACATGTGGTGAAACAGCAAACTCCAATGCACAGCAATTACGGCAGTCAAACGGACAAGGAATACTCTACCGAAAAACTTCCCTTTTATACTCAAGACTCTTAAAGGCACAGACACAGATCCTACTGAGTCATTCCTATTCGTGCATCATCCACCTTACATTATTACATCATGACATAAGCTGTTTAGCTGTGAAATCATTATCCTGACATCTTGACTTACTGGGTCAAGAATTTCTTATTGCTAAGCTAGGGGGTGAAATGAGTCGCGCCTGACTTGATGACCGTTTTTCCCGCCTGGGTTGTTAAGCGAAATTATTGCAGTTGTTAGGTGAACCACATGGTTGTTAAACAAATCCGGCTTCCCCCCTTGACTCTGCCTGTTGGAAGCCGGCTGGGGAAGTTGCAAACGGGGATCGCGTGACCCTGGGACGCTGCAACCGACATAGTTACATGTGAGTTGCCAAGTGTCCCAATTTTGATCATGTGACTGTGGGAACGTTGCGACGGTCGCTAAATGCAAGGACCGGTTGTTAAGTCACCTTTTCCAGTGCAGTTAACTCCGAGCGGCCACTAAACAAACTGCTGTACACGTAGTACCTGACTTATGATCGCAACTGAACGCAACATTTCTGCCGCTAAGTGAGACAATTAAGTGAATCTTGCCCCATTTTACGACCACGGTTAAGCTCGTAAAACGGTTGCTAAGTGAACTTGGCTTCCCCACTGATTTTGCTTCTCAGAAGATTGTAAAAGGGGAATCACAGGACGCTGCCATTGTCATAAATGTGAGCCGCTGGCTAAGCATCTGAATTTCGATCTCGTGACCAGGGAGAGGCTGCAACGGTCGTAAGTGTGAAAAAAAAACCAGACATAAATTGTAACTTTGAATGGCCACGAAATGAACGGTGGTAAGCCGACCTCTATGTTGAGGACTAGCTGCACAGTACTTGAACTTAGAAATCAGCTCAGCAGCTGATTTACCTGTGATGGCGTAAATCTGGGAGTCCTGCTGAGAGAAGATGGGGTACCCCAGGTAGCCCAAGTGTTCTAAGCAGCGATGGACGTCCAGGTAGGCAACCAGCCTGGGGGGAAATCCAAGCACAGAGAGAGAGAGAGAAGCGCACCTGTTACAGGCCGCCCATGGAGGGGAGGACAAGTAGTCTGACAGGGGGGCAGAGAGAGGCTGCGCTTACGTCCACTGGCAGAGGAATCCATGCAGGGAAAGCAGGCCTTTATCTGTGGTGCATACCGTGTGGTAGAGCTCAGATCCCCAGGGGATATAGGGGAACACACCAAAGAAGTTCTGCAGCTCGCCGGGCGAGAGGGCGCCGTCACGGTCCTACAGGCCAGAGGGAAGACAACAGCCCCTGAGCGGCAGCTCTCCCTTGCTACAGGCCGGCAAGCCCACCATGCCTACAGCATCCTGAGAAGCCCTCTGCTCCTTCGACAAGTTCAGCTGCAAAGTGATCAGGGTGTGGTGCCCTTGCCCTTAGCATCTTGGCATGTTTTGGGCGGAGTAGCCAGATCCAAAGCTGCGTGGAGGCTTTTCCTGCCTTTAGTCAAATGCTGGAGAAGGGCTGGAGACAGAAATGGCCACAAAGTGGCCTTCCGCTCCTGTCTCTCCTGCCAATTGTCCTATGATGGCTGCTTGCCATCACCAACAGAGAAGTAAGGAGTTCTGACTTCTTTCTTCCTGGGCAAGATGCCTTCAAGAGGAGGAACAGCTTAATCAGGGGTCTTCGAACTTGGCCCTTTTGTGACTTGTGGACTGGCTGAGGAATTCTGGGAGTTGAAGTCCACATGTCATAAAAGGGCCAGGTTTGAAGACCCCTGAGTTTCATGCTGCGGTCAAAGGAGCAGGACAGCTTTCCTTCCCTTCCAGCTCTCAAACTGATGGGATGTGACTCCTCTCCTATTTTCTTTCCCAACAGAGGGAACTTTCAGATTGACACGTCAAGTCTTTTTACAGCCTCTGTTTTCTCTTCCCATTCTCTCAAAAGTCTATTGTCGTAGCTTTCATCATCTGAACTTAGATAGGGCTACAAAGACCTTTCCTGACATTGCTATCACCACTTTTGCTAGACTGGAGAATGATAAAACTGCAGAGGAACACGTCTTCCTGAGTCTACAGCAGGGGTCTTCCAACTGGGCCCTTTTATGACTTGTGGACTTCAACTCCCAGAATTTCTCAGCCAGCGTGTTGGCTGAGGAATTCTGGGCGTTGAAGTCCACAAGTCATAAAAGGGCCAAGTTTGAGGACCCGTGGTATACAGGAAGAACCAAGATTGAGCAGACAAGTCCTCCAAGCGACATATTACCAGAAATCCAAATTCTATATTAATGCAGCCCGTTAATCACTATGCGTGGTTTTTGCACCCAGCAAAATGTTGTAGGATCCTTGTACTCTGCCCATCGATGCAAATTTGAACCCGACTGATCTAATGGCTGGCCAAACAGGAAATGCTCTTGCAAAAGACAGAGTCGGTGTGTTTGGGAAGCAGAGAGAGGGGAACAGTGAAGATCTGTAGGAGAGGGCTGCCGTATTGATGCCATTTGTAAGCATGACTGGGAATTGGAACTGGTATGTTGAAAGCAGCACATTGGCACAAGGAGCATGAAGGAGAAGGAGGACTATGGATTCGATATTTTGGAGCAGTCTTTCTCAACCTTGCTGGCTGTGGAATTCTGAAGTCCACACACACCTTAAAGTTGCCAAAGTTGAGAAACACAGCCCTGGAGGAATCACATGGACAACTTGACTGAGCAAGGCACGTTCTCTTGAGTGGACACAAATCAGCTACAGTAGATACCCAATCTCTTGCCCGTCTCATATTTCCAGCTCAGGAAAGCTTGCCAAGACCACATGGCCGAAATTCAGGGGTACAGTTTTTCACCGATTTTGAGAAAAGCTCAAGGAAGAATGCTAATTCCCCCTCAAGGACAATCTAGGGGGAGGCAACCTTGGCTCTTTTATGACTCGTGGACTTCAACTCCCAGAATTCCTGAGCCAGCATAGGGGAACTATGGCTCCCTTGATGACTCGTGGACTTCAACTCCCAGAATTCTTGAGCCAGCATGGCTCAACTTGGAAACTTCTCCCTTTCCCCTCAACATGGCTGGCTCAGGAATTCTGGGAGTTGAAGTCCACGAGTCATAAAAGAGCCAAGCTTGCCTACCCTTGATCTAGGGCTTCCACGAAAGGAAGTCAAGCTTTTTTTTTTTTTTTAAAGAGCATTGCTTCAGGATCAGTCGTCCCTGGCAAGTTATGGGATCAACCATTAGGCAGCCTCTATGGGGGAAAAACACACAACCCACCATGGAGACACTGTTTCGGCCTCTCCACCACTTACCTTGTCATGTTTCTCAAACATCCGTTGGAGGAACTGGTAACCAAAGTGGTTGAGCTCTGTGGAGCAGTCCTGAGGTACTCGGATCCTGAACGAAACAAGAGCAGAATTTGAAGCAGATCCTGCAGTCCCGACAATTTTTCCAACTACTACAAACCACCTACAAACCATCAGTAGTTCGGTTCTTGGGTGCAGAGGTCTTCTGGAAAGCCCTGTGATGAAAATGCAGGCCTGGCTGCAGAAGAGGCCTCAGAAGTCTGCCAGGTAAGTGGGTGTGGGGTGGGTGGGGCAGCTCCACACCCCCATCCTCGCGCTAGCTTGATTTTTAAGCATGCGCCTCATCCCAAAACTAGGGCTTATTTTTGGAGTAGGCCTTACTTTCGGGGAAACACGGTATGACCATAACTGGGACCAGAATTTCCACTGGCAGATGTTAAGGGAAGCCATGTCCAATTTTAGGACTTTTTTTTTTGCCATGGACATTAAGCAAATGGCTTCCGTTCTTAAGTTGTAAGTCGAGGATTCAAGCTGACTCACACTGGGCAGAGATAGTCATCAGTCAGCTCCAGGGCATCGTCATAGCCAAAGCGGCGGAGAATGGTCCATGTAGTCTCGTGACGGCCTCTCTGGATGAAGAGGGTGTTGAGGAAAAGAAAGCCTGGGGAGAGACAAGGGGGGGGGGTTACAAGGGTATTGTTCAGAACATACAACAAAGATACCCCATAGTGCAGGGGTAGGCAACCTTGGCTCTTTTATGACTCGTGGACTTCAACTCCCAGAATTCCTGAGCCAGCCATGCTGAGGGGAAAGGGAGAGGTTTCCAAGCTGAGCCATGCTGGCTCAGGAATTCTGGGAGTTGAAGTCTACCAGTCATAGAAGAGCCAAAGTTGACTACCCCTGCCATAGGGGATAGATTTGAGTCTTCTCAACCTCTGAGGAGGAACAGAGCAGAACACAACAGAATAACAGAGTTGGAAGGGACTTTGGAGGTCTTCTAGTCCAACCCCCTGCTCAAGCAGGAGACCCTATACCCTTCCAGACAATTGTCTGAAAAATACCATTGGACAATCTCTTCTTAAAAACCTCCACCCACAACATCTGGAGCACCTACAACATCTGGAGGCAAGCTGTTCCACTGATGAATTTTAACTGCCAGGAATTTTCTAGGTTGCTTCTCTCCTTGATTAGTTTCCATCCGTCGCTTCTTGTCCTGCCTTTAGGTGCTCTGAAAAATAGCCAGACTCCCTCTTCTTTGGGGCAGCCCCTCAAATATTGGAAGACTGCTATCATGTCATCCCTAAACTTTCTTTTCATTAAACTAGACATATCCAATTCCTGCAACCCTTCCTCATACGTTTTAGTCTCCAGGCTCCTAAACATCCTCTTTGTTGCTCTTCTCCGTGCTCTTTCTAGAGTCTCAGCATCTTTTTTTCCATCATTTCCGGGGCCAGCTACTTAAAGAGTGGACTGCTGTATTTACCATTGAGTGTAAGGCCATTGTCCTGGACACCATCTGTTGTGTTCTTCCACACCACCATTTTTACATCTTCCAGAGCTTGAGGAGCCAACGGGTTTCCAAAACAGGACTTCTACTTCCCCAAAAAAACAAGGAGGTCAGTCACAAAAAGGAACAGGTCTATGCATAAAAGAACAAATAGAAGCATCGTATAGACTCAGAGAAAAGGTACAGTAATGGCCAAAATTGTGGAAACCTTTTGGGAAAAGTGTACTTTTGATGTTTGATGGCTAATAACACCAATTTTTTGGAGTAGTACCATAAAATTATATATCAATGGAAAGATAATTTAATTGAGAATGTAATGCAATGTAGTTTGTTCAATTATCTGTACTGTATTCTATGAAAAGTTATAGCCAAATAACCAGAAAAAGGAAGCACAACTTGCTTAGGTTGATATCGGGAAGCTTTCCTTCATCTGATTATAGCCAATGAGCATGAGTGTTTAGAGAGCCAATCGGGTGTCATCTTGTTTTGGCAATGAGCCAATCAGATCACAGTAGGATTCAGTTATTGATGTCATGTATTAAAGCTGAGAGGAGGACATTTGTCAGTATGTTGTGTGATCGCTATCAAGTTGGTTGGGGTTTTTTTGTGTTCTTTATTTAGTGAGCTTGTAAAACGTAATAAAATTAAACTCATGGTGCAAAGAGTTGACAGGTTGCCCAGAAAGCGATGTAAAATAGTATTATTAAGTGAACAAGGCTACAGTTATAAAGAAATTAGAAGAAAAATGGGTGGAAACTTAACCAAAGGTGGCATTTCTACTGTACACTTTTCCCAAAAGGTTTCCACAATTTTGCCCACTACTGTAACAGCTCAGCTGCTGCTGGAAAGTTGGGATGTTCCATATTCAGCTTGGATATATTCCAAATTCTCTCAAAGTCAACGACTGAGGAATCAAGAGATGCCTGGAAATTGCTTTCAGATCTGAAATACAAGTAGTCCTCAACTTACAACAGGCCATTTACTGACCGTTTGAAGTTACAACCGTTGTTCACACTCGTGGCCATTGCAGCATTCCCCAAGATCATGTGATCAAAATTTGGATGCTTGGCAACTGGCTTGTATTTATGACGGTTGCATAGTGTCCTGGGGTCCTGTGATCCGCTTTTACGCCGTTCTGACAAGCGAAAATCAACGGGAAAGCCAGATTCACTTAACAAATTGTGTTACTAACTTAACAACTGCAGTTAATCAACAGGGCAAGAAAGCTTGTGAAATGGGGCAAAACTCATGCAACAAATGTTTTGCTTAGCTGCAGAAATCTGGGGTCCAACTGTGGTCGTAAGTTGAGGACTATCTGTACTGCTGTTAAAGAACTATGCCTATTGAAAGCAAAAAAGGACTGAAGCTCCCCCATAAGGTTACAAATCTCAACATATCCAGACAGGGCATCAGATTTGGTACCAACAGACATTCTGAGAATACACAAAGATTTCCAGTTTGTTCCTCCACCCCAACCCCCCTCCGGCTTCCCCCCGTTGAAAACAAAACGGTACCTGGAAATAGTTCAGTTCTTCATCACTTAGGATCTGGTTGTTGTCTTGATCAGACATGTTGAAAATCCGAGTGAGCGCTTGCGCACATGCTGGCCTTAACTGACCAAACAGAGAGGGGAAAGAGAGAGAGGGAATTTTAAAGAGAGGGAATACGAAGTAGCTGCTGATACCTTGCATTTCCCACAATGCTGTCATCACAGGCACAGAGGGATGGAGAACATGATGCACAGAAGCTGTTTTGCCTAAGAGCAATGGTTCTCAACCTGTGGGTCAGGACCCCATTTGGGGTCAAATGACCATTTCACGGGGGTCGCCAAACAATGCAGTCCGCCAGTTTTCCCCCTTTTCCTTAGCTGTGCTACTCCCTTTTATTCTATTGGCTTTGGAAAGCCAATAGAAGAGACTCTCTTGAATAGAGTCTAATTCTATTGGCTTTCCAAAGCCAATAGGAATTGTCCAGGCTGTCTCTGCCCTGCTGAGCCCGCCAAAAGTCCCATTCTGCAAACGGTGCTGCATCAGTTGAGCAGTCCTCGACTTACGACCGGTTGGGGGTCGCGGCATTAAAAAGGTTGAGAACCACTGCCTAAGAGTCTGGAATAGTCTTCTCCAAACTGGCGCTCCTCCAAGGGCACCAAACGTCTGGAAGGTCAACTTGGTTGAGAAACTTAAGATGAAATCCACTAGATCTGGAAACCATCAGGTGGAAGACTATCTTTTCCCACTGCGGGTTCTCTCCAATGCCAGAATTTCCTATCAGGTCCACAGTTCTGGCCAGCAACCTGGTTAAGGAAGGCTGGTTTAGTACCACAGAGTAACAAAATTGTATATAGCAATAGCACTTGGACTTATATACTGCTCCGTAGGGCTTTGCAGTACTCACTGAGCAGTTTAGAGCAGGGGTCCCCAATCCCCAGTCCGTGGACCGGTACTGGGCCGCTGCATGCCAGCAACCAGGCTTCACAAACAAGCAAAGCCCCATCTGTGGGATGCAGGCAGCACACAAAACCACGCACTCTCCGGTCCGTGGAAAAACCTGTCTCCACTTAACTGGTCCCTGGTGCCCAAAAGATTGGGGACCTCTGGTTTAGAGTCAACATCTCGCCCCTAACAATCTGGGTCTTCACTTTACTGACCTTGGAAGGACTGAAGGCTGAGTCAGCCTTGAGCCGGTCAGGATCGAACTCCTGGCTGTGGGCAGATTTTTGCCTGCAATACCGCATTCTAACCACTGCGCCACCAAGCCTCATGTAGTCACACAAAGCCAAGATTTAATCATAGATTTACTGGCTCTGCAAATGGCATTGGGGCTAGCCCTCCATACCACCTAAAACCAGCCAGAGATTTACAAAAGACAAAGGCAGTCCTCGACTTACGTCCACAACTGAACCCCACATTTAGGTTGCTAAGCGAGACATTTGTTAAGTGAATTTTACTCCATTTTTTACAATTTTTCTTGCCACAGTTGTTAAGTGAATCGCTGCAGTTGTTAAATTAGTCACAAGGTTGCTAAGTGAATCTGGCTTCCCCTGTTGACTTTGCGTGTCAGAAGGTCGCAAAAGAAGATCACGTGACTCCGGGAGTCTACAACGGTCATAAACGTGAGTCAGCTGCCAAGCGTTCTGAATTTTGATCACGTGACCATGGGGATGCTGCAACGGTCGTTAAGTGTGAGAAAAGGTCATAAGCCACTTTTTTTTCCAGCGCTGTTGTAACTTCGGTCACTAAATGAACTGTTGTAAGTCAAGGATTACCTGTAGTCATTAGAAATCTTTCGCCACGGTTTTCTAGTTTTTCTTTAGTGAAATTTACTTATCAGAAGTTCTAGTAAGATTGCCTAACTCGTTCCAGTCCTGCCTGCTACACTAACAGCAACGTTATAATGCGGATGTTTTTACCTGTTTCTCCTCTGGATCATAAAGAGGGGCAGTTGGATGAAGAACAGCTTTCTGCGCATAGTAGAAAAGCTCAGAAATGTTTTTCAGATTCTTCGCTGAACACTGGCGTAGAAAGAGGGGGAGAGAAGCTGATTCAGAGAGCAGGAAGTGCTATTCAGTAAATAAAACCGATATACTGAAACGACATTCAAAAGTTCTCAATCTGAGGACGACCATGCAAGCAGGCACAAAGGAAAGACTAAAAGTGAAGCCTCTTTTCTTCCAATTCTCCCTGAAAGAACAATTTTGATGTGGCGTCGTATCATATCAGAAGAAGTGGCCTAAAATTGGGGTCTTCTGCATGCAAAATATGCGCTGCCACTAAATCAGTGGAGGAGTTTCTAGTGCCGTGGTGGTGAACCTATGGCACACATGCCACGGGTAGCACGCAGAGCCCTCTCTGTGGGCACGGGTGCCGTTGCCCGAGTCCTAGGCCTTCAGCTGGGTTTTATAAAATCTTTTTGCTTTAGGTTCCCCCACCATGTGCAAAAAAAAAAAAAAAAAGGTTCAATCAATCTTGCGGGGAAAAAAAGATCTCACAAAGTTGGAATTGATTGATTGAACTTTTTAGTCCCACCCAGTCTGCTGTTACCACCGAAGCCACACCCATCCAATGGGCTACGCCAATCCGGCACCCGACGATACATAAGTGGGTTTTGGGTTGCAGTTTGGGCACTCGGTCTCTAAAAGGTTCGCCATCACTGTTCTAGTTCAACTCCCGTAAAGCAGAGATCCTCAACTTTTCCAGCTTTGTGGCCCGGTGTGTGTGTGTGTGGGGGGGAGAGGGATGGCTCCACGTGAGTGGTGGGCAAGCGCGTGTGTGTGTGCAGCTCCATTTGTGCAAGTGGTGGGCATGTGCACCTGCCTGCCACTCACGCAAATGGAACATGCGGTGCGCACACTTGCCCGTCCCTTCCATGGCCCGGTTCCAAATGGCTCAAGGCCCAGTAGCGGGCTGTGGGTTGGGGACCCCTGTCCTAAAGCACTTTTCCTTCACCCCAGAGTCGAAGGTCTGTATTATGTCCCTGCCAACGTTCACACAATCCCTCACCTCCACGCAGGTCTCGATCTCGGAGAACTGGTTCATAATGGGCAGGATGGTTTCCATGGAGCTTCCGGTGTGCAGGTCAGACTTGTTTCCCACGAGGATGATGGGGATCCTTGAAAAGAAGAAAACATTTTGGAGAGACCTATTGAGCAGAAAAGGGGTGGGGTGGAGGATATATATATATATTTTAAAGCACATGGCAAGGAGGTCTACAACGCTTTTTACCACACAGTACAGGTAGTCCTCAACTTACAACAATTCGTTCAGTGACCGCTCAAAGCGACAGCGGCACTGAAAAAAGGTGACTTAGGATCTTTTTTTCAAACTGATGACCGTTGCCGCATCCCCACGGTCACGTGATCAACATTTGCAAGCTGAGCAACCGGTTCACATTTATGATGGTCGCAGTGTCCCGGGTTCACGCGATCCCCCTTTTGTGACCTTCCGACAAGCAGCCAATGGGGGGAGGGGAGCCATATTCACTTAACAACCGTGTGACTAACTTAACAACTGCAGCGATTCCTTTAACGACGGTGGTGAGAAAGGTCGTAAAACGGAGCAAAATTCACTTTAACAACCACCTCGCTTAGCAACGGAAATTTCGGGCTCCACTGCGATCGTGCGTCCAGGGCTACCTGTAGTTCTGGCAACCTAAGATTGCTAGTTTATTTTGTTCAGGCAGGCATGCTATCCATGGTACACCACAAGGGGGAGAACCAGCTTTCCACCAATTGGCTCGCAGCGTTTGGGGTGCTTGGTCATCCGTGCTTTCTTCCACCAACCTCGCCTCGCATCCAGACAGATCCGGCACCAGCTCCACACGGAACACTGCTAGCTTTTCCCAGAAAGGTGGTACCTATTTATCTACTTGCAGTTTTACATGCTTTCGAACTGCTAGCTGGGCAGAAGCTAGGGCAGTGATGGCGAACCTTTTAGAGACCGATTTGCCCCAAAACTGGCCCCGCCCCAGCTCTACCCCTGCCCTGCCTGCCCGCAGGGCCACCCACGTCCACGGCCCGCTGCAGATCGCTCAGACAGCCCCGCAGCACCATGGCAGCCACGTCCACCCCCACGCCCCGCAGCATCAACTGTGCACGACGGGGCGCAAGGGCGGAGTCTTGTCCCCGCTGCCCGGCTGCCATGTCCTTGGCTGCGCTGCTCTATGCGGGCCGCAATCGGGGGCGACTTTCCTCCGGGGGATGCTGGTGAGGAGGGGGCTGCAGGGGGAGGCGGGGCTGGGGCGACAGCATGCGTGCCCACAGAGAGGGCTCTGAGTGCTACCACTGAGCTAGGGCAAATGACAGGAGCTCACTCCACCACCGTGGGCTCGAACAGCCGGAGCGCCATCTCTGGCCGGCAGATACAGCGTCTTTAAGCCGCTGTGCCACTATGCTACCCCCAAAAGAGATTTATTAGCAGACCTATGAGAACCAAAGCAGCACAACCCACCCTGTAAGACATTAGATACCTGGCACATCGCTCAATGCCACCGTTCACCATTGGAATCCATTTTGTCCGAATCTGGGGGGGAAAGGAAGGGAAAAGCAAGTGGGAGGGAGAATCTCCATGCCCCGACTCCTCCCCCGATTTTTTAAGAAATAAGCCCTTGAGAAGACACCCAAGTCCAACCATGACATCAAGACTTTGTCCCCCAGCTCCAGTCGAGATCAACACCCACCCAAGGCAACAGAGGTCCTTCAAAGAAACATCGTGAGATACAGCACTCATGAACATTCATGGGGCCTCGCGTAGGAAAGTCAAGGCAGGGAGAAGCAGTACAATTGTGGACTTGCGGATGGGCACCTCAGAGGCCTGTGGTGTTACCTTGTCAATGGTGGCCTCCTCTGTGACGTCATAGACCATGCAGACCACGTTTGCCTGCAATGGAAAAAAGTGGGACACAGTTCTAAAAAAAACACAGAACTCTCTAGACCAGGGGTAGGCAACCTTGGCTTTTTTATGACTCGTGGGCTTCAACTCCCAGAATTCCTAAGCCAGCCACGCTGAGGGGAAAGGGAGAGGTTTTTGTATTTGTATTTAATTTTATTTATATGCCGCCCAATCCCAAAGGACTCAGGGCGGCATATAAATAAAAATAAATAAACTTTCCAAGCTGAGCCATGCTGGCTCAGGAGTTCTGGGAGTTGAAGTCCATGAGTCCTAAAAGAGCCAAGGTTGCCTAGCCCTGCACTCTCCAGATTATTTTTGGTGCAAAGAACTTGCCTCCTCAATGCTGGGTTTAGCACCCTCAACATGAGCCAACTATGGTTTGATGCACTGCTATAGTCAGTTGGCACAATAATGCCCTCCATTTATGAATACCAGCATGGCAGAGAGATAGTTCTGCTGAAGGTAAAAAGAAAGGTGACCTTGGCAGAAAAATGCAGGAACTGTTACCCAGATGGAGGGTCATTTTCAAAATCCAGAGCCATGAGAGAACCCTTGGAAGAGGCGTCAAGCAGTTCCCTCCCTGATTCATTGGAAGGTTAGAAGGAAGAGCAGGCACAGAACAATCAAACTTGCAAGATCCTGTTTACTGTCGCCAATCTCAATAAAAGTAGTTTTAGCCTTCCCGTAGAGTTGAATTCTTGGTCTGGCCCATCTAGTGGGGTTAAAACTAAGATCTTACTGTCTAATATCCTGCTTCTCAGAATAACAGAGTTGGAAGGGATCTTGGAGATCTTCCAGTCCAACCCCTCCACACAAACAAGAGACCCTGCACCCTTTCAGAAAACTGGTTGTCCAATCTCATCTTAAAAGCTTCCAGGGTTGGAGCACCTACAACTTCTGAAGGCAAGGCGTTCCACTGGTTGATTGTTCTCACCGTCAGGAAGTTTCTCCTTAGTTCTCAGTTGCTTCTCTCCTTGATTGGTTTCCATCCGTTGCTTCTTGTCCTGCCTTTGTAAAATAGATTGAGTCCCTCTTCTTTCTGTTTCTCCATAGGCAGGTTGCTATGTCCATCTTTGGAACTGAATGTTCCTTGGGCTTTATCACCACATCGCTTGGGGCTTCCCAGGGCAACACAACTGTCTATCTATGGTAGCCCTGTTGAAGCTAAGCGATCTGTGCTCTCTGCAAGGAAGTAGGAACTTCTGCTCCTGCTCCTCCTCTGAATCTTCTCCTGCCTGGTTCTCACTTAAGCTGGTAGGTTCAATTCTCACAGCGCTGCTGCTACTGACAAGCATCGATGAAGCAAAGATCAAACGGATCAGATTACTTTCCACCAGGCTTTGGGTGGGATTTGGGAAGAGTTTTGGTGTCTACGTTCAGGAAGGCAAAGAGAGGAAGGGGGGAGGGGAGCTGCCCCAGGCCCGCCCCACCCCTCCAGACCTTAGGATCACCTTGGCAATCTCTTCTTGCAGCTCTTCTTCCGTCTGTTCGGCTTCTGAAAGGAGACACAAAAGGGACGTGAGTTGGCCCTGCCATCTTTCACCCACGTGCAAAGTGAGAAGCATCCTATCCACCACAGATAGGAGGTTCAGGCAACAGTGGGGCCAGGTTGGCCCTATCTATTGCTCAGAGAAGGAAGGAGCTCTTGCTCGATGCTCACTTTCAGGTATGGTACGGTAGAGAGCCAGTTTGGTCTCGTGGTTAAAGCATCAGGCTAGAAAGCAGGAGACCGTGAGTTCTAGTCCCACTTTAGGCATAAAAGCTGGCTGGATGACTTTAGGTCAATCACCAGGAGACCGTGAGTTCTAGTCCCACCTTAGGCATGAAAGCTGGCTGGATGATTTTAGGTAATCACCAGGAGACCGTGAGTTCTAGTCCCACCTTAGGCATGAAAGCCGGCTGGATAATTTTAGGTAATCACCAGAAGATCGTGAGTTCTAGTCCCTTGTTAGGCATAAAAGCTGGCTGGATGATTTTAGGTAATCACCAGGAGACGGTGAGTTCTAGTCCCGCCTTAAGGCATGAAAACTGGCTGGATGACGTTAGGCCAATCACCAGGCTACCGTGAGTTCTAGTCCCACCTTGGGCATGAAAGCTGGCTGGATGACGTTAGGCCAATCACCAGGCGACCGTGAGTTGTAGTCCCACCTTAGGCATGAAAGCCAGCTGGATGACTTTAGGCCAATCACCAGGAGACCGTGAGTTCAAGTCCTGCCTTAGCTATGAAAGGCAGCCGGGTGACTTTGGGTCAGTCCCTCTGTCTCAGCTCAACCCACCTTACAAGGTTGTTGTGGGGAAAATACGAAGAGGAAAGTGTGTTGGATACGTTCACCGCCTTGAGGTATTTGTAAAAGTGATAAAGGCAGGATACAAATAAACAGAAATAAAATTGTGCGAATACAGAGGGGAAGGGGGAAAAAAACCTTCCAGCCTGAATCCCAACCTTTCAACCGACAGGCGTCACAGTAAACCGTGATGTTGTCTCCTTCCATGTGGCACTGCTTGGGGCATATTCCTGGCTTTTTATCCACAAATCCACCTGTCATTTATGCCCGTGACCTACCTGAATAGTCTACAATGTGGGTGGGGACTTTCTCAGGAGTGACATCTGCAGGGATTATGATCTCTTCGGCCCTAGGAGGAACCTGGAAGGGGAAAAGGGGTTATCACTGGCTATTCTCAGATGATCAAGGCTTGTCTCAATTTATCGGTGTACTTCCCTCACGTATAGACTCTAGATTTAAAAAAAGGGGACAAAACAAAAACCACCATCCAGGGTCATTATAAGTCCTGCAAGAAGGACTGTCTTAGTTTCTTCTTTCTTTTCTTGTATGTCATAGGTAGTATAAATCTATTTACATTGTTTGTCCTGCTCATACGTTTCTATGGGAAAGTTTTAAGGCTGCAAGGCAGAGTAAGAACAGCAGCAGAGGGATAGAATCAAGATCACTTGTTAGGAATTTATTTTAATTGAATTGTATTTTGTATGAATAAATGGAAAATAAAAACTTTTTTAATAATAATAATAAAAAAGATCAGGTGAAGTGTTAATACCACTCTACAATGCCTTGGTAAGGCCACACTTGGAACACTGCATCCAGTTTTGGTCACCAAGATGTAAAAAAGACGTTGAGGCTCTAGAACAGCGGTTCTCAACCTATGGGTCGCGACCCCATTTGGGGTCGATCGACCATTTTTCGGGGGTCGCCAAAGGTGGCGATCCGCCATTTTCCGCGGCGCCGGCGCTGCGCACGCACGCCGCGCGTGGGGGCGGCGCCACGCACGCGCGCCGCGCATGGGGGTGCCGCCGCGCATGCGCGTTGCGCATGGGCGCGCCGTGCACACGCATTGCGCATGGGCACCGCCGTGCACGCACGCCATGCATGGGGGCGCCGTGCATGCGCATCACGCATGGGGGCGTCGCACATGCACGTCGCGCATGGGGGCACCGCCCCCATGCGCGCGGCGCCGCGCCTGCGCAGAACGTTTGTGTGACGGGGGTCGCCGTCACACAAACGTTGAGAAGCACTGCTCTAGAAAGAGTGCAGAGAAGAGCAACAAAGATAATTAAGGGACTGGAGGCTAAAACATATAAGGAACGGTTGCTGGAATTGGGTACGTCTAGTTTAATGAAGAGAAGGACGAGGGGGGACATGATAGTAGCCTTCCAGTATCCCAGGGGCTGCCCCAAAGAAGAGGGAGTCAAGCTATTCTCCAAAGCACCTGAAGGCAGGACAAGAAGCAAAGGATGAAAACTAAGCAAGGAGAGAAGCAACCTAGAACTAAGGAGAAACTTACTAACAGTTAGAACAATTAATCAGTGGAACAAGAAGTTGTGAATGCTCCAACACTGGTTGGACTAGATGACCTCCAAGGTCCCTTCCATCTTTATTATTATTATATGCAGCAACAGCAACCCGTACTCACCTCCTCAGGGAACTCCTCACCCACCAGAGCCATGATCAAGGATGTTTTCCCCACTTGGGCTATAAGAGAGAGAAACAATATAATTACAGGTAGTCCTCAACTTACAAGCCATTGATTTAGTGACCATTGAATGTTACAACAAACACTGTGGAAAAAAAAAAAACATTTCTCACACTTATGATTGTTGCAGCATCTCCATGGTCAGGTCATCAAAATTTGGATGCTTGGCAACTGGCATGTATTTATGACGGTTGCACTGTCCCAGGGTCATGTGATCCCCTTCTGCAACGTTCTGACAAGCCAAGTCAATGGAGAGGCCCGGTTCACTTAACCAGTATATTAATAACAGAATAGAATTGAACGTAATAGAATAGAATAGAAACGTTATTATCACTTTAAATGTACACTAATCAGCATACATTAAAATGAAATTTTGTTGCATTCAGCTCTCAGAAAAATACCATTATTCATGTACTCACACACACACACACACACACACACGACACAGAGAAACATCACCATCTAGTTCGAATCTATACACATACACGGCAAAAAAAAAAAAAAAAGAATCCTGCGAATTTACAAGACGGATGGCACAAGGAACAAAGCTGTTACAGAATCTCGTAGTACTGTTATAAATACTTCTAAACCTCCTCTCAGAGGGGAGCAACAGAAATAGACCGTGAAGTGGGTGTGTGGGGTCTCTAATAATGCTTTGAGCTCTCAACACATATAAGCTCTTGTAAACAATATTATTCGGGCTTCCTATAATCTTCTCAGCTGTCCTCACCACTCTTCTGTGTCGATCTTCTATCTGAGGCTCTGCTACCCCCAATCGTGCCTCTGTAAAAAGTGGCCCAGGACAGAAGGAGAAAGATGCGCTCTCCTCATCCAACGCAAGAAATGCAAACGCTGTTTTGCATGCTTCACTAAGGATAATGTATGAAGAGACCAAGTTACTACTAATTTAATAACTGCAGTGGTTCACTTAACAACTGTGGCAAGAAAGGTTGTAAAATGGGCAAAACTCACTTAATACATGTCTTACTTAGCAATGGAACTTTTGGGCTGTTGTGGTTGTAAGTCGAGAGCTACATATATACTAGTGACGTGAGGGTTGGATCATCTCATATTAACCTCAGAACTGCAGCCTTTGACTGAAAACTGCTTAGTGAGCATCCTAGCTATACATGGTCAGCCAGCTCATTACTTGACCATCACAATGTTCACTCATGATCACTGGCTCTGACTCCAAATGCAGTTTGTTTGTTTCTGGCCACAATTTACAGTTTTGGACCACATCTCACAAACCCAAGATACTGTGGACCATGCTAAAGGATTGTGGGAGTCAATCTACAATGCCCCAGTTTGCTTATCTCCGTTGCCAGAACATCGACCAAGTATTTCCAAGTCAGAAGTTTGCATTGTTTAGTTTAACCCTGTGCTATGTCCAGAAATGATTTGAAGCTCAAATATATTGGTCAACAAAAGAGAAGCCAGGACTCACTGGAAAGGACCCTGATGTTGGGAAAGATGGAAGGCAAAAGGAGAAGGGGACGGCAAAGGATGAGATGGTTAAATAGGGTCATTGTTGCAATGAACATGAGTTTGGGCAAACTCCGAGGGACCGTGGAGGACATGGGGCCTGGCAGGCTGAGGTCCATAGAGTCATGAAGAGTTAAGATACAACTTAGCAATAGAACAACATATCCTGAATTATCCAAATAAAATCCAGATCTCATACTTGTTTTGTTGGGTTGTTTTTTTGGGGAACATCTATCTCTAGCAAACTCCGCCAACTATCTACGATAGAAATAAGCAACCGGATCTTCTCCAGATGATGAACATGATGACCACGACTCGTCATGTTCCAGCCAAACAACAATTAATTAATTACCAGTAATGATCAGAGCTAGAATTTAAAGCTTCTAGGGGGGACCACCTTGTTCTAAAACAATCTGTTTGCTCGGAGAAAGATATTCTTCTGAGGTTAGATTGAGAAGGGCATGAAACAAAGTGTTCTTCACGGTAGGCATCTCCATGGTAGAGTTGTCAAGTTCCCAAGAGAAGCTCAATAAAGTCGGCCATAAAAAAAAAAGTGACAACATTGGTGCATCAGCAAGCCTTGGGGGAAAGATTTCAGCTTTTATTTATGGGATGGCTTCAGGACGATGCCCAAAAAAGAGACTATAGCCTAGTTTTGTAACTGAGACACTACTCTATAACTTGATCAAATATCTGATTGATTGGCTTTAATATTAAGACGGCAAGCTGAAGATTTTTTGCAGATTCAGGCTGTTAAATGGTCAACTGGGACTCTGTGATAATTCAGGTTATCAATTATAATTCCAAAGAGGTCCTATTAATTTCCAGAAAAGACCAAAAAGCCTGCTTAAAAAGAATCACAGCCAGGTTAACAATGGTCCCTGAAGTAAGCCTTATTATAAACCTCCCAGAGTGAATGGCTTTATGGAAGAAATAAATATATCTATCATCTCTTTCCTTCTCTCTCTCTCTCTCTATAAAAAATCTATACCTTTCTGTCTGTCTATCCATCCTATCATATATCTATCATCTCTTTCCTTCTCTCTTTCTCTCTCTATAATTTATATCTGTCTGTCCGTCCATCTGTCCATCCTATCATATATCTATCATCTCCTTCCTTCCTTCCTTCCTTCCTTCCTTCCTTCCTTCCTTCCTTCCTTCCTTCCTTCCTTTCTTCCTCCTTTCCTTTCCTTTCCTCCCTCCCTCCCTCTCTCCCCATGAAAAGAAAAGCAGGAAATGTTTTCACTCTCTGGCTTTCAACAGTTCATTGGGTCACACCCAGATTTCACACCTAGATACCAGATTTGTTTTTTTTAATCCCTTCTGGAAACGAATACTAGGATTCTGTTCCAGACACTGTTCCATCCGTAGCTCTGAGTATACAGGATGGATCTGGCTTGGACATTCTGTCTTTCCTCAAGAAGTTCCTCTCCTCCACATTACTATTTTAAAACCCTCTAACAACCCCGGGAATTAAATTGGTTGAAAGTGAGAAGCAGTGATTTCAATTGCCTGTTGGGTTCACTGGAGTTTTAATTGAGCCTTTCTAATCCTAGACGAACATTATACATACTAGAACAGGGGTCTGTCTATCTATCTATCATCCATTATCTCTGTCTCTATCTCAATCATCCATCATCTGTCTGTCTGTCTATCAGCCATATCTGTCTCTATCAATCATCCATCATCTGTCTATCATCCATTATCTCTGTCTCTATCTCAATCATCCATCATCTCCATCGTCTGTCTATCTGTCTATGTATGTATGTATGTATGTATCTACGTATCTATCTATCTATCTATCTATCTATCTATCTATCTATCTATCTATCTATCTATCTACCCATCTCAATATATTTTGCCTTTTGCAAAATGGCATCCAGTAACTATTTTCCATATGTTCTTCTACCTTTTCTCCAGGATTCCGATTTTGAATGGATTTTGATATAAGTTAATTAAAAAATAATGCAAGCATTTAGCAAAGGTTAAATATAAATAAAAACTAAATACTAATACCAAAGATTGCAGCAACCTGAAAATAGACATATTTATCAGCACCATAGGTCAGAGAGCATAGTGCCAGATGAAGGATTCTGCTTTCCATATTATTTAGCGATAAACCTTTTAGAACAGTTTTGCAAGGTATCCTCTGCCCAACTCTTTCAGTTGGTCTGTAAGTTATAATCAGGTTGGACTGTGGTAGCAAAAATGTCAGGATATTTTAGGATCAGGTCTCTATCATTAGTTATTTATTTAATTATAAATATAAAACTGCTGCAATCTAGGCAACTCTTATATTACGTCAGTTAAAGCATATAAAACGAAGAAACTAAAGTGCTAAAGAATTCAAACAGACAGGCAGGCCACTGCCACATAATGCCTGGACTTAACAACTGTCAAATAAGAAAGACAAAAAAAGTTTGGATAGTGGACATGCAGTACATGGAGTTCACAGAATAAAAGAGAAAGAACTGAATCTCAAAACACAAAATACAAGATCTGCACACAGAAGTAGACTGAGCTTGGTGAAAAAAGGAAAAGTAGTAGCAATAGTGATTAGCCACCTTCAATGCACCATTAACACGGGCAAAATCCCAATCAGTCATCCTGTGATGATACCTTTAACACCGTCAAACAACAACATCTGTCTTAACCCAGGTCCTTGGGAAGGACTCCATAGGTGGATAAAAACACCAAATTCAATCTGAACATCTGGCTATGCGATGAACCACAATCCCATATCAAATTCGTAGGCTGCCTGATTTCCAACAACTCTGGACAGCTCACAACCATTAAAAAACCATAACGGTAGCAACCCAGAGATGTTAAAAGATAAAAAAAAAAAAAATAAGATGCCAAGTGCGATAGAGCAAGGGATTGTCCTAAGTCCCTTTTTCCACTGCCATCATAACTTTGGTCACTAAATGAACTGTTGTAAATCGAGGACAACCTGTATTCGCCACTAAGCTGATCGTAGGTTTGCAGCAGGACTACACTGAAACATCCACAGCCACCCAGAATCCCAATAAGCGGCATTATTTAAAAGTGCACCACCCCTGAGGCATGGAATCAGCGGGGCAGATGCTAGGGGAAGGCAGGTGGTTCCACCTGGGCTGATGCTACCTGGGTGGCGCGACCAGCACCTTAAACGGCACCTGGACGCAAGCCGGCAACCAGCGCAGAGGTGGCACGCAGGCATACGGAAGGCATGCCCCATGTCGCTTGCCTTGCTGCATCATGGACCGGTTGAAGCTTCCGGGTGGTCTTCAAGGGCAGCCCCGGGTAGAGAGCACTGCAGTAGTCAAGCCATGTAAGCAATGGAAGTTGAAGGCCAACTAATGCAGGGAAGCCTCCTCCCTCTCTGGGATGCAACTCTCCCACCCTTCTGGCACCCCTCTGCTACTCCCCATTCCCACCTGTCCCGATTCCACCCCTGACCCCCCTCCAAGGTCATCCCCAGGCCTCCTGACTCCACCCACAGCGCCCTAGCCCCGCCCCTCCCGGCCCCCGCCCACAGACCCCCCCCTTGGCTCTTCCCCCGCCCCCTTCTCTCCCGGCTGCCGCAAGAGTCGCCCCCTGAGCGCCCACGCGGCGGCGCTTCCCGCCCCCGGGCTGCCCCCCCGATCCCGGCAGGCCGCCCCTTGCCCGCCCTTACCTTCCCCCAGCAGGAGGATGCGCACGTCCCGCCTCATCCCCGCGGCTTCGGGGGCGAGAGGAGGGCGGCTGCAGCGACCGCCGCTCGCCCCGCTGCTTCCCACCCTTCTCGGCGCTGCCGCCGCCGCCGTCGGGCTGCCACTTCCGCTTCCGGCTTCCCGCAGGGCGCTGCGTCCTGGCCTGGCGCGCCCTCTACGGCCGGAGGGCCAAACGGCAGCCTTTCTGCTCGGCAAGGCGAGAGGGTCCTTCGCCGGCTGCAAATATCAGTTGCCCCGAAGTTTAGCGGGGAGAATTGCGATGCACTGGGCGAGTGCAGTTAGTCCTCGAGTTACAGCAGTTCAAAGTGATCAGGTCATTGAAAGAAAGGGCTCCGCCTTTACAAACCATTGTAGCAGCCGCCTGGTCATGCCATCAAAATTCGGATGCTTGAGGACTGATTCACGTTTATGACGGTTGTCGTGTCCTGGGATCCCTTTTGGGATCTTCCTTAAGAGCAAAGTCAATGGGGAAGCCAGGTTCGCGTGACAATCGGGTGACCTGCTTAACAACCGCAGCGATTCACTCAGCAGCGGTGGCAAAAAAGGTCGTAAAAATGGCACAAAACTCACATAACAGATGTTTCACTTAGCAACAGAAATGTTGGGCTCAGCTAAGGTCGAGGACCAGCTGTATTTACTGCAGTGTTTCTCAGACTCATGCAGGCTGGGGGATTTTGGGTGTTGAAGCCCACACATCTTTAAAGGTGCTGAGGTTGAAAAACATCGATTTTAAAGAAAATGAACTCGGAGCTTTAGTAGGTTCGTCTGCTTCTGGACTGGCTGCTAGCCCCTGGGAATCTGGCCCAACTACTCATTACTTAGGGTGAGATGGTAGAATTCTGGTCCAGGGGTAAGGGCGATGGGATAATTGATATTTCGGGATGTAATAATAAGTAAAAAAGTAATAATAATAAAGTTGGAAGGGACCTTGGAGGTCATCAAGTCCAATCCCCTGCTCAGGCAGGTAACTCTATACCATTTTGAACAAATGGCTGTCCAGTTTCTTCTTAAAAACTTCCAGTGTTGGAGCATTCACCGCTTCTGGAGGCAGGTTGTTCCACTGGTTAATTGTTCTAACTGTCAGGAAGTTTCTCCTTAGTTCTAGATTGCTTCTCTCCTTGATTAGTTTCCATCCATTGCTTCTTGTCCTGCTTTCAGGCTCTTTGGAAAATAGCTTGATTCCCTCTTCTTTGGGGCAGCCCCTGAGATACTGGAAGGCTGCTATCATGTCCTCCCTTGTCCTTCTCTTCATTAAACTAGACATCCCCAATTCCAGCAACCATTCCTTATATGTTTTAGCCTCCAGTCCCCTGATCCTCTTTGTTGCTCTTCTCTGGACTCTTTCCAGTGCAACTACAGGAGACAAGCTATTCCATTGTTCTGTCAGGAGGTTTCTCCTTAGTTCTAGGTTGCTTCTCTCCTTGATTAGTTTCCATCCATTGCTTCTTGTCCTGCCTTCAGGACATGTGAATTTCATGTGAACTTCCCTTGAATGTATTGAGCCAACCAAGGAAAGGATGAGCCGAGATTCAAGCCAATCTTCTCCAATTCACTCCTGTCTCCAGATGTGTGGTGGGGATGCAGCTGGCTGAATTCCCAGCCATGCTTGAGTATCTCTAAGTGTGGAATGGCATCGTGGCTCTTGATATCACAACACTTGTGCAATGGTGGGACCCAGACCGTGGAATTGTGGCTTTGCAGAGAGGATTGTGTAACCATCCAGGTTGTTGTGCTTTCGTTGTAAGCAGCACCAAAAGCTTGTTGTCTGTCTCCACAACTGCATTTTGACATTTGGCATTCTTTTTTCAATCTACATACCTGTTAGTGACCTTTTCTTTTTCCATCCATCCATCCATCCATCCACAATTGCAGCCTGAGTCTGGATGTTCCTCTGGCAGGAAAGTTACTAAAATTAATGGCTTTTACTCCCAAAGGGTGCCACAGGAGTACATACCCAAAAGACACCATGAATAAACAGATCCAAACTATTTTATTAAATCACCTGCCCCAAATTGCTGTTGTTGAATCCTTGCATATCGTATTTTAGATTCCTCTTTCAAAATTCTGTGCTGCCAAAGCAATTACGGGAAGCAGACAAAAAAACAAACCATCGATAAAATAAAGGCGGGTCCATAATATACAGAGTCATTAGATCAAAAAGGGAATCACTATGTCAAAACTGACTGAGGGAGTCATCGCCAGAGAGCTACCTAGATGGATGAAATAACTGAATCAAAACCTTTGTAAGAACTCACATTCATGGATATAATTTTGGGAACCCCAGATAATAAAATGTGGTATAAAAGACAATCTATTAATTACTCTGCTCCTGCTCTATGTTGTAATATCGACTTGCACTAAAGGAGATCTAGAAGTGCTGAAGGAGGCAAGTCACCAAACCACTTACAATTTTCTCTTCCTATTCTTGTCCAAACATCTCCAATTATGATCTTCTAATGATTATGATGTGTTATAGCACAATGTTTCTCAGGCTTATCAATTTTAAGATGTGTGGACTTCAACTCCCAGAATTCCCCAGCCAGCTATGCTGACTGGAGAATTCTGGGAATTGAAGTCCATGCATCTTAAAAGTTGCCAAGCTTGAGAAACACCATGCTATAGTTATTCTGAGGCTTTCTTTTTCAAGAACCAGAAATGTTTTCTCCAGCATTTTAACCCCTGGGGATAAATCATCCCTTGTGATGCCTTATGACTGACTTTAATTTCATTGTGGGATATTCCACAAAACAAGCGGAATCTTCGCAATGTGTTTCTTCTAAATTCCAGGAGCTCATAAACTGCCGTACAAGAACCCTATAAACTTTTCACTGAAGCTTTGGAAAAAAAAAACCAGTGATGGTTGTTTCAAAACGTGGCCATTCACCTCTGTGCTGATGGTTGGGCACGTCTCTGCCTCCCTGCAGTGTGAAATGGTAGATGTGGTCCCTGTTTAAACGGTAGCCACAGAGGAGATCAGAAGGAGGGGTCACCAAACCCAACTTCTAACTGGACTTGCTTGACCTCCTGCAGAAGCTTGGGATTGTCCAACTCCAGCTGCAACAGAAGGAAAAACGGGTAAGGGTCAACTTAAAAATCTGTCAAATATACTCAAAGAAGGAAAGCAAGGTATCCTACTTCAACCCAAAATAGGACAAATGAAAAATGCCTCCTTTCTGTATATATTCCCTTGGCTCGGCTGACAAAAGAAGGGAGGAGAGCTCGTGGCCTGGAGGTTAATACAACTGCCTAGCATGCAGGCTGCCCAGGTTCGAATCCCATAGAGGGTATGGCTAGCTGATGAGAGCAAAATAAGCTTGGAATAGCTATTCTAGTCTCCCATTTAACTCTTTAACTCTTTGTCAACAAAAAAGAAATTTGGATATAGACATACATACATACATATAGTGTTTTCCAGTGAAACCGGTGTGATAGAACATATTACTATGATTACTTTTGCCTTTCAGCCCCAATCTAGGAGCGTTTTGCAGGCTAAAGTTGCTACTGCGATAAACTCTTTCTGTGTTAAATTTAGATTTTGCTGACAAAATTAAAGGGAGACTAGTATAGCTATTTTGAGCTATTTAGCTCTCATCAGCTAGCCATACCCTTCCGAGATTCGAAGCTGGGCCACTTGCATGTTATATATATATATATAAAATTTATCAACAAGAAATGCAAAACAAAGAAAACAGAAAAACATATATCCAACAATAACAAGGACAACAAAAAAAACTTTGTACAAAAAAGATAAAATGATCAAATAAATAAATAAATAGATGAAACCTATTCACCACTCCGTCTGGTTGCTGGAAAGAAAAAAAAAACCCAATAAATTCTCCTCCTCTACATAACAGTTCTACCAATAATTATAAACTTTCTCCTCCTTACTTAATGAGAATATATAAACAGATATTTCCGATGAGATCTCTATACCATACTGTAATCAAATCGACCCAACACCTTCAGCTAAAACAATCTCTCAGTTTATAACACCAACGGCCACCTGAGTCATAAATGTGCTCTGTAACTCAACTGACTGTTCAATACAGAGGGTGTTACACTTTTCAGCATAGGGACATTTGGAAATGGAGACCTAGTACACAGCTGCCTTTTAAAGAAAAGGCATCTCTATGTGCCAAGCAGCTTTTTTGATATTAGCTTCTAAAAACAGTCAGAGAACAAGATGGAATTTCGACCAGAAGGGACAGGATGACTTCTTCCCTCCATTAAATGATGGCGTAATCCTAAATGTGTCTACATGTGGTCCTTGATGTACGACCACAAGGGAGCCCCAAATTTCTGTTGCTAAGCAAGACAGTTATTAAGTGAGTTTTGCCCCATTTTACAAACTTTCTTGTCACGGTTGAATCACTCCAGATGTTAAGTTAGTAACACAGCTGTTAGGTGAATCAGACTTCCCCCCTGACTTCGTTCGCCAGAAGGCTGTAAAAGAGTATCAGGTGACCCGGGAACACTATAACCATCATAAATGCATGCCAGTTGCTAAGCAACCGGGTTTTGGATCATGTGACCCTGGGGATACTGCAAAGGTCCTAAGGGTGAAAAACAGTCACTTTTTCCAGTGCCTTTGTAACTTCGAACGGTCACTGAATGAACTGTCATAAGTCAAGGACCACCTGTACTGTGAAAGGCCTTGGAGGTTGCACCCTTCCAGAGATCTGATATGCTTGAAGGAGGAAAAAAAAAAAAAAAAGGTTGACCAACCTTGACAGCGTATTTATACGATTGTTCGGCCTCCAGTTGTCTTCCGCCCTAGGGGGAAAAAAACACCAATCTGTATTAAACAGGTTCTGACAAGGCAGGAGAAACCCCGAAAGGCTTAATGGTATTTTAAAGGAAAACAGGGAATGGAGGAATAAAATTCCCCAGAGGAAGATCTCTCGTCAAATTGAGAAGAGGAAGAAAAAGAACGGCAACCCCGAAAATGGAAAGGGTGAGGTGAGGCTCTGAGGTGAAAACGCATTTCCACATTTCTGCCTTGACCCAGAACTTCCTTCAGTCCGTTCGTTTGACTTGTCAGAATTCCCTGGAAAAGGACTTCAAACGGTTCGAAGCCATTTTCACTCAAAGGAGCCTTGAAGTCATCCCTACGCTGACCCCCGAGGATTGCAGAGAAGAGGAAATTCGTAGCGACTGGACAAAAGGTGAGCCCTGGAGACTCACCTTCATGCAGACCAAGGCCAGGTAGGCCCACACTTCGGCATTGCTGTTGTTGAGGGCGTTGGCTTCGGAAAGAGCATCCTCGGCCTCGACCATTTCTTTGAGCTGCCGGAAAGAGAGTTACTCATGAAAAGCCAATGTCGAAAAAGATTAAATCGTGGCAACTGGAATTGGAGAGGTTTCGTTACTCATTCAAGTAACTTCATCAGTCAAAAAAAAAAAAAAAGGCTGAATCAGAGAGTCTTCATTTACATATTGCAACACATTTTGGGGAGAACAACTTGCCTCTGGAAATTGTATAGAGTTTCCTGCCTGAGGAGGGGGTTGGATTAGAAGACCTCCAAGGTCCCTTCCATTCTATTCTATTCTGTTCTGTTCTGTTCCGTCCCATTCCATATAAAGATTCTATTCTATTCTATTCTATTCTATTCTATTCTATTCTATTCTATTCTATTCTATTCTATTCTATTCTATTCCATTCCATTCCATATAAAGATTCTATTCTATTCTATTCTGTTCTGTTCCGTCCCATTCCATATAAAGATTCTATTCTATTCTATTCTATTCTATTCTATTCTATTCTGTTCTGTTCTGTTCCGCTCTATTCTGTTCCGTCCCATTCCATATAAAGATTCTATTCTATTCTCTTCTGTTCTGTTCCGTCCCATTCCATATAAAGATTCTATTCTATTCTATTCTATTCTATTCTATTCTATTCTATTCTATTCTATTCTATTCTATTCTACTCTACTCCATTCCATTCCATATAAAGATTCTATTCTATTCTATTCTATTCTATTCTATTCTATTCTATTCTATTCTATTCTATTCTATTCTATTCTATTCTATTCTATTCTATTCCATTCCATTCCATTCTATTCTATTCTTCCAACCTAGTATTTTATATTCTACAAACCTGAAGGCCAAACTCTGTCTCTTACCCTGTAGCAAGCGATTCCTACTCCCAGCCACGTGAGACACGAAGGTGATTTCTTACTGGCCAGAAGGTAAATGTGCTTGGCTTTGTCATACTGCCAAAAGAAACGAGAGAGAATTACTCTCCAGGCCGTGGCAATTTAGGACAGTTTCTCCTTGCTTGTTGACAAAAGCGACCTGCAGTCCTGCAAATGGGGAGAGGTTATTAGCAGCTGTTTGAACATGGCTTGCTCCGGCAGGCAGCTAGAGAAGGCTCATAAAACTTCAGAAACCATCACATAAAACAGGAGAGTGTGATAGTGTGGTAGAACCCATCTTGGCTGTCAGAGGCGAATAGAAACATTATGGAAGGATCAAGTATGAAATTAGCTTTGACCAATGGCTGGAATGTATATATTTTCTCCCAAATGGAAAAAATATATAAATGTTTCTTTCTTTCTTCTGCCTAACTAATTTTGGGGAAGGGAAGAAACCGGTTTAAGTAAACTGTTATTATTATTAAAAATAACCCTTTCATAGGAAATAATTGCTTCTTAATCCACTATCCTGAGTGCACCAAGCAGCGAGATCTGAACACTAGCGAGCCTCATCGCAAACCCCCAAACTCAACAAATCAACTCCAACTTCTCAACATAGTATAATAGTGGTCATTATCTTTACAGTGTACATGGGCACTAACCGCACTAGCAATTAGTTAGCTAATTGGTTGCAACAATCCTCTTCCCTCTAGCAACAGTGTAGTGTCCACAATAGCTAGCCAGCGCTGAATCAGCTGCTATTTTGGCCCACTACACAACCATCACATTCCTCTATCTATCAGGCCTAAACCAACAGCAGCCTGGACAGGAACATTTACTCCCTCCTGTTGCGCAGGCTAGACTGGACATTTTAAAAGAAAGCAGTTACTGAACTACAACTCACCAGGCACAAATCCAGTCACAGAACCTGGAACTGCTCAGATGGCCTGAAGTGAAAACAAAACTCTCCAAAGAGACGTGTTGCGTTCTAAATCTGAAAAGCGTTCAAAAGGTTCATCCTTTGAGGGCAGAAAGCTTTGCACAACTAAGCTGTCCCCTTGAAGTATCTGAAGTCCTGAAGAGTTTCACTGCACACAATGTACAACACAGGCTCCCTTTCAAATTTCCCAGTCTGTTTCGTTGCTCTGAGAAGCCTCCAAAGATAGGTCTGCTACCACAGCCTTCCTCTGGTTGTTTTTTCATTCATTCATTCATTCATTCACTTACTTACTTAACTCTCCACAAATCTGGATGCTCACAACGATCAAATGAAGACAATCAAACCAATGAAACATAAAAGGGAAAAATATAAGGGTGATGAAGAGGGGAGGTCTCTCCTGGGTGAAGAAGGACCAAGGAATTACCTGCTCAGTAAATAAAAGCCTAATCAAACAACCACCAAGAATACTCCAGCCAAAACTGACAGGGAAAGCCACTAATATATAAACAGAGAGAAAATCTCACTCCTTCTAGAACTGATGATGTTCCCTAGTTGGGTAATGAAATGTCTGCAAGAAAACAACCAAGCTCAGAGAGCACCAAGGACCCCACAATTCTCCCCTCCTCCCCTCCCTTCTAGCACTGATGATATTACCTAGTTTGGTAATGAAATGTCTGCAAGAAACCAACCAAGCTCAGAGAGCACTAAGGACCCCACAGTCGTCGTCCTCCTCCTCCTCCTCCTCCTCCTCCTCCTTCTCTTTCCCCTCCTCCCCTTCCTCTCCTTCTGCTCCCCCTCCTCCTCTCTACAAACCCCACTCCCTTCTAGCACTGATGATGTTACCTAGTTGGGTAATGAAATGTCTTCAAGAAAACAGTCAAGCTCAGAGAGCACCAAGGACTCCATAGTTCAGCCCAAGGTACAAATAATCTCTTGTTCTGGCATCTACATATAAACAGAGAGCAAATCCCTCTCCCTTCTAGCACTGACAATGTTCCTTAGTTGGGTAATGAAATGTCCGCTAGAAAACAAGTTCCAAGGACCAAGGACCCTACAGCTCAACCCTGAGCTACGAATGTTCTCTTCTGTTGGAACCAGGTCTTAACGGCTCTTCTTCTCAATAACACCAGAATGGGGGTCATTTGGATCTTGGGGGTCAAACTGAGACCACCTTCCTGCCCATCGAAGTTCCATGGGGCAATCATCTCAAGACAATGAATCCACCAGGATCTTGTTGGTCCCATTTCTACCTTCTCACCTCCTTGCCTTCCAGATAGATGGATCCCAATCGCAGATACACCGTATGCATATCCTTCGCGTCCGTCACAAAGCTGATTGTGCGTTCGTAGCAAGACTTTGCTTCGCTGAAATTCCCGGTCAAGTAGCAGAGATGGCCTTTTTGAGCCCAAACCTCTGGATTCTAGAGAGGGAGCAGAGAAATGGAGGGGCTGAGCATGACCTGTGGAGGCTGGCGATGAATCATAGAATCATAGGGCTGGAAGGGACCTTGGAGATCATATAGTCCAGCGGTTCTCAACCTGTGGGTCGGGACCCCATTTGGGGTCGGCCATTTCACGGGGGTCGCCAAACAACGCAGTCCGCCATTTTTCCCCCCCTTTTCCTTAGCTGTGCTACTCCCTTTTATTCTATTGGCTTTTGAAAGCCAATAGAATAGACTCTCTTGAATAGAGTCTAATTCTATTGGCTTTCAAAAGCCAATAGGAATTGTCCAGGCTGTCTTCTGCCCTGCTGAGTCCACCAAAAGTCTTTCTGCTACGCTTCGGCTGGCGCAGGGGGCGGCACCACGCATGTGCGGCGCTCCCGGGCAGAGAAAGTCCTCGACCTACGACCGGTTGGGTAGTCCTCGACTTACGACCGATTGGGTAGTCCTCGACTTACGATCGGTTGGGGGGGTCGCGGCATTAGAAAGGTTGAGAACCACTGTTCTAGTCCAACTGTCTGGTCAAGGCAGGAGACCTTATATCACCCTGGTCAAATCAATACTCCCCCCCCCCCTAAAACCTAAGTAGGTAATGGAGCTGGTGAGTAGGAAATTCTGAAATTATTAAGATGTTTACAAAGGAGTGTTCTACCCAAGAGACAGGAATAATTATTGCATTTTAGCCCATTTTAGAAGGGAAGATGATCTAGAATAAAGCTGGTTAATCTGCCATTGGGAGTTGGAACGTTTCCTTGAAGACCTTTCACTTCTCATCCAAGAAGCTTCTTCTTCTTTGGAAAAAGCAACTTTGGGACAACCGTGACCTGGGTGAGAATCTCCATAGATATCTAGGGAGACTAACATGAGTAGTGACTTCAAGCTGGGGTGGGGAAGCCTAAACTGCTTGGTTTCACAGCAATTCTTCTCAGGAGGGCTACAACGATGTCAGCAGAACCAGCTATCTCTAGGGCAGTGTTTCTCAAGCTTGCCAACTTGAAGATGCGTGGACAACTTCCAGAATTGCTGGCCTGGCTGGGGAATTCTGGGAATTGAAGTCCACTTATCTTAAAGTTGACAATCTTGAGGAACACAGCTCTAGCGAGTTTCTGGCAGGCAACCTCCCAATCGTTTCCCTCACAACTTTGCTCAAAATTGGGGGGGGGGGTTAAGCAGAAGTTCCTAGTAGTTCTGCAGATGGCTGTTTTTGCCACTGGGGCAAATATCATACCAGAGTGGGTGGGTGATGCCAGCATATGTTCAAATAAATGCAAATAAATACACCTTGGATGGAGAGTAGGAAAAAAAAATTGCAAACGGAAGAGTTTGCAAATGAAATTGCAAACAAAAGGAAAGAATAAAAGATATGGCATCCTTGAGCTGACGTGTTCTGTTTGGTAGATGGGTGGCATACAAATCTAATCAATCTATCAATCCGTCTTGGCTAACTGGAGAGCCCCCAAAGTGCTAAGGAGAGGTACGCACCAGGTAATCAATCTGCATAGCCATTTCCAAACTCTCTTCTGACTGATCATATTCTTTCTTGAGCATGTAGGTCTGGGCCAGCACCAAGTAATATTCACAGCTGGGGCCTCCTTGTGGAGAGATCAGTTCATGTGCCAAGGCCCTGTGAACAAACTGGAAGGAGACAGTCAAACCTTGGTTGCATCTAGTACAGCATAGGGGGTACCTTGCTCAATAGCAGTAACTGTGAGAGGGACTTCGGAGTCCTAGTGGACAATCATTTAAATATGAGCCAGCCGTGTGCTGCAGCTGCCAAAAAAGCCAACACAGTGCTAGGCTGCATTAACAGAGGGATAGAATCAAGATCACGTGAAGTATTAATACCATTCTACAATGCCTTGGTAAGGCCACACTTGGAATACTGCATCCAGTTTTGGTCACAATGTAAAAAAGATGTTGAGACTCTAGAAAGAATGCAGAGAAGAGCAACAAAGATGATTAGGGGACTGGAGGCTAAAGCATATAAGGAACGGTTGCTGGAATTGGGTATGTCTAGTTTAACGAAGAGAAGGACGAGTGGGGACAGGATAGCAGTCTTCCAGTATCTCAGGGGCTGCCCCAAAGAAGAGGGAGTCAAGCTATTCTCCAAAGCACCTGAAGGCAGGACAAGAAGCAACAGATGGAAACTAATCAAGAAGAGAAGCAACCTGGAACTAAGGATAAACTTCCTGACAGTGAGAACAATTAACCAGTGGAACAACCTGCCTCCAGAAGTGGTGAATGCTCCAACTCTGGAAGTTTTTAAGAAGAGACTGGACAGCCATTTGTCCGAAATGGTGTAGGGTTTCCTGCCTAAGCAGGGAGTTGGACTAGATGACCTCCAAGGTCCCTTCCAACTTTATCACCATTATTACTATTATCTTTGATGCGGGACCATTGTAATCCCAGACTGTCCCACCTTGCTACTCCTAGCCTTCTTGTACCTATTCCTGGGAGTCTCTTTAGGGCTTCCTCTTGCCCTATTGATGGAATATTTTCAGTCACTGGGTTTTTTTTTTTTGATTAAAGTTTCTAGTTGTTTGAACTAAAAAAAAGCGAGTTCTCCATCACAAATGCAGAATCTGATAAGAGCTTGCCTGTTAAAGGCAAGGACTGGGCAAAGATTTGAAACTTGAGTAACTTGCAAACTTATTATGCCTCACTATCATGTAAAAAAAAGCAAGGACTGGGCAAAGATTTGAACTACTTTGCAAACTTATTATGCCTCGTTATAAGGTAAAAAACCATACCTACTGAATGGAAGGGTGAGCATTAACAAGAGCGCGGCAGGAACGTTAGGGGATGCTATGAAATGTTACGCGGTACATATAAAGCTACTGAACACGCACGGTTTATCCCAGATGACTCAACTGATGCTAACAATGAACACATGCCAAAACCAATATGCTTTGAACTGTATATAAAGTGATTCCCCTACCTTTCTAAGGGCGCCCCTTCACCTTTTATCCATGGAGGGCCTCTCCTGACTTATGCACAAATAAAGAGATATTAATCTATCTTTCCAGCTCGGATTCTATTTGGGCAAGCCACATCAAGCTAAGGTATCTTGCTGATGTTTGTGGCGAACACGGTCTTTGTGGCTAACACTTTCCAGAGCTGAGTTCTGCATTTCAACTCTGAACCTGCTTCCAAAATGCAGTGCCTAGGAATGGGCGCATTCTGCCAACTTTGGAGGCGTCTGCTAAGCTTTGCCCAAGACTGACCTTGTCACTGTTTAGCATAGCCTGAAATAAAGAAGGTCATCCTAGTTCTTAACTCAGTAAGCCTTTTGTTTTTCCAGAAAAAAGGGCAAGGATGAGCTTAAGGGAGAAGGGACTGGTCAGCTCTGGTTTAACGTGGTACAGTTCAGGTTAGCTAATTTTTTCTCCTTCACAAATTTGTTAATATACCTCTAACACAAGGGTCTCCAACCCTCCGGGCTGCGGCCCATTTGGAACCGGGTCGTGAGAGTGGTAGGTGAATGCACGCATGCAAAACTGCATTTGTGAAAGCGGTACATGTGCATGCATGAAACCATCCCCTCTGCACTTTTTCCAAGGTCTCAACATCTTTTTTTGTGTCGTGGTGAGCAAAGCTGGATGCACTATTCATTTTTCATTAGAGTCATAAAACAGCTTGAGGAATCCGCTGCCTGTCCCCATGATGCCTTCGCTCTATTTTAACTCCAGCTGGTGATTTGCTGGGCCCAGCTATGAAGCAGCCGGAGAGACTCAGCACAATTTATCAGCGCGGTGGCAGCTTTTTCTGGCTGCACAGCAAGTGCTCAGTCCTACCCCGTTTCATTGCGACAGAGAGGCTTTTAGAGATAAAAGGGAAATAACTATGATTAGGTTGAAAGAGAAAGGGCGAATATTCGAGAAGTAATAATAATAATATTAATAATAAAGTTGGAAGGGACCTTGGAGGTCTTCTAGTCCAACCTCCTGCTCAGGCAGGAAACTCTATACCATTTTGGACAAATGGCTGTCCAGTTTCTTCTTAAAAACTGCCAGTGTTGGAGCATTCACCACTTCTGGAGGCAGGTTGTTTCACTGGTTAATTCTTCTAACTGTCAGGAAATTTCTCCTTAGTTCTAAGTTGCTTCTCTCCTTGGTGAGTTTCCATCTGTTGCTTCTTGTCCTGCCTTCAGGCGCTTTGGAGAATAGCTTGACTCCCTCTTCTTTGGGGCAGCCCCTGAGATACTGGAAGGCTGCTATCATGTCCCCCCTCGCCCTTCTCTTCATTAAACTAGACATTCCCAATTCCAGCAACTGTTCCTTATATGTTTTAGCCTCCAGTCCCCTAATCATCTTTGTTGCTCTTCTCTGCACTCTTTCTAGAGTCTCAGCATCTTCTTTACATCGTGGTGACCAAAACTGGACGCAGGATTCCAAGTGTGGCCTTACCAAGGCATTGTAAGTAATGACAATCAGTGATGTCATTTGGAAAGATCACCACAGTCCTTGACTTACAACAGTTCATTTAGTGAATGAAGTTATAATGGCACGGGAAAAAGTAACTTATGACTATTTTTCACGTTTACAACCACTGCAGCAGCCTCCTGGTCATGTGATCAAAATTCAGATGCTTGGCAGCTGCCTCATATTTATGACGGTTGCAGTGCCCCGAGGTCATGCGATTCTCCCTTTTGTGACCTTCCGACAAGCAAAGTCAATAGGGAAGCCAAGATTCACTTAACAACCGTATTACTAATTTAGCAGCTGCAGTGATTCACTTAACGACTGTGGCAAGAAAGGTCATAGAATGGGGCAAAACTCACTTAACAAATGTTTCCCTCAGCAACAGAAATTTTGGGCTCAGTTGTGGTCGTTAAGTCCAGGGCTACCCTGAATAATAAGTCTGAATAATAAAATAATCAATGATTTAATAATGAGTAAATAAAATGAAATAAAATAAAATAATAAAAACATTCCTGCTCACTACATCAGCCTCTCTTAATCACACAAACTTGTGCAACCTTAGCCTTGCCCTTTCTGCTTCCATGGCTGGAGCAGAAAGAGGGGTGGTTAGCTGTGACACCAATGGCTGGAGGCGCTCTTGGTAACTGCCGAACTCAATGTGCCTAAACATTTTCACGGCCTCCTCTAGCTTCGGTTGACCCCGCACTCACCTGAAGAGCACTGACTTCCAAGAGGAATTTTATTGTTTCCATGAAAATAGAGGTGGTTTGCTGGGGGACCATAGCTGATTCATATGAAAATGCGGCAGGCTTGGGCATTTCTGAAATGAAACAGAGAGCCAGAAATTTGAGGGAAACATCTAAATAGCAGATTAGTTTAGTCAGGCTAGCGAGACACTGGGGAAGCGGGCACATCAGCGCCTGCATTTTCTGCATCGTACGAGAAGAGCACATCTTCCTATCACTGTCCTTACCACTTTCTCTAGAGGGATGAGTGAAAGCATCTACCGTGTGGTTTGGAGCCATTACTGTTTTGGAGAGTGGTGAGGACAGCAGAAAAGATTATTGGATGATCACCTCCTTTTATCCAGGACATGGCATATAAGCGATGCTTGAGCAGGGTCTGCGGTATTGTCTGGGACGCTACATATCCTCTCCATGACCGGTTTTCTTTGTTACCTTCTGGGAGGAGGCTTTGTGGTATCCAAAGAAGAAGAACGAGATTCTGTAATGGCTTTATACCATACAGTATTAACCATGTGAACTCTCAAGACTATTTTTTTGTATTCTAAATGGTGGTCAACAGAGCTGCCAAACGTGCAAGCAGCCCAGGGTACGACTGGCTGATGAGAGCTAACTAGCTTGAAATAGCTATCCCAGTCCCCCTTTAACTCTGTTAGCAATCCCAAAAAAATTAGCGCATATATATATATATATATATATGTATGTATGTATGTATGTATGTATGTATGTATGTGTGTGTGTGTGTAGCATATGCATATGTATGTACATGTATGTGTGTGTATATATCTCTCATCTCTCTTGTCCCATATATCTTATCTTATCTCATCTCATCTTATTTTGAAGCAGAGAATCAGCCATTTTTCTTTGTTTCCCAGTGTTTGGTTAATAGAATTTCAGTTCTGCAACCTTGTTTTGCAGCCTTGTAGCGAGTTTCCAGCTGGACCTCAAGTTGCGCAGCAGCAAACTCGACCCACTTTCATCAGAATGACAAACACAGTTTGCAGCACTGTATTGGAAGATCTGGGCCTTGTGTGTGTGTGTGTGTGTGTGTGTGTGTGTGTGAGGGTATGTGTGTATGTGATATGGCAATGGAAGACCCAAAGGAGTAGGAGTTGCAGCCCAACAACACAAGGCTGATATTGCTAACCTGTGCCGACCCAACTGCAGCTAATGCTTTGAGAATGATTTAGCGATATGTTCCCACCTTGAATTTCAACATGCAACACAACTCCTTGCATGGCTGGATGCTACTGAGTTGAGAGGGAGGGACAGCGGTGGAACCCGAATGAAAGATGAAAGGACAGGTGTCTGTGGAGATTCTCGATCATCCAGGTCATGGTTGTCCCAAAGATGTTTTTCCAAAAGCAACAGGACTTTCTTGGGTGTTTTTTCCTTGAAAATGTTTCGCTTCTCATCCAAGAAGCTGAAAAAGTCCAAGAAAATCCAGTTGCCTTCTGGAAAAGCACCTTTGGTGAGAGGCCCTCACAAAGATAAGGAGCTCTCTGTAGCTAGCACGAGCTGTGGTGGCGCAGCAGTTAGAATACAGTATTGCAGGCTAGTTCACTGCTCACTGACAGGAGTTCGATCCTGACTGGCTCAAGGTTGACTCAGCCTTTCATCCTTCCAGTAAAATGAGGAGCCAGATTGTTGGGGACCATAGGCTGACCCTGTAAACCACTTAGAGAGGGCTGTAAAGCACTATGAAGCAGTATATAAATACAAGTGCTTTTGCTATCCCCTAAGGCTGCCTACCTCTCTGAGTGCTCAGCCTATATTTGCTGGGTGTAACGGACAATCTCTTGAACGGTTTATGTACGGTATCTTCTTCTGTTGCACGAAGCGAGCTGGCTGGCTCCGAAGACTCTGCTTGGATTTTCGCTGCGGATTCTGGAGATTCTTCTGGAGATAAAAAGGAAGCCAACCCGTATGAGAACACAAAAGCCAGCCTAATTTGACTAGCAACTGGATAGCAGAACTATGTTCTGCGGAAAGTCTCCATTTAATTAAAATCTAAAACTAAGGTTTCCTCTAAAACTAAGGTTTCCTCTTTCCAGTCATGTCCACCTTGGCTCTTTTATGACTCGTGGACTTCAACTCCCAGAATCCCTGAGCCAGCCTGGCTCAGCTTGGAAACCTCTCCCTTTCCCCTCAGCATGGCTGGCTCAGGAATTCTGGGAGTTGAAGTCCACGAGTCATAAAAGAGCCAAGGTTGCCTACCCCTGCTCTAGGGGATGGTGTCCATCTCTGTTTCCTAGCTGGGGGAGCCACTGTTGCCCGAAGACATTTCTGTGGTCATGCGGCTGGTGTGGCTGTATGCCAGGCGCACGGAATGTTGTTACTTTCCCACCAAAGTGGTACCTATTTATCTACTTGCACTTGCATGCTTTCGAACTGCTAGGCGGGCAGGAGATGAGGTAAGGAACGGGAGCTCAAGCCGTTGTGCATCGCTCAGGTCTCAAATGGCCAACCTTCCGGTTGACAAGCCTATACCTTGTCTAGCACTGGTCAGGAGCTTAATTAACTTCCTGAGTTAATTTAGGGGCTGCGCAGCCCGTTGGCCAGGGGATCCATGGGAACAATGTCAGCTTTCTGGTAGGACCCTCTTCGCTGACTCTCATCATCAGCCAATTCCTAAGGAGAAATTTCTTTGATAGTGAGAAATTAATCAATGGAACAGTTTGCCTCCTGGAATTGTGGGTGCTTCATCGCTGGAGGTTTTCAAACATAGACTGGACAACCATTTGTCTGGGATGGTTTAATGTCTTCTGCCTTGGGCATGGGGTGAGGGTCCCTTCCAGCCCTATAATTCTATAATCCTCTTCGTTTTTCCAGATTGCTTTTTCCTGGGCTCAGGGTAATGGGTCTGAGATGCTCTGGGAGCACAGTGGTTAGAGTGCAGTACTGCAGGCTAACTCTGCCCACACTCTGGAGTTTGATCCTGATGGAGCTCAAGGGGGACTCAGACTTGCCTCCTTCCAAGGAAGACCCAGATTGCTGGAGGGCAATATGCGGACATTGTAAAACCACTTAGAGAGGGTTGTAAAGTATTACGGAGCAGTTTGTAAGCCTACCGTAATTGCTATCGCTATTGTCAGGGAGGCTAACACAGAGGCTAATTTCAAAACTGTGTCTCCCGGTTCCGTCACCTTACACCGTAAATGTCAAATTTAAGCTGGATTTAAGGCACCGCAGTTCTCAATGCAGAGAAGTTGCCATGGAAACAATGGAATGGCTGCAGCAGTCAAAATTGCCAGGATAAAGGTGAAAAGGATGGCATCTGGCTACACTGGCAGGTATAACTGAATTCCTCTGATGCTGTGACCAGAAATTTGCAGCCCAGCAAGAACTGAAACATTTACAAAAGGCCTGGGTATATTTTGGTCCCACCTCAAAAAAAAAAAAAAAAATCTCACTCATTTTACAAATCTGCTATCAGGCTGCGCAAAAGACTTTGAATCTCAGCTGCTGCCCTAATCTGAAGGTCGGGGTTTGACGCAAAAGTGCCCCAACTTGAATGTGGAAACAGCTCTTTGGCTCTCAAGATCAAAATAGAAAGATAGCCTTTTGCCTTCAGAACCAACATTCTGCACTCGATGTAGGAAGTCCTCCAGTGGAAATGGTTCAAACACAAAACGTTTCATATCTAAAAATAATAAACATTACAGCACATTCAGCTAACAATGGAAATGGTGGAGTGGAACATGAGGGACAGGCCAAAAAAAAAAAAAGAAGATTAACTTTACCTGGGTTTTCCCTTGTACACCTAACTTCACAATGGAGGTCCACCAAGACCAGGGGTCTCCAACCTTGGCAACTTTACGACGTGTGGACTTTAACCCTCAGAATTTGGCACGGCTGGCTGAGGAATTCTGGGAACTGACGTCCACACGTTGTAAAGACCTCTGACCCAGAAAACATTGGAAGAAGCATCTCAAAATAGGCTCTCCTGCAAACCTCTTGGCCAACGATCCTTCTTCCTGTAACGCCTTCCCTGACCTTGAAGAACAGGGTAGATTTTGTTGCCCTGATGGGCATCATCAACTTACCAGACTCCTCTGGGCCAACCAGTGACTGCCTCTGTGAGGTCATGTACAACATTCTTTTCTTTCCTACTTCTTCTGTGCTCGGAGGACTTGGTTTCTCTTTGGGCAGACGGGCCTTCTGGAGCTTGGTAGCTTCACGGAAGGCCATCTCGACCCGAATGTAGTTTTCCTGCATATCATAGAAGAGTCCTAAAGGAAAGGTAGGGAAAGAAAAAAAAAAAGATTTCCCTCAGGAAATAATTACTGTGTTGTTGAAGGCGGCATAGAAGCACCAGAGTTATCAGGTTCCAGTCGGAATTCTTTGACTGCTGGGGTCTGTTGCGTGCCTTCCCTCCCTGGACTAGTGGGATGAGCTGAGGCGAGGGGGCAAAGTCGGTTCCGTACGTAGCCTGGCTCTACAGGACTACTTAGAGCAGTGGTTCTCAACCTGTGGGTCGGGACCCCATTTGGGGTCGAACGACCATTTCACGGGGGTCGCCAAACAACGCAGTCCGCCATTTTTTTTCTCCTTTTCCTTAGCTGTGCTCCTCTCTTTTATTCTATTGGCTTTTGAAAGCCAATAGAATAGACTCTCTTGAATAGAGTCTAATTCTATTGGCTTTCAAAAGCCAATAGGAATTGTCCAGGCTGTCTCTGCCCTGCTGAGCTCGCCAAAAGTCCCATTCTGCAAACGGTGCTGCACCAGTTGAGTAGTCCTTGACTTATGACCGGTTGAGTAGCCCTCGACTTACAACCGGTTGGGGGGGCGCAGCATTAAAAAGGTTGAGAACCACTGACTTAGAGACTATGCAGAAAGCTGTGCCCAGCAGTGATGGTGTCAACACTCTGGCAATCAGCATTTCCAAATCTTCCACGTGAAATTAGCCAGATTCATACCTAACATGGTCCAGGCCACGACACTGCTTGGCTCCACACAGGTGGCATCCTCAAAAAAGACTTCAGCCTCCTCATAATTCTGCAGCATCACAGCCATGATCCCACACAACAGGACACTGGACAGACAGCAAACAACAAATCTAAGGAGAAACCCCTTGTAAGAACAATCCTCTACCTCAGAGCCTGGGTTGGTTCCTATCACAGTAGATTGTTTAGCCCCTTTATTCAGAAAGAATATCCAATCTGTTCAAAAATCAGCCCTCATTCTATTTCATTATTTATATGTACTGGGGAATGAGCCTCACTTATGTCAGAGATATACTTAAGAAGACAAGACAATCTGTGACCCATCGTGTCATTGTTTCAGAGCTACTTCATTACCAGATTCCTTTAAAAAAAGATGTCAGGGTTTTTAATGTACTGCCTTCACTGGAAAAGTTCTTAAAAATTTAGAGAGACATTCCTCTGAATATCTGCCTTGAAAATAGCCCGTTTTGATCTGTGCCGCACAGTCAAACATGAGGAATTGACCATGGGAAACCTTTTATACATTTTTGTAATGTCATAAAGTGCTTTATAATGTTTCTGTTGTCAAATGTTTTATACCAGCTGTCAAATTTTAAAGTCCGCGGGAATCACGATTCCTGGATTTTAGATGCGTTCTATAAATTAGCCTATTTGAACTACGTTGGTTGAAAATGTTTTGCCCTATGACGTACCATTTCATTCCATTAAAGGTTACCGACACATGAATTTTGGTAATATGCAGAGGTAGATAAGAAGGGTCCTGCTAGATTCAAATCTTCTGGTTAAATACACCTGAAATACCTTCTAGATGTATGAGATAATGGGATCTGTACAGGTAGATCTCGAGTTACAATGGTTCATTTAGTGATCGCACAAAGTTACAATGGAACTAAAAAAGTGACTTATGGCCATTTTTCACACTTACGACTGTTGCAACATCCCCGTGGTCACGTGATTAAAATTCAGATGCTCGACAACTGACTCATAGTTATGACGGTTACAGTGTCTGAGGGACACGTGATCCCCTTTTGTGACTTTCTGACAAGCCAAATCAGTGGGGAAGGCAGAGTCACTTAACAACCACGTTACTAACTGAACGACTACCAGGGAGGTCGTAAAATGGGGGCAAAATTCACCTGTCTCACTTAGCAACTCCTAACACATCTGGAGGGTGTAAGTTGAAAAGGGTGCCCAACACATGTGCAGTAATATACATCATAGCACCTGCTGAAGTGTACACATGTACACTGCATTACATGTGTAGGACATACATACATATCCTGCATAAAATTTAGGTATCTTTTTGTAGAGATAGGGGCCAGGTAGAGATCGTGAGCAGCAAACTGCCCCTCCAAAGCCTGCGTGCCTCTTCTCTCTACATTATCTCATCCCTTCACATCACCATGGCAATGTGGGAAAATACCCCAGGCTGGTACAATGACCTCACCTGTTACAGGATGTTACAGCCAACTGCTCCCTATTTTGGGCCTCTGGCTTTCTATCCTTAAGGATTGGTAAGGAGTTTAACCAATTAAATGCTATTGCTACGCTATTGCCATGTTAAACTTTTGCTGCTTGGAAAACTGTATAAAAAGAATAAATGCTGCGAAGGCGGTCAGCCATATTTGCACCCTGCAATGACTGAGCACTGATTACTACACTTTTCCCCCTGCATGTTAGTGTGAGCTCTGCTGCTAACATAGTTAATGTCTGACCACAGTTCCAGACTGAGTGGTACCTGGGCAGGTGATTGGCATCCAAGCCGACAGCCTCACGGAAGCATTCCTGAGCCTTGAGGTTGTCTTCAGTCAGTAGGCAGAAAGCTCCATAATCCAACCAGCTCTGGCTATCTTGGGGGTTTCGAGCCAGCCTCTGGGGACAGAAGGACCCTCACGTAAATTAGCATTCTGTTTCAAAGCTTCGAATGGAAAGCTCTGAAGGTCAAAACCAGGATGTCAACTTCCTGATACAATGAAAGGTTGATCTTGGCTCGATGTTATTTGAGCCTTCATGTCTCTCTCGTACAGTTTTCTTCCAGGAATTCTTGAATAAGAGTCTACCAAGACTGAGGGTGTTCAACTTTAAGATATGTAGACATCAACTCCCAGAATTCCCTGGCCAGCCTTCCACTGAAAGAGAAGCGACTACAGCAGGGGTAGGCAACCTTGGCTCTTTGATGACTTGTGGACTTCAACTCCCAGAATTCCCGAACCAGCATGGCTCAGCTTGGAAACCTCTCAATTTCTCCTCAGCATGGCTGGCTCAGGAATTCTGGGAGTTGAAGTCCACGAGTCACAAAAGAGCCCAGGTTGCCTACCCTTGGGCTAGTATTTTTAATGCCAAGAATATTTCATTTTAAATACGTTTTAAAAATTGATTTGTCCTTTAAAAATGATTAGAAGGCTGAAGACTGAACCATATGAAGAATGGTTGCAAGATACGGGTTTGGCTAGTAGAGAAAAGAAGGACTAGGGGGGACATCATAGCAGTGTTCCAGTATTTGAGGAGCTGCCACAAAGAGGAGGGGTCAGCTTATTTTCCAAAGCACCAGAAGGCAAAACAAGAAACAATGGATGGAAGCTAATCAAGGAGAGAAGCAACCGGGAATTAAAGAGAAACTTCCTAACAGTGAGGACAGTTAACCAGTGGAATGGCTTCCAAGCTGAGCCAGCCAGCATGGCTCAGCTTGGAAACCTCTCTTTCCTCTCAGCACGGCTGGCTCAGGAATTCTGGGAGTTGTAGTCCACGAGATATAAAAGAGCTAAGGTTGCCTACCGCTGGACTACAGCATCTAAATGCTTCTAATTCTTAGAAAATGGGAAGCTCTTTTGAGGGATCCTTGATGCTCTGTGAGCGTGGAGGTTTTCTTGCAGATGTTTCATTACCCAGTGCTAGTACTGGTGATGTTACCTAGTGTAGGTCATGAAACATCTGCAAGAAAACCACCAAGCTCAGAGAGGAATAATAACTTCACAGTCGTTCTTTCTTCTCTTCCTCCTCCTCCTACTCTCCACCAACCCTTCTAGCACTGATGGTGTTACCTAGGGTGGGTCATGGAACGTCTGCAAGAAAACCACCAAGCTCAGAGAGGAATAATAACTTCACAGTCGTTCTTTCTTCTCTTCCTCCTCCTCCTCCTCCTCTCCACCAACCCTTCTAGCACTGATGGTGTTACCTAAGGTGGGTCATGGAACGTCTGCAAGAAAACCACCAAGCTCAGGAACAATAATGACTTCACAGTCATTCTTTCTTCTCTTCCTCCTTCTCCTCTCCACCAACCCCTCTCCCTTCTAGCACTGATGGTGTTACCTAGGGTGGGTCATGGAACATCTGCAAGAAAACCACCAAGCTCCCAGAGCATCAAAGATCCCCTCATTTCAACCCTGATTTAGATATATTCTTCTTTATCGGGAAAACGCGTTGTTTTCCACAGTTGTTCCCTTACCTCCTGATAGTAAGTTGATGCCAAACCGTAGTCACCGTTGACCTGGGCCTCTCGCGCAAAGAGCTGGAGCTGCTCCAAGGTGGTATATACGGGAGGAGGAGGACTTGGCGTCTGCAGGGACAGTACCTGGTCAGTGCAGGGAAATAATGAACACGTCATCCAGGCTGGTTCAGTTAAAGGAGGCTGGTTCAGCATTTGGCAATATGGATTCAAATATTGCAAGGCAATCAAACCGGTCAGTCCTAGAGGAGATCAACCCCGACTGCTCCTTAGAAGGCCAGATCCTGAAGTTGAAACTCAAGTATTTTGGCCACCTAAGGAGAAGGAAGGACTCCCTGGAGAAGAGCCTGTTGCTGGGAAAGATGGAGGGCAAGAGAAGAAGGGGACGACAGAGAAGGAGGTGGCTGGATGGAGTCACGGAAGCAGTAGGCGTGAGCTTCAATGGACTCCAGAAGATGGTAGAGGACAGGAAGGCCTGGAGGAACGTTGTCCATGGGGTCGCGATGGGTCGGACACGACTTTGCAACTAACAACAACAACAATTCAAATAGAATCTATGAAGATTCTCAGTCATCCAGGTCATGGTTGTCCCAAAGGTGCTTTTTTCAAGGGGCAACTGGACTTCCTTGTTTTTTCTTTGAAGGCGTTTCGCTTCTCATCTGAGAAGCTTCTTCAGCTTTGACTGGATGGTGGGGAATGGAAGGATTTATATTCCTTGCAGATAGCTGGTCATTTGCCTTCTTTTAGAGAGTCGTTGAGGCCACTTGGAGGGTTGTCGGTGTCCTCAGGGACGCCTGAGTAGTGCAAATGGGCGACCCTATTCAGGTGACCCGGAGGACATAGATAAACCCACAAGTGGCCTCAGTGACTTTTCTAAAAGACTGCAAATGACCAGCTGTCTTCTTGAACTTTCACCCTCAGAGTGTGAGACACACAACCGCTCTGTTGCAAGCCCAAAGCCGGACTGATCCAGCCTGCCCTGATGACTCTTCCCTTGGTTTGCCTGGCATAGATCACCCAACAGCCTCCATGGTAGAAGGAGGGCTTACTCTTCCAAAGCTCACCTGATTCAGCGCAACGTGCATCTGATCCATCAAGTAGACGTACAACTCACTGAGGAAAGCCTGGAGTTGGTCCAGAGTTTCAAAGGCAGTGGTCTTCAAGTATTTCTCCCGGACAATTTTAACAACTGCGTGCTATAAGGAAGAGAAAGACTCTGTCATAAGGACACCGCACATTCGGAAGGAAGGGAGCAACAAATTTATGAGATGGTAGATTCCATTGCCTGATGGGTCACAACAGCTCTTAAAAAAGGGGCTGCCAGACTTGCTATCACTTGACTCTGTGAACAGAAACAACCCTTGGCTCCCTTTGTTTTTTTTTTTTTAAAGTTTTTATTTTCAATTTTACAATACATTACATTCTTAAAAATACTTCAGATAAAAAATAAAACAAATTAATACACACCACTTTCGGTATTGCTCACCCATTTCCCCCCAAACCGCATCCACCCCTCTAACCAACTTGCCTCTTTCTCTCTTCTTCCTCTTCCTCACTCTCCCCCTCTCCTCCACCTTCCTACTTACTTCTCACCTTCTTCTATCCTCTCACTCCGGATGCGGTCCGGGGGAAATGCCCGAGCAATTCCTCTCTCCAAATTAAAACATCAATATTATATACAATAAAACTATTTCTACTTATCTGAGTTACTTAAACTTCAATCCATCCTCCCCCCCCTCCCCTCCCGACTTCCCAGAGCAAAGTACAGGGTTATACAAATATATTAAACATAATCTATTTAAGTTTACTAATTATACAATAACTGAGATCATACTAACCCCTAACTCTCTTCAAACTTTAACATCATAAGTTTATAAACAAATTCATTACTCATAAAATAAATGAAACTTTGTAGTTCCATACTTCTTCTGAACATATTCTATCCATCTTCTCCATACATTAAAATATCTCTCTTTAAATAAGCAGAAATTTTAGCCATTTCTGCTAAATTAGAAACCTTAAATACCCATTCTTCTAAAGAAGGCAGAGTATCCTTCTTCCAATATTGACCCACCAATAATCTTGCTGCTGTTATTAAATTCAACATTAAGATAGTTTGCTCCCTTTGTTGAGAAAGTTATAATTTGATTAGAAGTCGAGTGTATTGCAGGGTTGCAAAGCCAGAATGGAGAAGTACGCGCCAAAATCCCTATTTTCAACTTTTCCCTCCCTTAACTGTCTCCCATCACTGGCCTCACCATGACCCATCAGGTTCAAGCAAGACAATTTCAGAACGGTCACTTCAAGCATTGGGTGGTATGCAGCTGCTTTCCTTTCCCAGCCGGTTGACCTTGAAGCAGCGTCTCAGGGAGATACAGCCGTTACTTTTGCTTTCCCCCAGGCCAGGGGTAGGCAACCTTGGCTCTTTTATGACTCGTGGACTTCAACTCCCAGAATTCCTGAGCCAGCACAGCTTCATAGTTGAAGTCCACGAATCATAAAAGAGCCAAGGTTGCCTATTCCTCAAAGTTCATGGCAGATAGTCATTGCGTGGAAGTGAAGCACAAGCAAGCATAAGGTGGCAGCTGATGGGGGGGGCTTCTGAAATGCTAAAAGAAGACTCAGATGACAAGGAAATGTTGACACTTCAACGTATTATTCCACCTTAATAGAACGTCACTTTTACAAAGAGCGACCGGCGTCGTGACAAAATACCTTGAGTTGCTCCTTAAAGGCAAAATATTTCCCTGAGGTGTTCAGCTCGTAGTTGAGTTGACATTTCTGGTCTTCCAGGGTCTGAGAATCAATGACAAGTCCTTCAACCACTTGCCTTCCAAAGAGTTCGTGATACTCATCTAGGATCGATGCAGCAATACTGGTGATCTGCGTGTGGTAATCTTCTACGGCCTAAAGAAGTCGGGAAAACCTTTTGAGTGAACTCAAGTGGTGTTTGTTGCCAGAAAGAATTCCTCCACAAGAAGGTGGTATACACGGCTGGCAAACGTGTGGAAAAACGTCTCTAAAGTATTATATATCCATGTGGTCACATTAGCCTGATTTATTGGGTGACTTTTTCAGGCTCACTTTCACACTCATCTGTCCGAGAATAAAATCTGGGCGCGGAATTGGCGATCTCAGTTTAAGATACTGATCAAAACCAGTGATTGGCAGACTGACTGGGGAATTCTGGGAGTTGAAGTCCACATCTCTTAAAGCGGCCAAGAACACGGATTTTTTAAAAAAAGTGATTTCATATGAAAATGAAGTGTCTCCTTAATGTGACGTTAAGAGCTGCCTGCCAGAGAATCTAAGCTGTTATTATTGTTTTTAAATTAAGACGTTTCTAGCCCCTAAGGTTTTAAAAATATGCTTAGAAGCAGACAATGCCTGGATGTAGATGTGACACATCTTTAGGAAGTTTACATAAAATAGGATTATAGAAAATTACTAGAGAAAGTAAAATTTAGAAACATTATACACAATATTAGCATAAAACAAGAAAGGAGGAATTATTATATATGTCAAAGAAAAATAAAATTAAATAAATATACTTGGATGAAAAGGGGTGAATTTTAATGCTGGAAATAGTATTAGAGTAAAAACAGTATATGCACTAAATAATATGAGAATATTTGTATGATCACCATGCTTAGATGGAATTCCGGTCGAGTCTTATAAAAAATATGAGTGTTACTACAATGAATAATGTTGGATTCCTAGTAAGTAGTAGAAGATGAAAGAAGGAAAATGTAATGGGGCAATAAGAACAAATATTTCAAAGAAGAAAGAGGGGGGAAATGTAAAGAATAGAAAAGTACTGTTACAAACTGCTGTTAACAAAAAAGGATATATTACGTGTGTATGTGTGTAATGTTTGTTGTGTTTTGTTTTGTTTTGTTGGTCTAAAATAATAATAAAAAAATAATAAAAAAAGAAGCAGACAATGCCTACTGAAATCCCAGAAGCTACACTAGGGATGGGGCAATATTCTTAGCTCTCCTATAAGGAATGCACAATAGGGAAAATTATGCATACCTAAGCAATCTCTTTAGGCTGCATAGTTGTCTGTTCTTGACACAAAAACTAGACCAGAATGGCAAAGATTTTCTTTTAAAAAAATGCAGTGGAATTACTGAGTAGGCTTGTTTCATACCTTCATGGCTCCTGCAGTCCTTCGAGGAAGTTGTGGGTGTGGAGGAATCATCTCCTTCACTCTGATTGTGTTAGAAGAAAGACAGGACAAAGGTGGATTGCTGTGATCATCTGACAATTCATTTTACCACCCCATTCACAGTTTACTTTGAAGTCAGTTCTATTCAGCTTAACCACAATCAGCTGCAGAATTAGCACACAGAGGATTGTGTTGGCAAGTTGTTTCAACCTGGGATAAGTGTCTATGGAGATGCTCAGTCATCCAGGTCGCCTTTGCCCCAAAGGTGCTTTTTCCAAGGGGCAACTGGACTTTCTGGGTTTTGCCTTGAAGACATTTCGTCTCTCATCCAAGAAGCTTCTTCAGTTCGGAAGAAGAAGCTTCTTGGATGAGAAGCGAAACGTCTTTAACGAAAAGTAAGTTCAGTTGCCTCTTGGGAAAAGCACCTTTGGGAGAATTGGGGATAAGGTCTCCCCACATAAATTTTTGTAGAGGATTAAGAGGCCTTTGAACTCTGGTGCTGGAGAAGACTCCTACGAGTCCCCTGGACTGCAAGGCGATCAAACCGGTCAGTCCTAGAAGAGATCAACCCCGACTGCTCTTGAGAAGGCCAGATCCTGAAGTTGAAACTCAAGGACTTTGGCCACCTAATGAGAAGGAAGGACTCACTGGAGAAGAGCCTAATGTTGGGAAAGATGGAGGGCAAGAGAAGAAGGGGACGACAGAGAATGAGGTGGCTGGATGGAGTCACTGAAGCAGGAGGCGTGAGCTTCAATGGACTCCAGAAGATGGCAGGATAGGAAGGCCTGGAGGAACGTTGTCCATGGGGTCGCGATGGGTCGGACACGACTTCGCAACTAAGAACAACCACAACAAACTCATCTGAGTTGTAGACTTTGTAGGAGCAAATGATGCTCTCCGGGGTCCTGAAATCGGCCTTGATACAATGTATTATTGGGTGACTAAGCTGTCCTACTGGGCTCACGATGAGATCAGAATTCAATAAGACACTCAATCTTTGTAATGACTGTTCTGGCCCAATATGTAGAATGAATGGGATAAGTAAGGATAATGCCTCCCACTGACAAAGAATGAGCAGCACTACTGAAGATGCAAAGAATCGTAGGGCTGGATGGGACCTTGGAGATCTTCTAGTCCAACCCTAGGCCTAAGGTCCTTAAACCATCTTGACAACCTTTTCTTGACAACCTCCAGCAATGGAGTATCAACAGTTATGGGAGGCAAGCTCTGCCACTGATTAATTCTTCTCACTATCATGAGAGTGTCAAAGACTTTCACCCAAGCCCGCCTATCTATCTATCTATCTATCTATCTATCTATCTATCTATCTATCTATCTATCTATCTATCTATCAATAACTCACCGGCTAGCAAGTTCCTCTGGAAGACGCTTGGGCACTAAAGCTTTATCCAGCGTAAACTCTATCACAATGAAACTTCCACATTCTACATATTGCTGTAAAAAAGAAAGTGGTTGATATTTCTTCTGGAGCATAGCCCACTTCCTCGGATGTTTCCACAGCCACAGCCCCACAAAATTTAAGCCAAACACGTTAGGTTTCAGTTGTGGGAATTTAAATCTAGACATAGGGAGAACAGCTAGGTTAACATCAAGCCCGAGGTGGCGCAGCAGTTAGAGTGCAGTACTGCAGGCCACTTTCAGTTCAAATCTCACCGGCTCAAGGTTGACTCAGCCTTCCATCCTTCCGGGGTAGGTAAAATGAGGACCCAGATTGTTGGGGGCAATGTAAATATATATATACATTGCTTACTGGTGTACACCGCTTAGAGAGTGCTTGCACTTAAAGCGGTATATAAGTCTCATAAATAAATAAATAAGCCCTTGTAGCAAGACACAGTAGAAGAGAGAGAGAGAGGGGTGGAGAGAGATAGGGGGAGAGAGAGAGAAGATGAGAGGGGGGGAGAGGGAGAGAGGGAGAGAGGGAGGGAAGGAGGGAAGAGAGGGAGGGAGGGAGGGAGAGAGAGAGAGAGAGAGAGAGAGGGAGAGATGCAATTTGAAGATAGTCAGAAGCACTCATTCACAATTTTCATGTGACTCAAGATCCAGACCTGAGAGTCCAGACGGTATCTACAAATCCTATTTGACATCTTTTTAAGCAGTAGCTTTACCTGCCCTTCCAGATTCTGGCATACAGATACCGCAGTGTCTACTGTGATCTCGGAGGTGTCCTTTTTTACAATATTGGATGGCTGAAGAGGAAGCAAAAAAAAATATTTTTTTTTACAGGATATCATTTCAGAAAGATTCCTTTGTATGATTTCTGGAGGGGGGGGGATCACAAGTCGTACAGTTGCTGAGGTTGGAGAGGACTTCCTCTCTTTGCACTTTTTTTTTTTTTTTTGCCATTCTCACCTTCCTCAGCATTAGTTCTCTTTGCTTGTCATCTTTGATGTTCTTCCCAAGGATGCTTTTGGTGTGCGGACTGTACATTCCCATGGGACCAAATTTATTAAGGACTGCCTGATGGCCCACGTCACGAAGAAGACTGAAGAGGCACTTGGTCTGAAACAAAAGAGGCACCAAGTGAGAATAAGATAGATAAAATAACTTGTATTGTCAGTTTTTTTACTGTGGGCACAACGGCACACATCAGAAATGAAATTTAGTTGCCCGCTCCCAAAGTGAACACATACACGACACACACCTAAACATACTATATACAACAGGGGTCTTCAAACATGGCCCTTTTATGACTTGTGGACTTCAACTCCCAGAATCCTCAGCCAGCCATGCTGGCTGAGGAATTCTGGGAGTTGAACGCCGCATGCTGGCTGAGGAATTCTGGGAGTTGAAGTCCACCAGTCATAAAAGAGCAAAGATTGCCTATCCTTGGGCTAGGCTGTCAGTATCTTTAATGCCGAGAATATTTCATTTTAAATACAACGTTTTAAAATTTGATTTGTCCTTTAAAAATGATTAGAGGCCTGAAGACTGAAACATACGAAGAACGGTTGCAAGATACGGGTTTGGCTAGTCTAGAGAAAAGAAGGACTAGGGGAGACATGATAGCAGTGTTCCAGTATTTGAGGGGCTGCCACAAAGAGGAGGGGTCAGCTTATTTTCCAAAGCCCCAGAAGGCAAGACAAGAAACAATGGATGGAAGCTAATCAAGGAGAGAAGCAACCTGGAATTAAAGAGACACTTCCTAACAGTGAGGACAGTTAACCAGTGGAATGGCTTTGCCTTCAGAAGTTGTGGGTGCTTCAACACTGGAGGTTTTTAAGAAGAGACCAGTCACTTGTCTGAAATGGTACAGAGTCTCCTGCTTGAGCAGAGGGATGGACTAGAAGACCTCCAAGGTCCCTTCCAGCTCTATTCTGATTGATTGCTGTCTGCTCTAAGCTTCCTGGAAGCACGTCGGCAATAACCATTTCGAACAAAATCTAAAGCCAGGGAATCTCAGCTGATAAGCCGCGCAAATGAAGCTGTTACCTTTTCAAACACTTCGCTGTCATGGTAAGGAAAAACCCGGAACGCTCCGCGGATCCGCTTCACTCCAGGATACAGCAGCGGCACTAAGCTGACATAAGCCACGCCGTGAAAGGAAATTGGATCCTCCTCTGTTCCACCAATAGTTCCACCTCCCTAGACAAGGACAGTTGAAATGACCATCTTCCTTGCTGATGGCCACAAGCAGCGCAAATGGAGCACAGGTAGCCGAGTTATGACCGTAATGGAGCCTGCTCACGTGACTGTTTTTTACAATCTTTTTTGCAGTGGTCGTGAAACAAACGGCATGGTGGTTAAGCCAGAGTTCCCCAACCTTTCTGGCTTTGCGGACCGGTGGGGGGAGGAGGGGATGGTTCCGTGTGAGCGGCAGGCAAGCGCACACATGCAACGCGCACTTGCCTGCTAAGAGAGGATGTGTGTGCGCTCATCTGCCACTTCAGCGGCCCAGTTGCACAGCATTCAAGGCCCAGTAGTGGGCCACAGTCTGAGGTGTGGGGACCTCTGGGTTAAGCGAACCGGTGGAAGTAAGTATTAGTTTTGGGCAAAACCATAGTAAAATGTGGCCCTTTGATTGTGGGGTGATGCAAACCACTGTTATTTCATCAGCTCAAGGCGGGAAACATACTTAATACAAAAATGCAGTGCCATGACTGCAGGATGGGAAAGGGAACCATCAGAATTTTGAATCTGGGTCATAACTTCAAATGGTCCACAAGCTACTGACCGTAAGGACCATCCACAGCCAGAATCTCTTCTATAGTATTTACGTAGCACATGTAAAACCACTCCTACGTTTAATCCTAGCAAAGGTTAAATTGGAATACTGATGAGTAAAAATTTGGATAAAAATTAATAACAAGATATGGATTGTTTATGAAGATTGAATGTAATTAAGATACGTATAGGCAAACAAAATTATTGATAAATGTCATAATGATGTTTTTACTTGAGTTGATATAATAAGAACTGTACTAGCTTGAATACGAGACCGTAAATGTTAAGGGAGAAAGAGAAGAAATATCTGATGTTGCAACTTGAGATTTGCACTAAAGATTTTGTTATCGAACTGTTGATTAACCCAGTCACCATGTTGCTTTTTAAATACTTAAATGTAAAATTGGAAAATTAATAAAATATTATTTAAAAAAAAAGGATTTTGAATCTGGGTCATAACTTCAAATGGTCACCAAGTTACTGAACGTAAGTCAAGGACCATCCACAGCCAGAATCTCTTCTGTAGTGTTTACGTAGCACATGTAAACCACACCTACGTTTAATCCTAACAAACCTACCTTTACAGTAAAGAGAGCCAGTTAAGGGTAGTGGTGAAGGGGCTGGCCTAGAAACAACAGATGGTTGATTCTGGGCCTCCCTTTAGGATGAAAGCCGGCTAGTGACTCTGGACCAATCACCAGGAGACGGTGAGCCCTAGTCTTGCCTTAGCCATGAAAGTCAGCTGGGTGATTTGGGGCCAGTCTCTCTCTCTCTCCCTCAGCCCAACCCACTCACAGGGTTGTTGCAGTGGGAAAAACAGAAGGGCGGCAGTATTAAGTATCTTTGCTGCCTTGAGCTGATGAAATATTTTTTTGGAAAGGAAAAAATTATGAGATTAAAATATGATGATGATGATGGTGGTGGTGGTGATGGTGATGAACTAGAACCTTACCTTGTCTCCTTTGCCAGCTTTGACTTTCGTGGATGTGACCAGTGGCACTCTGGTAATTTCCACAGGCCAACACCGACAGTCAGCGATCCGCTTGCGAAAGCTGTCAAACAGGAAGAGCACACCAGTTACAATTGTTTGTGTAGTCCAGGGGTTAGGGTGATTAGCCCCAAATCACCCATATGGCTTTTATGCCTGAGACAGGATTAGAACTCACAATCTCCTGGTGATTGGCCTAAGGTAGGTGTCAACGCTGCTAATATTGACTATTCTTGCTTTGACAAAATATGCAGAACTGTCTAGTATTTTTAGAGTTAATTCAGCTGACAGAGAAAAGGGAGGAGATAGTAAGGAAAGCCCGGGAAAATGAACGGAAGTGGATCTTTGCCCTCCAAGTTAATTGGAAGATGTGAATCATGACCCCAAAAATAGGGGAGGGGAAATGCCTGGGATGTTATGTGCAAAGGGAAGGGAAATTCAGATCTTGGCATCCATCATGCTGTGCTGACATCTCTCTACACTAATAAAGGTTTTTTTAGGTTAAACCATGCCTGAAAATTCTTTGAAGTGTTTCATTAGCAGACACATGACAATAGGTCTAGAACTTATGGTCTCCTGCTTTCTAGCCTGGAACTTTAATACTAGCCCAGGGATAGGCAACCTTGGCTCTTTTATGACTCATGGATTTCAACTCCCAGAATTACTCAGCCAGCATGGCTCAGCTTGGAAACCTCTCCCTTTCCCCTCAGCATGGCTGGCTCAGGAATTCTGGGAGTTGAAGTCCACCAGTCATAAAAGATCCGAGATTGCCTACCCCTGGTGTAGTCTGATGCTCAAAAGGGCATTGCGTATACATTTCCATCAATGCCACATGGGCGGCAAAGGTGGGAACATGCAGCATGCAAAAAATGGTCAGAACTGATACGCTTCCGATTGGATTTAGCTGGGTGACTTTGAGCCAGTCATCCTCTCCTCAGCTGAACCCACCTCACAGGGTTGTCGTGGGGAACATAGGAGCAGGGAGAAGCATTTGTGTATGTTCGCCACCTTGCGTTGCTTATAACAATAACCAGGGTGGCATATAAATAAATAAATGGGTTGAGTTTCTTGACGGACAAGCAAGCGGTAAATGTGCAAAATGCAGCACAAATACACCAGCACAAGCCAGGCTGTTGTAATAAGGCTCGTTAATATTTATGCCGAGCTTTAGCTGAAGGAACTCATTAACACACAGAAGACAGGAAATCAAGGATCAGCTTTGGTTAGAGAACTTGGAGAAGTATGAATTTTACAATCTCCAGGTCTCTGCTCTTAATTGCTGGGCTCCCACAGATCCTCTCATTAAGTTCTGAACTGCTGGAGAACGACACCGAGTTGTCTCACCATAGTACAGCGATAGGATCCAGGTAGCAACGCCTTTCCAAGTCCCACACAATCCGTTTCTTAATAGTTTCAGCCTGAAGCCTGCTTTCCCGCTCCTTTTAAAAAGAGAAAGAGACAGCGAGAGCCAGTTAGGTGTAGTTGGTAAGGCACAAAGCTAGAAACAGAGAAACCAGACTTTCAAATCTTGTCTTAGGCACAAAGCTGGCTGGGTGGCAATCCTCCCCACTCAGTCTTGGGAAGAAAAAAAAAAAAACATAGGAAAACCGCTTCTGAATATTTTCCTTGACAGCCCCAGGGACTTGTGTAGGTAACTGCCAGGAGTCAATATGACTTGAAGGCAAGGAGGAGGAGGAGAAGGAGGAGGAGGAGGAACAGGAGCAGGAGCAGGAGGAGGAGGAGGAGCAGAAAGGAACCCAGTCTGTTCAGGTCTAGAGTTCAACAAATCAAGAAAACAGACTGGAACCAATATTTGTTGATGGACTAGGTCAGTGATGGCGAACCTTTTAGAGACCGAGTGCCCAAACTGCAACCCAAAACCCACTTATTTATTGCAAAGTGCCAGGGCTGCTTCAGCATTGTGGTGCCCTCAGGGGGGGGCAGGGGCCATGGCCCACTGGGTGAGCATGGCTGCAGTGGTCACGGCAGACTGGGTGAATGTGGCCGGGGCCAGGGCGATGGGTGCCAGTCCCTCGCCATCTCTGGGGCATTCCCGGGGGGGGGGGCAACGCCGCTTGTTCGCTCACTTCCTGCCCTGTCGCTTCCAAACGCCACATGCTCACTACTCTGGCGAACTCTGCTGGGCCAACGGTGCGCGTGCCCACAGAGAGGGCTCAGTGCCGCCTCTGGCACGCGTGCCATAGGTTCGCCACCACTGGACTAGGTGAAAAAAATAACACGAGACAGAAAAAGTAAAAAGAAGAAGAACTAATAGCAGGGACAGTCTTTCTTCTGAGGAAGGAATAACACCAGGCCTTGGAAGAAGCTTGCCATCCACTGATACGGCCTATTTTGTACAATGGAACCCACAATGGGATGGATACCACGATCAACCCAAATCTACGCTCATCCTTGGCTGCTAGAGGAAAAGGACTCTAGGGAGAAAGAAGCCATTGATCTGATCTAGTACGCTAGTTTTTATAGGCCCAGGTAGATGGAACAGGTGGCAACTGGGACACTGCTGATGCTACACTCTCACTGGTATTGCCAAAGGTGAAGAGAGCTGGGAATTGTAGCTGACCCACATCTGGAGAACCACCACTCCTGTTCTAAGGAATCTGCTTCTCCAGCTCTGCCATGCTCACCTCTGGAGTATTCAGTTCTCCATCTTCCTCCTCAAAGGGCCCACCAATAATGAGAGCATCTGGGATGTTCTGTCCTCCAGGGGCTAAAATGTTGGCCACTGGCCACTTCTTGGGCCGAGGCAGAGCTTCCCTCTCACCACCAACTTTCAGAGTCCCATTCTTGAACAGGAAGGGACATTCTTTCTGGAAAGGTCATAGGAAAAAAATATTCCTTGAATTCACAGAGTTAACAAGTCATTCACACCGGTACATTGACAAAGAGCTAGCAGTTGCATTCTTACAACATATTCATCCAGGACTTCAAACTTTTCCTTTGCTTGGTGCTGGCATGGAGCAACCCATTTGGTTAGTAGATTATTCATATGGAAGCTCAGAAAGTGGCTGAATTCATTTCAGGTTAAATGTCTTCTGTGGACTCATCCATTACATAATGAAAACAAATTGGACAGGGTTACATTTTGGAAAAACATCCTCTAAAATAGCTACAGAAGGGGGACTACCTAAACCAACGTTTATATGGGCTCTTTAATTTGCAAGGAGCTTCTTATGTATGTGAGGCAAGTTTCCATTTTTTTTCTGTTTTTACGAAGAAAATGAAGAAACCGCTTACATGTAACATAAATTTAGTACCATGAGCACATTTTCATGCTGGTTCTTCTTTGCTCTTCATGAACGCAGATTCTGAGTTCACACATCGCAGAATAAGCTACAGTGAGCTGGCTTCATGTTTTGTGCATCACTAATTGACCAGGATTTGCAAATTGTAATATCCAGTTCACGTCTTAAACCAAACCGTTTTGATTTCAGACAATGTATGAATCCAATTTTTGACTTGTAATTTATTTATTTCTTTGATTTCACTCTACAAAGGTTGCTCTCTAAATTAGGATAAATCAGTCTGGCATGGAGGCCACGGAATTATTAGGCTCTGTTTCCTAACCAAACTCATCCCTTCCAGACGTGCATGAAACCTGGATGTGGAGGAATTTGCACGTGCAGCAAACTGCCATGCATTGCCCCCCACAAACCTCATAACTTTTTGATATCCTTTGTCCCAAGGAAGCAGCCAAAAGATCACCCCCTTTTGACTTAATATCTTACCTATCTAAATAATAAGTTCCCCCTTATCTTTTCCTGTCTTTATCTCTTCTTGTCTTTATCAGTTCTTTCTCCTTTTCTAATTTACCTGTATTTGTTTTTACCTGCTCTCAACAGGTAATGTGTTACTAGAAAATAATTGCTTATATGAAGGAATTTTTCAATTACTTTATGTCAACAACTAAAGGTTAAACTCCTAAATGTAAAATGTCAGCAGTTAATGGTAAAGCCTATGTATGTAAAAAGTATATAAGAAACAATAAACTCAGAGTTTGTGAAGCTGTGTGAAGATGTGTCATGCAGCTTCAAACCTCTGCCCAAGACATGCCTGAGTCTTTTTCTTAGCATCGTTACACCTGGATCTGGAGAATCACAGTTAATTAACTCTATCAAGGTAGCTTCATTTATAAATTCAGATGGATCTCCGAAGAGAGGCTATGGAAAGACCAGGTTACTAACATAATGCACGACTGACTGAGATGTGCTAGCGGAATGATTTCAACTCAAAAGCCAAATTCCTAGAACAGCAGTAAAAGCCTGGAGAAATAAGTTCGATCAGGCATAGCTGGTGAAGGGTTCAAATCAGAACCTTGAAGCCATGAAGTTTAACCTTCGATGTTTCTCAGGAGCTCAACGTGCTTCCACTGGGACCTGCAGCACCTCTTATATTTTAGAGGGGCTGATAATGAAAAGCAACAAAAGGCTAAGGAAACAGACGGGAAGAAAAAAGGAATAAAAGAATGTGGGATTTCAGCAACTCACCTCACCAACTGCTGGCACCTGGAAGCCAACCATGTAATTATATTGGGGACCTGTGAAGAGAAATGCTTCCGGGGCAGAATAGAGAGCTTCTACGGTCACTCTCAGCAGATTGCCTTCAGACAGCTGGTTTTGAGTCAATAAGCTCTCCTGGACAGCTACTAAGACATCGATGGAACACTGCAAAACCAAAGCAAGCTTAAGATAGACGTACCAAGTAGACACACTTGGGAAAAGGAGTGAAGCACAACGAAGCTGGTAAGCACTTGGGAGGCCAAATCTGACAAGTGATTAGTTAGAGCAAGGGTCCCCAACCGTGGCAACTTTAAGACCTGTGGACTTCAACTCCCAGAATTCCCAAGCCAGCCACAGGTCTTAAAGTTGCTAAGGAAGGTTGGGGACCTCTAGAGTTCCTCTAACTTGGGATGTTCAGCTTAAAGAAGAAGGCTGAGGGGGAAGACATGATAGCAATCATTCAATACACAAAGTGTTGTCACAAGAAAGAGGGTGTGAGCTTATCCTCCAGAGCACTGAAGTACACCCACACAAGAGTCCAGCCACTGGACCCATGGTTAAATAGGGAAGACTTAGCTAAGTCCCTTATAAGGAGCTCACTTGTATTTGTGGAGCTTCAGCGACAGACGAGAGAATGCAAAATAATAAGACTGGAAGGGATCCTGGAGGTCTTCTCATCCAACCTCCAACTCAAGGAGGAGACCCTATATCATTCCAGACGAATGGCTGTCCAATCTCTTCTCGAAAACCTCCAGTGATGGAGCACCCACAACTTCTGGTGGCAAGCTGTTCCACTGGTTCATTATTCTCACCGTCAGGAAATTTCTCCTTAATTCTTGGTTGGATCTCTCTTTGATAAGCTTCCATTTATTATTTCATGTCCTGCTCTCAGGTGCTTTGGAGAATAAGTTGACCCCCTCTTCTCTCTGACAGGCCCTCAGGTATTGGATGATGGCTATCATTTTTCCCCTAGTCTTTTTCTTTGCTAGTCTAGACAGGCCTAGTTCTCTCAGTCGTTCATCATATGGTTTAGTCTCTAGACCCCTTTTTATTGAATTTTATTATTACTAAGTGGGGACTCGGGGGGGGGGCTATATAGAAACAAAAGCTTTTTTTTTTGGAGAATGATACAATTACATTTCCAAGCACTCTACTTTTTTTTTTTTATAATAAATGTTGAAGATCTTATTCAAATTTCAATGATTTACCCTCTATTCCACCTTAAACTACTTCTAAGTCCCCTCTAAGATGGGGATGTTACAATTGGGAAGCATATCTCTATATTCCTTTTTTTTTAAAAAAAAAATACCTTGGTTTCTGCTCGGAGGGCCTCCAGAGGAGAGCCTGGCAATGGATACAGGGGCAGTGTTGCACTGAATGTACACAATCCTGCAGAGAAAAGAGGACATAGCACATGAGCAGACTCCGTAAGATTGTCTGGGACACTACACATCCTCTTCATGACCTGTGTTCCTTGTCACCTTCAGGGAGGAGGGGGCTTTGTGGTATCCAAAGCAGAACATCCAGATTCAGCCAGAGTTTTGTTCCATACAGTATTAACCTTGTGAACTCTCAAGCTTCCTTCTTCCGTTATGTATTCAAGATGGACAGTAATTAATATATATATGTTCTTATATGTAAGGATGTAGCTCTATACATATGTTGTATATATTATGTTTAAATGTGTTATGTCTATGCACTTTGAGACCAAGCAACTAAACTTCATTTTTTAATGTGTGCCATTGTGCCCATAGTAAAAAATGACAATAAAGATTATCTATCTATCTATCTATCTATCTATCTATCTATCTATCTATCTATCTATCTATCTATCTATCTCAACCTATATCTATCTATCTATCTATCTATCTATCTATCTATCTATCTATCTATCTATCTATCTATCTATCTATCTACCTACTATCTATCATCTATCTATCTATCTATCTATCTATCTATCTATCTCAACCTATCTATCTATCTATCTATCTATCTATCTATCTATCTATCTATCTATCTATCTATCTATCTATCTATTCTATCATCTATCTATCTATCTCAACCTCTATCTATCTATCTCAACCTATATCTATCTATCTATCTATCTATCTATCTATCTATCTATCTATCCATCCATCCACCCACCCACCCACCCACCCACCGACCGACCGACCGACCGACCTACCTACCTACCTACCTACCTACCTACCTGTCATAAATATGAACCAGTTGTCAAGCATCTGAATTTTGATCACGTGACCCTGGGGATGCTGCAAGCGTGAAAAACTTTTTTCAGTGCTGTTGAAATTTTGAATGGCCACCAAATGAGCTGTCGTAAGTCAAGGGCCACCTGTTCTAATGCACTCTGTGAACTGCTAGGGAGGGTCCATCTTTGCCCCCCTCCTGCCTACCAGACAGTCCAAGCATCCTGGCCTCTTCACTCTCTGCAGTTCCAGATGACAATCCAGCACAGGTTTGTTCTTTCACTCACCTTGCAGGAGAGGGAGAAGGTCCGCCACGGCCTGTCCGAGGGACACCACTTTTTCCTCTTTTTGCTTCTTCTCCTTTGGCAGGACTTCAATCACAGTGACTGGGGAAACCGAGCATAAAAAACCACTCAGTCACAGCAATAAGATAGTAAGACCACACCTGGAATACTGCAGCCAGTTTTGGTCACCATATTACAAAAAGGATGCCGTATGTTGAGGACTACCCGTATTACTTTAATTTTACTGAGTGGATGATCGCTAGGCTTAGAATGCTAAGAAGAATATGAGGGGGCCCTGCAGGCTCCTGAATCTTCCCAGTGCACAAATTCAAACAGAAGCATCCCTGACAATGAGCGGCAAGCCTCCACTTGAACGCCATCACCCACAACAGATACTTTTACCTCAGCAAAACGGGTAGTCCTCGACTTACGACCACAATGGAAGCCAACATTGCTGTTGCCTAGGCGAGACGGTGGTTGGGCGAGTTGTGCTCCACGTTATGCTCTTTTTGCCACAGTGGCCAAGCGAATCGCTGCGGTTGCTAAGCGAATCGCACGGTCGTAAACCGAATCGGATGTCTCCCGTTGACTTGGCTTGTCGGAAGGCGGCTGGTGACAAAGGGTGATCACGTGACCGCAGCCCAGTGCAACCGTCACCAATACCTGCCAGTTGCCAAGCGTCCGAATTTTGATCACGTGATCGTGGGGATGCTGAAGCGGTCGTTAAGTGTGAAAACCGGTTGTAAGTCACTTTTTTCAGTGCTGTTGCAACGTCAAATGGCCACTAAATGAATGATTGCAAGCTGAGGATTACCTGTGTTCTTTCCCAGCCGTTAAAAGCTAAAGAGCAGAGGTGGTGTTACTCACATATCACAGGTTTATGGGCAATATCATCCAAGGTGTGGAACCCTTCAGGATGGCTGTCAAAAGAGGTGGTGAAATTATACTTCACGTTTCCTTCCGCAGAGGCATCCATTTTGGGGGAGTCACCAAGGACGAAGCCATTGTACTCAACGCGCACAAATGTAACCGGACTGTCTCCTTTGAGGCCTTTCTACACAAAAGAGACCACAACACTGAGGACAGGACAAGTGGTAGCGTCACCTCCCAGAGCAAAACTAATTTTTACTTCTCTCGATCTTGGATGGCATAACCAGCTTGGGCAACATCTCAGAGCTATTAAATAAAATCTACAAAATGTTGTGTTTTTTTTTTAAATGAGAAAGCTGCTTTCAAGCAATTTAATGTTTCTTCTTCTTTAGGCAACTGGCATCCCAAACCAATTACAGATGGGAGCAGTAATCTCAAATAAAATAAATCCAGAAGCCAGTAACCGGCTTTTCGGTGCCTTGGAAAATAAGATATTAATATGTGGTTCAATTAGTAAAATATTATGCCCTTTAATTGTACTGATTTTAAAAAACCGGAACATTCTGGGATGATAGTCATCCAGCTAAGTGATGCACTCTGATGATCCTCAATGCAGGAATTCCAGTGTGAACTATAAGAGGGCAATTACCAAGTCATGGCCATCCAGCACAGTGATGCTGACGGTCTTCCCCGGTGGTTCAACAGGAAAGGAAGGTGAACCCGCCATGAGAAGGAAGAATCTCTTGGTATAGAAAGGTAGCTAGAGCCTATGGAGAAGAGAAGACAAGGAGTAAATAATAATCAAGAGTTGTTTATTTATCACTTGACTTGCCTCCCATTCTTCCTTATATTTAACAACAACAACAATAGAGTTGGAAGGCATCTTGGAGGTCATCTAGTCCAACCCCTGCTCAGGCAGGAAACCTATACCATTTTGGACAAATGGCTGTCCAGTCTCTTCTTAAAAACCTCCAGTGTTGGAGCATTCACAACTTCTGGAGGCAGGTTGTTCCACTGATTAATTGTTCTAACGGTCAGGAAACTTCTCCTTAGTTCTAGGTTGCTTTCCTCCTTGGCTAGTTTCCATCCATTGCTTCTTGTCCTGCTTTCAAGCACTTTGGAGAATAGCTTGACTCCCTCTTCTTTGGGGCAACCCTTGAGATATTGGAACAGTGCTATCATGTCACCTCTAGTCCTTCATTAAACTAGACATACCCAATTCCAGCAACCGTTCTTCCTATGTTTTAGCTTCTAGTCCCCTAAATTTCTCCATATCCTGCCAGGTAAATGATGAGGAGGAAGAAACAATAGCTCAAAATCCTGCAAGTGAGCTTCTGGGGTTCCAGATTCCCAGGCGAAATCTCCATGCTGGCAAAGTTTTGGGGAGATGTGGTCCAACATATGAAGAACACCACCTGTGTCTGCCTGTCTGTCTGTCTGTCTGTCTGTCTATCTATCTATCTATCTACCTACCTACCTACCTACCTACCTACCTACCTACCTACCTGTCTCTATTTACTCTCTCTGTCCATCCATCAATCTCATTTCTAGATGACTGCCCACCTACCTCAAGGAGGGACTCTGGGCAGCGTGCAGTACGTTATTTAATCTCTGCAAGATTCATTCCCTGTAATCAACTATGACTTTCAAATCACACTTTATCAGCCAAGCCTCGACTGCTGGGTTCTTACTCTATCCTGTACTACAGTTTCCCTGGAAGCAGCTTAGAATATTGTAAGAACGGACATCATTAAAGGTAGCAGTTTATTCATTCTATTTCTTTCTTTCTTAAATGGCTGCCCAATTTGCAGAGTGACCTTGTGCGGCTCACTATAAAAAGAAGGAATTATAAAGAGAAAAAAACCTTAACACAAACGAAGATGCTTTAGAGCCAGTCAGGTATGGCTTTGGCAAACTGGGCACCCAACCAACTGCAGTTAATGCAACAAACCACAGTTAAGCTCTAACTTAACCTGGCCAATCGGTCCCACCTCGTTCTCAGCCTCCCTAACTAAGTCAGGCTCCTCTGCTCCCAAAATGCCCTATGAGGCTGGAATGACGACCCTGATCTTAAAAGCATGGGGACCTCAAGCTAAGATGTAGACCTTGCAATGGAGAATTATGGTTGGATCTCTCCAAGGAAGCCCAACTGGTCCCCAGGGTTGCTTTGTTTGGTACTCCCTGCAGGCACTGACAAGGGATTCTTCTACTCCAGCTCTACTCTGCCTCTACTACAACTCTACTCCGCCTCTACTACACTTTTACTCCACCTCTACTCCAGCTTTACTCAGCCTTCACTCAGTGAGTCCAGAAAGGGTCACGGGATCAGAAGCTCGACTGGGGGGGGCACCCTCTATTGCCCCCTTCCTCTCTTGCTGGAGGAAGAGCAGCATCCGAGGCGGTTCCCGCCATCCGCGACACGCGTTTTGCCCTCCACCCAACTCACCAGCCGCGTCGGTTTTTTCCGTTGTCATAGCAACGCCGCTGCGTCACATTCGCGGCTCCTGACGCCAGCGTGATTCCCCGGCCGCCATTTTAGTGGCGGGCAAGGGAAGGGCGTGGCGCGCGGCTTTCCCGTTGCCTGTGCTCTGATTCCAAAGAGGTTCGTTCGTAGGTGTGCAAGGAGGCGAGAGAGAAACACTAGCGGTTGCCAACGGACTTTGCGGGGCAGGGGGGAAAAAACATAGGGGAAGCATTTATCGTGTTGTTTGAAATCCTGTAGGGGATTTATGTGACCACTTCTGCCTAAAGGAGATCCCCAAGCAGCTCTCCTTTCAGTGCTTCGAGGGCTTTTGGGCTGAGTCTTCCACTTCCCGTTGCGTATGTCGCATCGGACCCGGAAATGAATGTAATACAAGCCACTCGTTTGTCTTCCCTATCTCTACGGCAGGAGGAAAGTTTGCTCTAGTTTTGCAAAATAATAATAATTCCAAATGCATGGGGTGTTAAGCTATCCCGAGATTTCTTTTCAAACTTAGCGAGCTCTTTCAAACTGGACCTCTTTCGCAAACTTTAGGAGGTGTGGACTTCAGTATCCAGAATTCCTGCGGGGTAGGGAATTCTGGGAGTTGGAAGTCCACACCTCTTAAAGTTGTTAAGTTTGGAAAATTCTCGTGTAGCCTGTGATGGTCGCTGACGCCTGCAAGGTGAAGCTGGAGGTTTTGAACGCAAACCCTGCTAATTGCAAAAAGACAAGGTTTAGGGCTACTGCGAACCAGGATGCAACATGCAATGTTGAGTTATTTTGCTGTTCAGGAAATGGCTGTGAAAGAAGATACATATGTACACACATGCATTCCCAAGCCATCATCACCCAGGTTATTGCAGAGGTTGGAAAACATTGCCAGCACCTTCTCCAACAAACGCATTTGATTAAAACACATCGGCTTTTGTGAAAGCTGACGCCTTTTAATCAAAGGTGATAGGCTGGAAAAGATGCTGCCAGACGCTTTCTGAGATTGAATAAAATCATAATATGAAATCATTTCTGGAAGAAAAAAACTGCCATATTTCATAAAAAGCAACACCACTGTCCTCACTAGAGGGCAGAGCTAAACTATTCCAAAATCGAGCAGGTTAATGTGGAATAATTCCAAGATGTGAGGATGCTGGAGTCCCCAATTCCTAACCCATGAATTTCAATTAAGCTATTTTAAGCTGTTTTTTATGGAAAGCAGTTTATCCAAAGTACCAGCGGGCAGGACAAGAAACAATGGTTGGAAACTGAACAAAGAGAGAAGCAACTTAGAATTAAGGAGAAACATCCTGGCATGGCTGGCTCAGGAATTCTGGGAATTGAAATCCACAAGTCATAAAAGAGCCAAGGTTCCCCACCACTGCCCTACAGGGACATCCGTAAAATATGACAGGATTCTATGATTCCGTACAGGTCGCAAAAGGGGATCACATGAACCTGGGACACTGCAACCGTCATAAATATGAACCAGTTGTCCAGCCTTTGAATTTTGATCACGTGATCATGGGAATGCTGCAATGGTCATAAGTGTGGGAAAACAGCCATAAGTTACTTTTTTCAGTGCTGTTATAACTTCAAACAGTCACTAAATGAACTGGTGTAAGTCCAGGACTTCCTGTATAGCAGAGGTCCCCAACGTTTTGGGCACCAGGGACCGGTTCCGTAGAGAGAGGTTTTTCCGCGGACCGGAGGGTTTGTGGTTTTGTGTGCTGCCTGCAATTTGCAGATGGGGCTTTGTTTGTTTGTGCGGACCGGTTGCTGGCATGCCGCAGCCAGGTCCCAGTCCATGGACCTGGAGTTGGGGACCCCTGCTGTAGAGCATACTGGGTGAGATGCTCTTGCAATGACCCCTGTCTTCCTGTAGGGGGCAGATGCAGTCCAAAGAGGATGCTCAGGCTATTCAACAGTTCTCTTGCCCAAATAGTCTGAATCCGCCTCTCTCAGATTGGGGGCTGGCTGTGACCTCACAAATGACAGACCTCCCGTAGCATTTCTGTGTTGGGAAGTTGGAAACAGCACAAGAAACTTTCAGAGTTTCTTTCCTGGATCCGAGATCTCCAAGGAACAAAGACATCAAAGCATGTGAGTTTATCTGCTCTGCTTTAAATCTAACCTTTTAGATTGTGCCTTGTTTGACTGGCATTTTCATAAAAACCAAGCCCAGTTAGACAAAGGGCAATTTTTATATAGAATAGAATAGAATAGAATAGAATAGAAATAGAAATAGAAATAGAATAGAAATAGAACAGAACAGAATAGAATAGAACAGAATAGAAACAGAATAGAATAGAACAGAATAGAACAGAACAGAACAGAACAGAACAGAATAGAAACAGAATAGAATAGAATAGAACAGAATAGAATAGAATAGAATACTTTATTGGCCAAGTGTGATTGGACACACAAGGAATTTGTCAGGTGCAGAAACTCATCGCGTCCATGCAAACAACCAAACGATAAGTCATAGATCACAAATCTAATTTTAATAATTAGAGTTATGGCCTATAACAATAATTATTAGAACATATAATAATTACAATATAATGATAGCACAATAATAATTCTAATTTTTATTTATTTATTTATTAGCTTGCACAGTACTTTACTTTAAGCCACAGGAGCAAAAATACTTCCGATAACAAAAAACAAAACAAACAAATAAATAAAAATTCCCCTATTGTCTGCTTGGATCAATTTGCCCCCAACTATATTTGAGTTTGCTAGGAAAAGTGACAAATGGGTCTTGGGACGCCTTAAAAACAGGCCCACTTAATTTTCAGTAAGCTTTTGTTTTGGCTGTGAGAAACAGACAAGATATTTCGAATGAAGGCAAATATATGTGTCCCAGGATAATGATGCAAAATCGAATTTGGATCGGTCACTGGGATCAGAGGTTTACTCTTCCGAGCTTTCGTACTTGTGCTGGAGCCCATCTCTATTCTAACTCCTTCCTTCCTTCCTTCCTTCTTTCTTTCTTTCTTTCTTTCTTTCTTTCCTTCCTTCCTTCCTTCCTTCCTTCCTTCCTTCCTTCCTTCTTTCTTTCTTTCTTTCTTTTTTGAAAAAGTGTTATTTGGGAACAAATTCCGGTTCTTTCTCCTAGATTAATCACAAATTCCAGTTCTTTCTCCTAGGTGAATTTTTTTTAAACAAGAAAGAAAAATATTTATTTCCTGCATTTATTTGCTATTTATGTCTATGTCTCACTTTTTGTAGAGAATTTGCAAAGCTCTGTAAACGTGAGCTAACGTGCTTGGATGTGTGAGGTGGACAAGCTTGTGATGGAGTTGGCTTCTCTGTGTGTTGTTTCAGCTGAACCTGTGGAATCGGTTTATCGTTCATTTTGCAAACCATGGTTCCTTAATCCTGGATTGGTGCATTTCGTGCATACAGCCAATTATATCTGTGCAAGAATGGTCTTAGAACAGATACCCTATTTTTACTGTACAGGTAGTCCTTGCCTTATGACACCAATCGGGACCAGAATTTGCAAGGTTAAGCAAGCCATTAAGCGCAATGTGCCTCATTCTATGACCTTTTTTTTTTTAGCCACGGCTGTTAAACGAATCACTAAAGGGAATCACATAGTCCTTAAAGGAATCTGGCTTCCCACATAGACTCTGCTTGTCGGGAGCCAGGTGGGCAGGTTGCAAAAGGTGATCACATGACCCGGGATGGTGCAACCATCATAAATACAGGCCAATTGCCAAACACCTGAATTTTGGTCACGTGACTGTGAGGAAATGCTGTAAGTCGGAGTACCGATTGTAAGTCAGTGGCACTGTAACTTCGAACAGTCACTAAATGAAAGGTTGTTAGTCAAGGATTGTAGTGTAGATGTGGCAAGAGGCAGAGGAACATTCTAATGGAAGATGAGCTTGGAAGATCTCCAGAAGTTCCATGGAATCTATTTCTTTTCTCCTGGCTCTGTTCCTCAGCTCCAATCAACTCATTTAAGCTGATTGGCTGATGTGCAGGTGGTACTGGACTGGAATAGTAGCTACCTCACCCATGTTGGCTGAGTTTGGCTGTTGTTGTTTTTTTTAAACCATAGAGGTTACTGGCAATTGAATATGGTTCCCATCCCTCTTCTGCAATCCTCTCATTTTTGCCCAAATTAAACATGTTTTGAAGAAGCAGTACTGATATAACTGAACTTTGGTGTTGGAGAAGACTCTGGAGAGGAGCATGACTAGCTAAGAAAACAATCAGATGGATCCTCCTTTCTCCAAAACACCAGAAGGCAAGACAAGAAGCAACGGATGGATGGAAACTAATCAAGGAAAGAAGCAAGCTAAGGAGAAACTTCCTGACAGTGAGAACAATTAACCAGTGGAATGGCTTGCCTCTGGAAGTTGTGGGTGCTCTATCACTGGAAGTTTTCAAGAAAAGACTGGGCAGTCATTTGTCCAAAAAGCCATAGGAGTCAGTTGCCGAGCCTCCAAAATTGAGATCCCACGACCACAGGCTGCTGCAACAGTCGTAATTGTGAAAAATGATCATAATCAGGGGTGGGATTCAGCCGGTTCGCACCACTTCAACAGAACCAGTAGCTAATTTTTGTTGCCCAGGCCCAGAACGGACTTCCGGAAGCGGCATCCACACAGAGGACTGGTTATTCACCTATTTGAATCCCACCTCTGCATGCAGGTCGCTGTGCTCTCCCCGTAAGCAGCACCAAAAAGCTTGTTATCTCTCTCCAGAATTGCATTTTGACATTTGGCATTCTTTTTTCAATCTCACATCTCTGTTAGTGGTCTTTTCTTTTTCCATCCATCCATCCATCCCTCTTATCAAGACGCCCCAGCAAAATTTCAAAAAAAGTTCTCTGGAACAAAATTGCTTATGAAATTAAAATAAAGGTAAACCGTCAAAGCTATGATTTCCTTCTGAAATATTTGGGAGGATGATCGCCTGCTGTGCAGTTAACAGTCATTAAACAAAGAGTTGTAAGTTGAGG